TTTACTCACTTAACATGGTGTAGTTAATTATCAGCGCGGAAAAATCTACAGGCAGCGACTCTTTATCTTGAATGATACACCACTGTGTTTGTTGCTCTTTTTCTCTTATTCTGCCTCTGCTTGTTGTTGTCCATTCATAACTTTTAACTGGCCCTTCTCTCTCTCTTCCTCTCTATGTTTTTTCACCAATGACTTCGCCTGCTGTTTTAGAGCTCTGCTTTTCATTGGCTTTATGAGACTAACTGTAAATTCCTGAGTGCGTTCGGTCTCACTGTGGACTCCTTTGCTCCACTAAATTCTGCCTCCTTTTTTTTTTTTTTTTACTGAGCTGCCTGGCAAGCATTCCCCCTGGCACACCTCTTATATTTTTCTTCTTGGCTTGTGAAAACTTGGAACAATAATTAAGAGGCGAAAATTACCAGGCACAGCTGATGAGGGGCGTGCTGGTTGTGGTGAGGGATGCAGGGCTTCTTTGCAGTCCATTTCCTCCTAAAAGGTGTGCAGCTTAATGAGTTTAGAAAGAGTCAATGGGTTTTACAGACACAATAACAAGGCAACATCAGTTCATTTTAGCACAGTTAGAACATTTTTTTGTGCTTTTTGTACAACACAAGAATGAGGGCCTGTTTCCACTATTAGCTCTTTTTGTGCTGGTAGTGCCCACAATTACAGTTTTGGAGCATTCCACGCTGCTTGTTGTTGTTCAGTTATCAAAGATGTTTTATTGCACTTTCATTTTGAATTGCTCTCTATGATTTTCCTGGGCTAAATTTTCATTTAAAGAAAATTCTCATGGAAAACCGTGTCAAAATTGGAAAAGCATCAACAGAAGCTCTAGATATGAGAATTTTACCCTGACAAAAAAAAAATACTGGTGACAAAATTGGTGACAAATTGGTAATCTCAAGTCCTAACCCTTCTTGATTTTAATTGATTGGGTGAAAAAAAAAAAGTCAAATTGATAAGAGCAAGGGGTTGGACTATTTTCAATTTCCAATGCTTAACTGCATTGCCTTTCTTCAAAAATCAGAAATAGGGACTGCCAGCATTAGTCAAGACAGTCTAGCTGCAGACCTCCACTGAGAGGACCAGAAGTTGTTAAAAGCCTTTCAAAATAAAAGCAAATATAATGGGAGAATGTTCCTTTTTATGCATCCAAAGTTCATTCAAAGCCTTTCAAATTAAAAGCAATTACACCAGGAAGTACGCATTTTATGTCTCGTGTGAATATAGTTTTTTTTACTTGGGGCTTTATTTAATGTATATAATGTTTGTATGAATTTGTGTGTATTCATATGTTCAACAAAGACAAGATACAACTTTAAACAGACTGGAGTGTGTGAGAAAAAAACATCACCTGGGGTCCTCTCAGTGGAGGTCTGCAGCCAGACCCCTCTCACATTGGTGGACACAGGCCCTTAAGTGGTATGAGAACAAGTTATATGGAATAAAAGGTAAATAGAGTACCTCTATCAAATGATCTTTTGTTTCAGTGGGAGGGCATGAACATAAATGAATTGATCTAAATATGAGAGAAAAATCTGTTGGCGAGTGACAAGGTTTTTGGAATTGGAGACGTTCTAGTTTGAAATTTTCAATAGCATCATCTGCCAATGGTTCACTGGGGTTCAGTTGCATGCAGGAAAACAGTAAGTGTAAAAAGAGGACAGGCAGAAGACATCAGACATTACATTAATTTTTTCTTTTACTGTAATCCAAACCCTTGCCTTCAACCTAACTCCAGTTTTACTTTACAAGTCGATCACTGAACTGTTGACCAACACATGGAGGAGGATGTCTTGGCTTGATGTCTTTGGCTTTCACTCTCAGAGGCTCCACTTTCGTCAGATGATAACATAAACGAGGACGTATGTGCTTATAAGTATTTTCGGGTGTTTCAGGGACCTGAGTGCATCGGCATGGAGACAATCAAGATAGAATTCAAGAAATGTCAAGGACTACAGCCAGAGTGACACTTAATTGGAATAATAATGCACAGTGAGAAAGAACCAGAGTGTTTGTGATACGCTGGCCAAAGGAGGCTGTTTGGACATCTGTTAATGATTTTGCAGATGTGTTAGGGACAGAGAGGGGTGAGTTTGACTGTAACAACAGAAGCTGCATTGTGCTTTGTTCTATTGAGTTGCATTATGTTCTTTTTCTCTGACCCAGGAGCCTCAAGTGTTGGCTTGTAGTGCTTACCAAATGGTTACCATCACTAGAAGAAAAAAGCCAGGCCGTCTTTAAGCATGGGCATGTACACACAAACAAAAGTAAGCCCTCATATAGTGGTAATACCAGTAATGCCTCTGGTATGTCCTGTAGTCCTTTGAACTTGCTTCTTCAGCTTCTGTCTAATAGAAAGAAGCCAAAGGTCAGCGCTAAAGTCTCTTAGCAAGAGGATATGACATTTGAACTTTGAGATTCGATCTGGAGTAACAATTGTGGCTGACGGGGTTTACACTCAACCTTTGCTAAATCTGTGCAAAATTACAGCAAAGCTACATCTTGAGCTGGGTTTTAGCATGAGAAAAATTCAAGTGAACCCCGAAAAAAAGAGGAAGGGGCTTTGAATGACATTCCACTATCAATGAACTGGAGTCAGGCCTTTCTCTTTACTGCATGATCCCCAGAAGAGGAGGAAGTGAAAGCATGAATGAAAGAGGTATAGAAAGAGAGGCATAGAAAGAATGTCATAGACAGAGGATGGCGGTGGGAGGGGATGAGAGGCTCCGGAGAGCCGTAGGACCAAGACGCTAAAGGGGTGTCGGGTTTAGGTCTGATAACTTGATGTGCATCACTGATCCTAATCCACTCAGTCCACACATACTGGTACCCCTTTTCTGACTCTGGCATTCAGACGCTCTTTCCCACTGCGAAGGTCAAAGCCCCATTAAGAGGGCATTTTGTTGCTATTTTGTGTCGTTGAGGGGATAGTGCGTGGAAAGAGCAGCCTGGTGATAGAAAGAATTTGCCACTACAGTTCCTCTCACTGCCAATTCAGACTCCAATAGTTCCCACTCAGGCTGTCAATGCTCCCACACACTCAGGCTTTGATACTTGTCTCAACAGAACCAGTTTGCAAATCCATGTGGAAAGAGAGTCCTCTGTTTTAAGACTGCTCCAACTAAAGCTAATATAGGCTAATCATATGAAATTAAAAAAAAGTTACTTTCAAGGATTTTTTATAATTACAGAAGAAAACGTGGCCCAACTATTTGTATTTTGTCCAACCGTGGAAACTCTAGCCAGCAACATCCTGTAAACCCCAAAGAGTATCATGACTGTATCCTGAATTTTTTTTTCGGTATCTCTAAAAAACTTCATGTTTGTGAGACTCCCTTTCATTATGTTGTGAAGCAGACAGCTGTGTTGATTAGGATGACCATACGTCCTCTTTTTGGGGGGCTGTCCGGCCTTGTCCAGGGGAGTTAAAATATCCTTCAAATGTCCGGGGTTTTGTATGGAAGTTTTGAGTTTGTGTCGTGGAGACTTATTGAGTTAGAAGTGTGTTAAAAACACTCAATCGAACCTGAAAAACTCTGAAAATTTACTACACACAACTATGTGACTCCGCCCGGCGTAGTCATGTCCTCTTTTTGGGTATTCAGAATATGGTCACCCTAGTGTTGATCTTACACAGCCTCCAACTACAATGTGCTTTGAGGAACTCTGATACTGGAACTTCAAATATTACACTTACAGACAAAATCAGTCAGATATGTCATATGCTCTGTTTATTTTGTTTTCTTCTGGGGTTTTTTTGAGTGCATTTTGTGTATTTTCCCTATTGTTTCTGTCCCCTATTGTTCCTGTGATCTTGTGAGTTTTTAGTTTGTGTTTGACCATGTTTCCCTCCTGTTCTGCGTTTTATTCTTTATATCAGTTTTCAGTGTTCTTTGTTTTATTTTGTTTATTAAGTTGATTCCTTGTGTTTCTAGTCTGGTTTTCCCTCCCTCGTTAATCACCCATGAGTTTCACCTGTGTCTCATCAGCCTCACCTGTTGCTCGTTACCCAGTGGGTATATAACCCGTCTTCTCCTCTGCGCTGGTTGGTTCATTGTTTGTGTGTTTGTCTGTCAGTGAGTGTCTCCTTTAGTTCTTTTTAAATTTAATCTTTTTTTGGGTCCTTTCCCTTTTGTTTAACCCTGGACTGTGACAAAATATTAACAATTAAAATGTTTTCTATGCACACCTAATCAAATTTCCCCCACAGATATACAAAGTTCTTTATCTTATCTTATCTTAAAGCTCCTCACTGTCAGTTCAGGTTCATTCAGTCAATACTTGAGACTGAAACAGCAACCCTTCTTACAATAAATAATACAATCAATAACAAGAACGACAAGCACAGATTCTCTTCTGTACATATGGAAAGATTTGTAATGTGTTGGCCCAATGCAGAGCATTCCTGTCCTCTACATTCATTCACTATAGATTCATTCAGTTTTTTCACATTTCATTCGACAACTTCAACATGATGTCAGAGAACAAACATTTCACTTGACAGTAAATGGCTTTAATGGCATTTTTCCCAGTTTCCACAATGGGTGTGCAACATGTTATACAAACAACCTCGCTACGTGGCAACTCGCAATTTTCACAACAGAATCAGGTGTTTCAGGCTGTAACAATCACAGAAAACACGTGCCAAGTCCTGAAGAGGTTGGTTACTCCAGTCCTCATACATATGTACAGGTATGCGCTGGTATGCACACACACGTACTGATGTCATGCTGTTAGGTTTATTGGCACAGGTGCATACAGCAGCATAGTCCAAGACTTTGAAGATGCCAGATCAGGAAGTCAGGAGAAATAGGAAGGGTTCTGAAGAAAGGAAAGTATAGGAGCTGTGAAGGGTGTAGGTGGCTGTTTTACTTACTCCAGATGGAAGCAACAAGTGGTTTAAGGTATTCATGGTTGTGCCTTTTATCAGACTTAAAAATTTCTGCATCAGCGTATGACTGCAGATGTTTCTATTAAAATTTATAGCTAACGGGTCCTGTACTTCAAGTCTGACTCGCGTCCTGTTCTGTCTACAATCATTAGCGAGTGGAATAGAGTTTCTGTTTGGACGGTAGCTCTCTTGTTTGACCCCTGCGCTGCGAAACCTCCTAATTGTGGTTATATTGTGACGGGAAACAGATGCAGCAATTAGACTCCCATTGGGTTTAGGTGGAGGAAGAGCTGCAGAGGAGTTTTCGGAGCCAGAGTGGTTATATCTGTCCTGACTGTTTTAAAAGTCACCTCAGAAAATGTGGAAAGTTAGCAGACCTGTAATCAAAATATCATAACAGTGTTTAAGATTCTGTTGTACTTCCAGGATGACAGAATATATAGTTAGCAGACGGTGTTTTCATAGATTTTAAAATGTAGCTCAAGTCTTCTACAACTGGAAACACGAATTAATCGGGTGTGACACAGGAAGACCTGTTTTAGCTTTTGGTTCATGCTCAGTTGTGCTCACGTCTTGCAGGAAATGCTGCACAATTAGACCTCTTGTGTCTGAAATGTCATTGCATTCTCAAGAAATGTCAACAGGATTAAACGCCATATGTGAGGTGGTCTGTGTAGCAGCAGTGGCATGTATGCTCCCATTGTGTGTATGTAGGTTTGTGTATTTCTGCCTGTAATGGAATCCCATCTCTTTGTCTGGGAGTTCAGACTCAAGGTCGATATCCACAGATTATAAGAGCTAAGGACTTTAAAAGCAATCTAAGCTCAATCTCCTTAACAAGGGTCTCAAACCACATCATTGACTCAAAAGCAGTGATGTCATCCCCCAGACCCAATACTTTTTTTTTTTTTCCTGACATTTTTCACTTTCTCCGGCTCTCCTCTCCTGCCTCTGCTTCGTGGTCTCTCTGCGGCTTGCTGGCACCAGCCAACGCAGCCTCCGCTGGGTTTCCTGCTTTTCCTTTTTACCTAATTGCTCACCACATATGTGACAAATGACGCCAGATGCCACAATGGAGAAAAATCCAGCTCTGTCAGATTTATAGGCTCCAGAGAAACAGTTGGCCTTATTTATAGAGGCCTTTTTTTTTTTTTTACTAGACCTGGCCCTGGGGAGTAGAGAGGGACTTAGACCAACTGCCAATACAGACTGCGGCACGTGTGAACCATTAAGTGGTTGGACAACTCAGTCAGGTGTGAGGAGCGGCAGGTTATGGCTGTGTATGTTATGAGTGTGGAAAAATTGGAGACGAGGAACAAAACTATAAATTTTAAATCAGAGCCGTTTTACTCAAAATGTGCAACAGCTTTAATAAAACAGTGTTTGTCATGACACCAGTTTTCCTCATCTGCTGTATCTAATTTCCTGTTCCTTCTTAAATTTTGCATATTTGCAATTTTATTATCTACTTCATGATTTAATGCAGGTTTCAAGGGTGATGACTAATTCTGCGAGAGAGTTGGAGTCGCCTGCAAACACGGGAGGCAGGGAAAACAGAGTCAAAGGTTTTGGAAGACTTGAAACTGCTTATATGTTTCCTTTACTTTCCTGGAAAACAGAGGTGGACCACTATTGATGTAGCTGCTGTGGATTTTTGTTTTGCTTTATCATCTGCAAGAGGGTTTAAATTTAAAGTATTAACAGAAGCGTTAAAGTCCCACTCCAATTGTTTTTTTGTTTTTTTTTACTACTTTAAGTGTTACCAGTGCTCTTTAAACTGGGATTATGACGTTTTTAGCCAAAATCACGTTACCTGTGTCGTTTTCAAGGGCTTTTCTTCTGCAGAGCTACAGTTGCTCATTAGCAATTCACCTCTGAATTGTGGGCGGAGACAGTTCTGCCCTTTACACTCCCCTGGCTTCGAAAAAGGCCGTATCCGGCGATCGTACCTGATTGTAATCATTCAAGTTAATGTGTCAATTTTTATTGGCTTCTTTCCGTTCCGCTGCAGATCGCAAGAGTACTATTTTTTCCAGACGCCGGAGCATGCCGAATAAATTCAGCACAGATTAACCTGTGCTGGAAAGGAAGTCATGCACAGACACAAAATAAAACATCCGGCTTCTTTTCAAAATAAAACACTCTCTGTTTCAGGCGGATCGTATTTCACACTATGCAAACGGGCGGGGAAGAACAAGTGAAAGGTTTATAGACGGCATTTCACCCTGATGACACCAAAGATGAGAGGATGCTGATTTCATAAGTCTAGAAGTAGATTTCCTCCTCTGGCAGAACACAATCTACTGCTTATATGGTTAGCCTATGTGGCTAAAGACAACTTATTATCATGCAATTGCATGTGAATCCACGGGTTCTCATGAGTTCTTACGATTCCTGCTGTCTGTATCCACCACAAAATTTGTCTCACAAACAGACCGGATAGGGATTGGCGTACGGCAAGCATCGCCCCCGTTCCAGATCGGAGCCGCTCTGGATGCGGTGGAAATCCCAGGTAACATTGCCGTTGCAGTAGAAGACACAGGTAATATAAGCTATTAAGCTCCCGGACACCATTGCCTTTAGGGGCATGATGTGAGCTAATTGCATCATTAACTTTCTTACAAGCATTTCAATCCGCTAACGCACATGCTTGTTCCGCGGTTGTCGTCTCTATTTCTCTGAGCCCGGCCTGCATAGCGGGGCTAACTGTATCTCACTGTATCTGATCCTGCCGTTCGGGTCTGCCAGAGATTCATAATGATTTACATGCAGAAATACTCAGAAATAAAATTCCACACTTCTTTTTCTCATGATATGTCCTCTAGTATCAGAAAAATGCCATTTGAACATGTGGACAACAAGAAAAACATGATTTTCATCAGTGTTGGTCTTTATAATAAATTTAACTAAAACACTCTTTAGTAAACCAGTCCTGTTTCAGAGTTCACCTCCCTCCCAGCCAGCAAGTGCAAAAGCTTTTCCTTCACTCCCCCTTCCTCCATTTGTGAGTCTTATTCCCTTATTTATAGTTATTATGACCTGCAGTTAAGCCTCTTAGGGCCACCGTACTAATACTTTACGCATACAAAGGATCACATCCACGCTGGTGTTTCATCCTCAGAGGCTGGTGAGGAACCTCAGCCCGCTGCGGTGTTTGAAATGCCGGGCGGTGCGTTTGATGCCTCTCCCTCGTCTGCTCCATCCTGTCTCATCTTCCCTTGGTATGCAGGCCAGGGGTTCTTGGCATCCACAGCCAGAGACTGCAGTCCAGATGAGCCCTGCTTTACTACATGTCTGCCTTGCTCGCTAACAGGAAATTATGGAGCGCAAAAAAAGTAGAGCTTAACCTCAGAGACATGAATTGGACATTTAACTTTGGCTTGACTTTTTATGATCTCAGTTTAATGCAATTAAGTTTAAAAAAAAACAAGGGCTGAAAGAAGAGAAATACGACACTACTTTTGAATCTGATCATGAGTCTATTTGTGGGACAGAAAATAAACCCATGCAGATTCCAGTTTTCTCTATGACTGCTCAGAGAGTAATTCATGAACTCATGAATGTCACTGACAGGAGGTATTTCTATTTTCTGTTTTAAAAAAATGTTTGTGTATGTGTGTGTTTGGGGAGAGCTGTGCTGGCGGTGAAGGTCAAAGAAGAAAAAGAGATTACAAGCAGCAGTAAAAAAGCCTTCATCATGGACTGAGATCATAGCACGGTAAATCGTCCCCTCTTGGCCTAAAGCGCCTGCCAAGTGCTCCTTTTTCTTCTTTCTTCTTCTCTGTCAGTGATGTTTGTAAATCATAAACTCGCCACACAGGAACTGCTGCACTCCACGGACACGTTCACAGGAATCCATTGTGCTTCCTTTGTGGCATTTCGAAGAAAAAATTCCCTCCTCTGAAAGACTTATAGTGTCATATTGAAGCATTTTTATTCTGATAGAACGGTGAAAATGTCATGACGTGTCTATTTCTTCAACCGAGCACCTGTTTTCACTCACACCTATACCGCTGGGAGAGGTGTTCGTCAGATGTGGTTATGTAACAAGCATCAAATAAAGTGGAGAAAACTTCAATCCGCCAACTGTGATGTTACCTCAAGTGTCAGAAAGCTGTTGATTTCACCGATGAATGACACAGCTGTATGTTGGTGGTCTTGATCGTCATCTTCAGAAGATTTTCTTGTCTTCTCTGCATTATTCAAGTATTTTTTTGTGTTCATCCTTTGTTCTCATTTGCACTCAAAGTGGGAGGAGATGGCTTTATTTATTGTATAATGGGGTTGTTGTGAAACACTCTAAGAAAGCGATCTTGATAAACTGGATGACAGGAAAATGGTTCAAGAAGACTGCAACTAAGAGAAGTTTCATTAATTGAGATCATATTTTTGTAACTTGGGATCATATTTTTGTTACTTGGGATCATATTTTTGTTACTTGGGATCATATTTTTGTAACTTGGGATCATATTTTTGTTACTTGGCATCAGATTTTTGTTACTTGGGATCATATTTTTGTTACTCAGATCAGATTTTTGTTACTTGGCATCAGATTTTTGTTACTCTGATCATATTTTTGTAACTCGGGATCATATTTTTGTAACTCGGGATCATATTTTTGTAACTCGGGATCATATTTTTGTTACTTGGCATCAGATTTTTGTTACTTGGATCAGATTTTTGTTACTTGGAAACAAGTTTTTTTCTGGGGTAGATCTGTCTACTCAAAAGGTTGATGGGTTGGCTAACAGGTAGACCCAAAGTTTGTGTTAAGTCAGGATTTTCAACCTGGCAACCACCATCGACTGGCTTTCTGATGCCCTGTCGAGAAACCATTGAGTGCTCATAGAGACTACAACCATGTTTTAAACAGTTTATGTTGCCGCTCCAGTTCAAAGTTTAAGATGGTAAATGGGCTGCACCTGTTCAGAGCGTGTCTAATCTTCTGACTGCTCAAAGCACTTTTCACTGCCTGGTGATGGCAAAGGTTGCCAAGGGTTTTACATGCAAGTATGATGCACCAAATGCAGTGTTGAAAAAAAAATCACTACTTCAGTCATCATTGGTTTGTTAAGTATTGCTGCGCTCCAGTTATACTCAGAAGTCGGGATTTCCGAGCTCCAAGTCGGAAATTCATCTGGAACGCCCCCCTGAAGTTGGATTTCTGACTCGGAAAATGGGACAACAAAGTCGTTATCCAAGATGGCAGTGCAGTGCATCAACAGTAAAGAGTAACAGTGAAAGCTCTCATAATGTATTATTTATTAGCACTTTTGTTTTGTTTTTGAGAAATTAAATGAGTGGTATATGTTGAACCGCCCAACGTCTACCTGTGAACATGGTGCTATGGTGTTTGTAAGAGTAAAACACTGTGTTATGTGTTGTTTACAACTAGTACAGCTAACAATAACTAACAACAGCTGACAATTGTAAACAACACCAAACAACGGCTAACACTGGGCGTTCATCTTTGTTTTCCGACTTGTTTACTGGAACACCGTCAACTTGGGTGTAACGTCATTCCCAGCTCCAACATCCGACTTCCGAGGTAACTGGAACGCACACATGTAGTGTTATGTTTTTATTCTCCGAGTAGGCCTATTTGAGTCCTCGGTTTCTGAACTTGCTTCTCTTGCTACTACACCATGAGACAATAAAGCATAAACAATTCAAGCTCCTCTTGTCTCTGGGCGCAAGAAATAAGTGGCTGGGTGTTTAGAGTTTAGTTGTTTTTGACTGACACTCCAAAGACCTTTTCACTCGAGGGTTTTTCACACAGACGAGCCAGGAGGAACCAGTTGGCACCGGTCATTGATACTTTGGAGTGAGTGAAAGCTTATTGTAATTCCCAGTGCCTGGTTTTATTGTAAAGAGCTGTTTTGGACTGTGTCCGAGTGTTTCAGAGAGTGGTGACACCAGCACCAATTGTAGTTAACCCAGCGCAGAATCAGCTTAGAGAGGGAGCCAAGCTGGGGGCTGGATAACTAAACTGGTCGGCCTCGAGAATTAAATTCCTTCATTATGATGGAGCGATGAAGGAGAAAGGGGCAGGGGGAGGGAGCAGAGAGGGAGATTACTGTCAGTGTTGCACCATGTGCATTTGGAAACAAAGGAGAAGAAGTGATTGAGGAATGAAACCCGACGAGTTTCTCTGCCAGATGACTGATATTTGAGGATATTTGCAGGGAAAGGCAATAATGGCTTTAGTATTGTGAGTTTATGACCCCTTTAAGTGTTGGCCTCACGTGAACCATTAACAACCCCCTGATGTGTGTGGGAAAAACATATCGTCACAAAGTTGTAAGAGTGATTGGCTCGTTCCTGTTGTTTTCACCTCAAGCCAGAGGAAAAAGAAAACAAACACAAGAACACAAGGCTGCTATTGTGAGTTTCAGCCTCTACCAAAAGATAACAGAAGCAGGAAAGTTAAGCACGGATAATTTACTACACTGATTTATTGTCCTTTTCGTGTGTGATAACCTGATCTGAAGTGATGGGAGAGAACAGCCGTACTCACTTTTTCCAACTTCTCATCCCAAACTATAAAAATAAAGAGCGAAAAAAAAATTATGACCAAGATTTCTTCCACCCCATCACCCACTTAAGCCACAGTAAGCTGAACCCGTTGACCCTGAGTGGGCCAAATGCTGTGGAACTCTGTTTCAAGTCTCTTCAAATAAAATCAGTCCTGCTTTTTTTTTTGCTGCTGGAGATGCTTCAGAGAGTGAAAATAATAGTAAAGACCATTTCTCACACATATGGAGAAAGTTATGCCCATTCACACACCCTGCAGTGCTATCATAAGACACACTGGCTTTGGTGCTGTAGTCTCAGCCTTTACTGTACATACAAGTCCAAGCTGTGGACACCAGAAGATGGAGAAGTGATAATATTTGGCCTCATACTCATACCCAAACACAGAGATTTGCTTTTGTTGTAACAGTGAGCACTATTTAATCTTTGATTGTTTAAGAATGGCGATTAATATGATCCATAGTTCTTATAGACTGATATTTCGCTGCAGTGTAAACTTATGAGTCATTTCATCAGCGCACGGTAAATAATCATTGAAGGAGGAGCGCAGTAAGGCCTTAAATATTGAAAGCTCCGTGGTTTATTTTATTAATATTCAACCACAACTTCAGGGTGCATATTTTTGTCTTTTCAGACTGTGTGTAAAAAAGAGAAACACAAGAGGAGTTTTTTATCCCACGGGGCAGAGTGAAATGAAAGAAAAATATGAACAATGAGGTCTTTCAGGAAGAGGAAGTGGGGGAGAAGTTTGACTTGGTAAGCGTAATCTTTTGCTGTTTTCTTTTTTCTTTATCTTTGGAAAAAGGTCAAATAGGCAGACGTTGAAACTGCAATTAAGAACTACTACACTCTTGCATTTCTGTTTTTTGCTGCATAAATAAAGTATAAATTTGGGGGTCTGTGTCAATAAATCAAGACATTAATGAGTGTGACTTCATAGTAAGTTTCCTGTCAATCATAGATGCATGGTTATTGTAAGGGGTGCTTGAGTAAGAGCCTCATACAGTGCACGCCTTGTCCTGCAATAACGTAGCGTGTTTACCTTCTGCCAACTCTGGCTAAGCTTAAATAATGTGCGTATGAATGAGTCCACGTGTATTCTCTCCACGCATGTGCCTGTGTTTTCGCTCGCCAGCGTGTGTGCATGCCCGTCACTCAGCCTTCAGCGGGGCAAACCTGGAGGATTGCGTCACGGGCAGAGAAAAGAGCAGCCCTCGCCAGTAAACTAGTCTTTAATTGCTTTGCAACTGAGAACACATTGCCGAGGAAACAAGGGGCTCATTGTGAGAGTGTGTTCATCTTAACACACCTCATATTTTTTCTGCAGGCCGCTGACCCCCACCAGCTCCAGCACCAGCATTTACAATAAAACACAAAGCAGGCAATTAAAGTACTAAGTGTTTGCATGCACGCTCACATGCAGACACTATTAGCATGTGTGTCTGCACTTAAATGCTGACGTCATTGAACGGCAAAGCGAGATGCTGTGTGTTTAAGCGCCGAGGATTAATGTGAAGACGGTTAGGATGAAGTACAACATAGTGCTTCTGTGTTTCACCCATGACGAGGTATTAAAAATGAGTGAGATTGAAGTGTGTGTGTGTATATACAGTATGTGTGCGTCTCATGATAGATATGGATGGTGGTGGTCTGGCTATGATATAAACCAGATGTGGACTAGATGCAGAGTTTCATACCCACTGCAAGGGAGAATGAAGCCTGTGCGTGCATGTGTGAATGCTGGTGCATTCAGAGCGCCAGCATTGATTACAGATCCAATGTAATTTTGCATCGAACCAACCGCATTTGGCAGAGCGTGGATCCTCTGCTGCTGGCCTGGGGTGAGCTCATACTTCATATGGCTGAAAACATAAATCATAGAGACTACATTCAGCCTGCACTGTCCAAAGGCTCAGCAATTGTAAAATACTGATATTACTACAACTGTTTAAAAGCTGTGTGAGATAAACTATGCCATTACACAGGGGTTTGGTTTAACCTATAAACCTTTAGGCCTGTATTCTGCTCGTACCTGTGAATGTAGAGATTTGGACAAGGGAATAAGCTTCGGATTTATTTCAAAACCCCTTTCCCGGGGAGGCAAACATCTGAAATTCTCAACTTATGTAATGAATGAGCCGAAATTGTTTGCAGAGCTTCCGAATTAGTAAAATCTAATCAACCTTTGTGCCGAGAGCGGAGTACATTGGGTTCACGTTGGCAACACAAAAATGAACAAATACACCAAAACATGTAAATAAGCAATGATTCAAATTCCAAACACAAATAGATGTATCCACTCAGCTATGATTTCAGCAAGCACTGATGAAAGAGAGGGAAAGAGCTGATTAGGAAGTCAAATGTTTTCAACATGTAAAAAAGTTAAATGGCATGGACTGTAAAGTTTATGAAAGAAGAATGGTTCTTTGTATCGCCCTGAAGAGATTCATTGTTACATTAAGACAATTTACTGGGCCTCCGCATGCATCCTGTGTGTCTTTACTATTTTTCTGCCTGATGCAGATGTCATGTGGATTTGTTTTAAAGTGAGGTGTGGTCTGATAAGGCTGTAAGAATCAGTTGCATCTTTTTAAAACCCACTTTTATGGACTTGCTTTTACGCAATAATGTTCCCTTGTTGCCTTTGTTGCTTTTATTGCTTTCATCGCCTCCTACCCTTACAGTTATTTTTATCTTTGTATTGGTTTTGTTTTATGGTTTCTGTCTTCTTCTATTGTTTCTATCTCTTTTTTCCCCTCTGTGTTCGTCCTCTTGGTCTCAGTTCAGGTGGATCTTGTGCTGCTTGAGTTCTTATGTTTTATTGGATGGTTTTAAACATTATCCTCCCTGATTATTTTGTAGTATCCTTTGTCAAAAGCGATTTTTCTCCTCTCCAATCTGTGCAGGACTGACGACACTCAATATTTACGATCAGAAATCTGTATTTGAGGGGGGAACCTGAGGATAGCCAAGCATGCACTCTGTCTATTATCACAAAGCTAACTTGAAAGCAACTCGAAATTTTGACAAGATTTCTTCTTTTACAGTTGGGACTCTTGTTTATGGTGAAAAGAGTGTTTGAGATGTCTTTGTAATGTGCTGAGTCTCTGATGTTTTAAGAAATGGTTAAGATTTAAGCCTGAGACCAACACCAAGCTCTTCATCATGCGCCCTTACTGTGATGTGCACTCTCTTTTAGACACACACTTACTCAGAACACGAGGCATTAGATATCAACAGATGTCTAGAATAGAGGACATGTCCACAGAGTGGGGGGCACAGTCCAAAGAGAGATGGTGGGTGTGCCAGTTTAAACCTGCTCTATTTAAGTCAAAAGGCCAAACGAATGAGAGACGACACTAATGCTAATCACTGTGGATAATCAAAGGACTAATCCAACCACTCTGTGCCCTGCGCCTCATTTAGGACCAGATCGTGAGCCACTTATTTGGCAAAAGATAATTGGACCCTATTCACTTTGCCCTATGCCTTTTTTGACCATGCACTTTAGATTGACTCCACATGTGGAATCTGCTCTCTGACATTACTCTCTACTAAACCAATCTTCTCTGTTCAGGTTGAGCACCAATGATTTTGTAGCCATTCTGAGGGCACATCTTACCACTAAGGCAAACATCCGATACAGATAAGTCTTAATAGCCCACAGACATGCCAAACACTGTGGATACTCACTAGAAATGCCTGGTGTAATTCTGCAATTTGGACCAGTGTCTACTTATTACATCTTGAATGCATGCCTGAGGTTAGCATCAAGAACAGTTGTGATCTAGCAGCAACATAAACTGTGGAGCAGGAACGCTGGCAGACGTCAAAGTATCATGATTTTGAGACTGTTAGATGTTTTGTTTCACTTTGAAATTTTACTCCAAACTGAACATTATATTGTGTTTGGCAAGACATGTTAAACAAGTCAACAACAGGCACGCAAACCTTTTCTAATATACAACACAAACCACAACAGAGCCACGAGCTGTGGTGTAAGACACCCCAACGTACGCCATGTGGTTAAACATACGCATGATGAATACAGTCCTATTCAGTCTTATTAGCATTCATATTTCAGCACATCAGAAACAGGCTGCATGAAACAACACATCAGGAGGCGCCTGTCAAACAACATACAGATGAAAAATGAGCCTGGCTACTACCAGTGGCAAAGCAGGAGTGAAAAGACCTCTGGCTCAGATCAGCAGCTGACACCAATGTCTCTCTTTTGAAGATTGAAGTCTTCAACTTGAAAAAAGTTGTCAAAAAATTTAGACAGAAGAATAAAGTATAACAGAAGCTTAATTCATACCCACCAAATCATCCAAACAAACAAGAGGGGCAACAATAATTTGAGTACCCAGTGTAGTAACAATGGGCACGCCTGGTGATCAGCAACTGGTCTATTGCAAAAGCTCCTGTTTTTATTGTAGGACATTGTTGTAAACAAGTTATGCAATAATCTTACTGTTTATGTTACAGTAACCACATTTAATATCTTAAATTCCAGCAGTATTGTGGGACAATGCTGTAAACAAGATTCTATGTCAATATTCAAGATGATAAACTTATCTCATTGATCTTTCTGCTGTCCTAACAAATATTGAAAAAAGGAATCTAATCATAAAAGTTATAAATTCAAAAATGTATATACACAACTTGTCTAGCATGTATACTTTTTTATTTAGATGAGGATAGATGGAAGTTTGGATCAGTATTTAGTGAAGCTGTGGTATGCATCCAATCAGATTTAAAATTAAAATGTTCCTGTTTTATTAAAATTGTTTTCATACATGCACACAAGCTTTCTGAAATTTTCTAGGTGGGCTATATGTGTGAATGCAAACAGGTTTTCACACCGACTCTGCTTGGACTTATTCCCAGCGGCCACCTAATAAATTTCCATGTGAAGTTGAGGTGAGCTTATGTGAGAATGCAGCGGGAAACATCTGAGGAAATTCACAGTGAGCAAGAAGGTAGGGGTGATAATAGTGGATATCATGCAAATCTGAGGAAGATGAGTGAAAGGAGAATCATTCTAAAGACAAGAGCAGAAAAAAGAAGTCTGCAAATATGTCTTCTTGCATGTAGCATTAATGCACAACAACAAAAAAAAAAACACTCATTAAGGCATATGCATCTGTTTCTCCATCCACTAACATACTGAAAACATTACACAGAGGCAGAGCTCCAGAAAATTTCAAGAAAATTGAACATTTTTGTGCCAGAGCTGTAAATCATCGAGGAGCACAGTTGCTATCCAGCCTTGGACACTAAGCCCAAGTGTTCAAACAAAGAGCCACAGATACAGGAAAGAGCCAGCTTTCTCATCTCTCCTGGAAGAAACCTCCAGGAAGTGCACAGGTCAACTCTGACACTGCGTCTCTGTCTCAGCGGCAGCAGTTGTCACATTCCCACAGCCAAGACGGTGCTACCAACACAGACCAAATAAGTCGTCTCTCTGTTTTCAAACACATATGGTATCCTCTCTGTCTCACTCTGCAACCCTTTCCGTACTCTTTTTGCTCTCATGAGGCCCTGAGCAGAGTGCTAACACCAACATGGAGTGACAAAGACATCGAGAAGTGCTTTGGGACCTGTGTGGAGGCAAAAAGAGGAGGATTATGAGACTTTAGTGGCCTTATGTGTACATACTAAAATGCCCTTCCATTCCCACACCTACGTATATATGAGTGAACATCCTCCTGGTTCTGTTGTGGGAAAAAGAAGCTGTTTCCATCACAGGAAGGATCCTCTGACCACTGTGAAAATCCTGTTTGTTCCCGAAAGGTCTGATTCATAATGGCTGTGCTTTGTTGTGTTACCATGAGATCACACTTATTAGAAAAATCTATCATGTGTAAAACTTCTGCTCCACTTGATCAAAGAACAAAACAAACAAAAAACACTCCTCCTCCTCCTTCTGCTACTACTCCTCCTCTTTCTACTACTACTACACTACTAAAAAGCTATTTCATTCAGAAAAAAGTGGCATCACTACAAGGTTGATGAAAACTGCAGTTAAACTACTTAACATCACTATTTGAAGCATTATTACCCAACAGTGCACCAAATTTAAACGCTGATTCCAAAATTTGCACTGACGTAGAAACCGGCATGGAGCTGGAGCTGAGGCCTCTTTTGGTCTCCTAAAAAATAGTTACAACTTGTCAAAAAATCCCCTGATTATGCAAATTTATGTGTAAATCTTGGCCTGAATCAAATCAAAGTGTAAAATTATGGATCAAAAGCAAAGCCCCCTCTTTTTTTCTTTACTGCATGGGTACTCTAATAGGGCAGCACAGTTGTGTAGTGGTTAGCGCTGTCGCCTCACAACAAGATGGTCCTGGGTTCGAATCCAGCTAAGGGCGTTTCTGTGTGGATTTTGTCTGTTCTCCCTGTGTCTGTGTGGGTTTACTCCGGGTACTCCGGTTTCCTCCCTCATCCCAAAAACATGTCTAAGTGGGGTTAGGTTAATTGGCCACTTTCAAATTGTCCGTAGGTGTGAATGTGAGCGTGGATGGTTGTTCGTCTCTATATGTCAGCCCTCCGATGAACTGGCGACTTGTCCAGGGTGTCTCCTGCCAATGCCTGAAGGTGCTGGGATAGGCTCCAGCCCCCCCGCGACCCCTAATGGGAATGAACAGTAGAAAATGGATGGGTACTCTCATTTAAGCGCCCTCGGCTTTTGGAATTATCCTCAAGTGGACACTTGGGGAAACTACAGTTTTTTGCACATAAACTGTCTTTTTTAACAGATCTCCCAAGATCTCTGCTGTTAAAGTAAATATTTAAGACCCTGAAACTAATTTCTTCCCAAGACTACATGGGAATGGGTGCCATCAAAGTCTGATTCAAATGCTTCTAAAAACCTGACTGGTACACATAAGTGACATCAGTTTTTCCAAGTCAGTTCTGCCTGCATTAAAACCAGTAAAAACAATGAAGTGGAAAATAAAGTTTGACTATTCTGGATTTCGTCAAAACTGTTTTTTCTTTTTTTCTTTAAGGTAGAACTAAGTTTGTACTGAAACAGTTCATTTGGAAAAGGCAAAACGTTCCATTTACTCCACATGAATTCTTACCATCCCCGAGCAAAACACAGAAAACTTCTTGTTTCCCTCTGATTGGATACCTCCAGTGGGTCTTTTAAGCACACAGAGTGCAGAGAGTGGGTAATTCATCACTGTCCATGTTGAACTGTTGTAGATGGAGGTCTAATTTTACTGCCAGTGTCACATGTTAACGAGCAGAGTTTATGGTGGAAGTGATGGAGGGTCACACCACCACCTTCAGAGATTATTAACACGCAAAGTGACTTGAAATGGAGATTCATTTGTTTTCATAAGAGCTTTTTGGGGCTTGAATTAAAGGTAGGAAACATGAAGAAAATATCGTGACTTAGCACACCCTACTTCCCTTCTGTCTGGCTTTGCCTTTCTTTGAAATACTTGCACTGAGCAAACTCTCTGTAGGTAAAGGGAAATAAATGACAGCAATTGCCCCTGTCTTTATGTCTTTGTGAAGTCTGGGTCACTTCCCAGGTCACTACTGTAAAGACGGATTGAGTTTCCTCTTTGTTGCTAAGTAGCTGATGTCACTAAACTGGAATCTCCTCCTTTTATTTTTTTCTACTTTTCCCTCACCCTGTCTCGGTTTGTGTCCCCGGTGTCTAAATCTGATAGAAGTGTGTCTTGTAAAAATCCTGGGGATGACTGATATATGTGCTGGGGTGGTTCATGGTGGGGTTAGAGGGATGTGACTTATAGATTCACTGATCTCTACAGGACTTTTTGCAGAGACTGCAGATTAATGGGTTGATACGGTATCTGATGGAGCAAGTAGACATGGGCTGTTTGTTGGAAGAAAAAGGGATTATACCCCGAGTTCAAACCCAGAAAGATCGGCAGATGGTCCATTTTGAGGTTTCTTTTGGGTCACTTCTGTATTCTGAATAAAACCCCATTCCTCAAGATGCTGCAGAGTCTCAATATGTTGCATGAATTTCACATTCACTCAGAATATGGAATCAGTCAGGAGCAGATAAGGATACTTATCTGAAACGACTTACAGATGTAGCAACAAAGGCTTCAACCTTCATATTGGCATGCATGACCATGTACTTTCTATTAAACAGAAGAAAACACAGAAAGAAATCAAACTAAGTGAGCTAACATTAGCCAAAAGAAACTATTAAGGTTTAATAATTACACTAATTCATACAAATTGCTATTTATGGCCTGTGCCTAATGTTCGAGGATAACTTAATGTTTTCTTTGAGGTATTTTTTCCTATTCTGTATGGTTAGGGTTGCTTTGTCTCTACAGGGCTGATGTGATGCTCTTTTTTGTCATAAACTATCAGTAAGAGGACCGTAGATATCCGTCGTTTCTCCTGAACATCTGGTCAGAGTGCCGGGGCAGACCTCTTTGAAAAGCCTGCCAGTTATTTCTGTGAAAAATGGATCAGAGGAGCAAATCTGCCTGCCAGAGAAGACAAGACTTGGAAATTGTTTCCTTCTTACTGTCTCTTTGCTCTTTGGGGGTGAGAGTTCCTGGAGCAAAGGAATGAATCTTCAGCAGGAGGGTGAACACCTGAGTAGCTTCACACAAGGAAGGAATCTCAGCGGAGTACACGTAATTCCAAGGTTGGACGATAAGACCTTTTAGTCCGTTAAGGATGGTCACTGATGGTTGGATTAGGCGGTTGAGATCACAGAGTCGTACATTTGTGGTGTGACACAACAGACTGGTGGTACTTGACTAATCATTGGGACTGATGTTGAATGAAAAAAGAGATGAAAGACACCTGAAAATAGTAATGACAGCTACTTACTGGGCTGCTGAACTGCATCTGCTATTTCTCATCAACTGTGGTCAAAGTTGTGCGGTATTACAGATGTTTCCTTGAATGTCATTCACAATGACACTTAACAAGATCACAGAATGATCTACTTTGGGGGCCAGTTTGTACCAAAACTCTGTATGTGCCAGATTGGGTCATAATCTTGTTTATAGTCTGACCTCAACATAAAGGATAATATGTAGGTGGTCATGCAAAGTATAATCCTGAAAGGGTAAAACAAGACCCTGACACCAAACACTTGGGTCTTGTGCATTCAGAAGAGATTCTATTTGGCACTTATACCTGCTCAGTACAGGTTATCCCACTTATTACCATAAAACATGCAAACAAGCTGACTTTGAGTATCGATCCAAGGCTTTTAAAAGTGAAAACCACAGATTTGACGATTGGTAGTGCCTCTGACACAACAGTAATTTCATCAGCCTACTTGTGGGTTGACTTAACATCAATCACGTCCTCATTCCCTCAACTTTTCAAGGTCGAAGACAATTTCCTTTTTGTTTAGCCAGCCCAATTTGGTCACTGTCTCTTTCACTCAGCTCTTACTCTGTTTTAACATCCCTTGCTGGTTTCTGCATCAGTTCTTTGGCGTGACTGGTCAGCCATTAACTACAAATCAAAAGTTTTGTGAAAAAATCATGTTCCTGCTGTTTTTCTGGCTGATTTTCAAACTTTTACAATGTTACTGGTTTAGATCTAAACCAGTGCCAGTAGACACATGAAATATTCGTGACTTCTCTCTGTGGATTGAATTAAAGTAATGTGCTCTATCTTGTTATCCCTGTTCAGAATTAACTACCCTTTTTTGGGCTTTTGACCAAGCAAAAGAATTTAACAGAGCCGGCAAATCTTTCCTTTCATTTCAGGCCAAAATACATGCCACATAATGACATAAAATGAAATTGACTTCAAGTGTTTTGCAGGTTTTCTCTGTTTCTTCATTGCCCTTGTGTCATGAGTCCCCCCATTCTTTTAAGTCCAAGCCATTTGGAAACTCTTCCACTCATGTCTCTCTTTGCACACCATAAAGTTGTGTTTTTCTTTCACACTGACCTTCAAATGAAGAGTAAATAAAGCAGGGTAAATGGTGCGTAGTCTTCACACAGGTGAGAAGGACACACTAAACCCACTTAGCAAAACAAATAAAGACAATCCAGATACCGGCCTGGTCCTCAAAGTCCACAAATACTGATGAGTCATAAATAATAGAAAAGAAACCGTTAAAAACTCTGTAATCATTGATTGCAGTGGCAAGGAGATGGACAATACGTTGTCTTCAGTTTGACCCCCTGGAAAATTGAACCATTTGGTGGCAGCTTTCTTTCAAGAGAGATGTCCAAGCTTAAGGACGCCTAATCGCTTAAGTATTGTTTTTATTATTTCACTACAAACAAACAAGCAATGACAGATGTTGGTGCGCTGCATAACAGAAAAATAGTTACGACATCAACAGATTTCCAAGAAAACAATAAGTTCGGTCCAGCTCAGAGACTCTGATGGTGCCCCTCTCACTTGTGTAACAGCTTGGATTTGCTAAGAACATTTTGTGATGATTGAAAATATTCTGGGAGGAATATTAATATTTATTATGATCAGAATCACTCCTTTTGGTGTTTTGTAACAGAGTATGAGAAACATGCATCAACTGACAAGAATTTTCTCTAACAGAAAAGGTTTGGAGATTTTTTTTTAGGCCTCAATTAACATCAGGTCAGACGCTGATCAAATTCTGATGCTCCCGGGACTGAAATTGAATTACTCAGCCTAATTCCCAGAGCAAACCCTCTGAAAAACACAGAGGGCAGCTATGCTTTAGTTCAGCAACTACATGAAAGTGCAGCACAACAAAAGTAGGGGGTCTGGGTGTGGATCGCAACTGAAGCTGTGGCTGGGATTTTTAATGAGTGACCGCGGTGAGGCGAGGAGGAGGTCCATTGTGTCCGGAGCTGCAGCGTCTTATAGCTGGCAGCGGCCGCAGCCACATACTGAGGCCGCGCTTTGATGTACAGCTGCTGCTGGAGCAGATGGAGGAAGAAAAGGAGAGGGTAAAGAAATAAAAAGTTTCCAGGGATTAGAAAGAGAAAATCTTAGATTACTGGAAATTTGCAGACAAAGGAGAGAGAACCGGAGAGAGGCGATGAGGACCGTCGAAGGCGGAAAAACACTTGAAAGAGTTGTTTTAGTTCCTTGAATTTAATGTGTTTTTGAATTTTCTGTGGAAAAGAATGACCAAATCATACAAGCCCTCACTCCCCCCATTTGTGCAGAGTTGGGGTGGGATATGCAAATCCAGAGTGTGTGCCTGCCCCTTCAGAGGCAGGAGAGCAGCACACTGCTGCTTGCACACACACCCTCACTCATGCAGAGTGCAGAGGACTCAGAGGGTCGAGCCTAAATAGTCTGCAGGTCTCACATACACTTTTGCATGTGTGTGTGAGTGTGTGTGTGTGAGTTTGTGTGTGTGTGTATGGAGCTGAAACTTTCCTAGAGACACTCTCTTCCCTCCTTCTCTCTCCTTCTTCTCCTTTCCTATCCCCTCCTCCTGCACACCTTTGTGTTGTTTTCCTTGCCCCCTCTTCTTTCCTCTCCCCTCCCTCTCCAGCCTCACTAGTTCTCCCTCCGCTCTGTCCTGTGTGCTCAGACTGTCGGTAAGTGTGCGAGCTGAAGGGGTGTGCGAGCCGAGATGCTGCTGATGCTACAGCTGTTTGGGCTCCATGTCTCCTTCAGGGCCCGCTGAGGAAGAAGAGTCTGCACGTGAGCTGAGGGAACTTTAACTCAACTCTCTGGGAAGCCTGCAACTTCCACTTTTCAGACTGTTTTTTTTTTTTTCCTCCAAAGAAGTTGCATTATTAAGACTTTTTGGAATTAACTGAACTTTGAAAGACTTAAAGAGAAAAGCAGAAAAAATGAGGACCAAGTTTTGGAAACTGATTGCACAGATCTTTCTCTTGGGAGTGTTGCTCTCTGTGGTGGACAGCAAAGGAACTTTCTATGGAGGCCCGGTCAATCCTTTCTATGGGAACAGATACCACCTGTACAAGACTGGACTCAACCCTCACCACTCACCAAACAAGCCTATGAGCCGCCACAAGTAAGTGCTGTGTTTTTGGCCTTGTTACAGGCGCTAATGCATGTTTTTTTCCCTCCCTCTCATCCTGGAGGGGATTGAATCCAAAAAGCATTCCAAGCAGGACCCACCTCATACTGTATTTCCCCTGAGAAACACATGTCACCGGCGAGTTGCGGAGAAAAATATGGTTTGGGTTAGGGGCATCGCCGTGGTAACAGATCCTTCAATTGACTCTCTGTTTCTCTCTTACTCACCATCAGCTCTTTTCTGTGGTTCACACCTAAAACCATCTGTGGCTGAGGGATAAACATTATGGAGCAACAATGACATGCTGCGTAATGAAAACAAAGCCTTCATTATAGTCTTTATGGTGCAGTTAGGGGGGGTGCTGAGTCGATGACAACAGTATTGATCCCTTACAGGCGTTGTAAGTGTGTATGTTTGGTGGGAGGGGGGCTCAATTAGACGCAGGACTGACAGCACAGCTGGGGACCTGCTGCTCAAAGGGAGTGGTGCAGCTAATCTCTGATCAATGTCAAAGAGAAAAACACTGTGGTCTCAAGTGGGTTTGTATTGAAATTGCACTTCTTCTACCAAAATCTTCCAGTGTCAACAAAAGGAAGTGACACATCCTCAGTTATTGGTTTACTAATATTGTCAGGACAGTCAAACCCCATGAGTATAAGGCAGTAATGATCCCAAACTATGCATAGTATTTAAAAGGCATGAATCCGTGAGATAAACCAGAGTTAAGTCTTGCAGATCTGTTTTGCCTGGAAAGAGATGGCTCTGTGTTTGGCCTGCAGGGCTGTTGCAGTTTTTTTTTTTTTTTTTTCCCTCTTCCTTTCCCCCCGTCTCTTTTTTGCTTGGCTTCCTCTGAGAGCTGTTATGTCTTTGGACAGCTCCCCAGCTACCTGCTGCTTCACTCAAACTGCCACAGAGCACCCCTGATCGCCCAGCCCTGCTCAGTCTGCCATGCACCCCTCTCCTCCGGGGAGCAGGCTCTTTTGGCTACGCTCCTGCTGAGTACGACACGGTTGGCCCCCACCTTTCACCTACATCGTAACCTTCTTCCATCCCAAATTCAACACTTTTTTTCCTCAGTTTGGGGGAAAAATGATCAGTATTAAGTCATTTTACTCGACAGTTTGATTGCACCACTGCCAAACTGAAGGTGTCTTCCTTTGAGACTTGATATCCACTTTATCAGCATCTCTGTCATGCTGCACTCAGAGCCAGGAGTCCTATCATCATAGTGAAATCACAGTATTCATGCTTGAGAGCTTGGCTGGCAACATGTTATTGGAAAAACCTCAAGATTTCCCTCAAAACATGGCTCATCGGTGCATTACTCTTAGGAGTAAATGTGTACAATTATCAGATCACATATTGCAGTACTTGGCTGCAAAAAAGCAATTTTATTCATTGATAAGCAATGCCAAAACACTGATCTCAATAGCGCTTTTGCTGCCATTATTTCCTGTTATCCCTCTGTGTGTCCATTTCCCTTTGCAGTGATCAGCTGCTTTGTCTAAAAATGCTTTATCTGCTTTGTTTTTGACTAAGAAAATCGTAAAACAGTCAATAAATCTTCTTAAAGTATTAATAGAAGCTCAAAACCTGGAAAGTACACCTTTAAAAAAACAAGTGTAGTCAGTTTGTCCTCCATACAGACCTTTGCCCTTGTTGCTAATAAAGTTTACATTAGATGTCCTGCACCCTCCTGATTTTGATCGGTCTGTAGTGGAGAAGTCACATTGTACAGCAAAGTGGTGATCCAAAAGTTGAACTATTTCCAGCTGAGAGCTCTGAGAGGGCTGAACGCGCAGAGAGCACCGAGAGCCCAGGGCATGAAAAAAAACAGCTGATGCCGAGGAAGTTTTTGAGCTTAGGTTGCTGAGCTCTGAAAACGCTGACCTGCAATGGTTTTTGTATGGAAAATAGGTGCTGCCAGTGCAAGAACAGTGTAAATGAACACAGGCCTTTACTCCTCATATTTCAGATTGAACTTTAGTTTTAGTTTTCCCTTATCCATATTAATTTTAATATCAGATTCATGTGCTTTTATAACTTTTTTATTGAGTATTTCATATCAAACACTTGACGCAAAATTAGACACGACCGCATCTAATATCTCCTCTCATCTGTTATGTTTGCACTGCTGTTCTTGTCTCCTATGTGGGTGGCACATGACAGCCGCATCACTTTACTCTCTGACAGTGATGCCAAAAAAGTCTATTTCTATTCATCCTCTCCATTTGATACCACACACATTAAATCTGGACCCCAAGATTAATAGATTAGCCAGCCGTTATGGATCATCTAATCTGAACTAAGTGATCAGCGGAGACAGATGGTCTCACTTGTTGTTGGTAGCTGCTTCTGTTCCCCCCACATGTCTCTGTGTCCAACTATAGTGTTTATACAAGCACTGCTGACCCATCTTGGACACAGTGGGCCCCGAGGACGTGTCAGTGTCAGACCACCACCGCAGATACATGAGCTCAGTTGTTGTGGCCTAACTGGTCAGTGGAAATAGAGACTTAAAAATAACACTCGTGCCATGACGTGTGCTTGTGTGTGTGTGCGCTTTTGTGTTCACAGTGCATGTGTGTTGATTTGTTTATGAGTATTTTAGTGAAGGATACACCCCATGTGTTTTTACAGCTTGTAAATACAAACTTTTGTTCTAATACTGACCACACAGTCACGTTGAGAAGGCAGAGGACGCTCATGCTCTTTCTTTGTTGAGACATTTGAACAAATTCTCAGCTGTCGGTGCACCTCAGAGTTTTTTTTTTTCTTCATGTCAAATTATTATCTGTGTTTTGGCAGCAGTGTCAGTGATTTGATTTCACAGTCATTCCTTTCACTCAGTACAACCACATGCTGCAGAGAGAAAATATGTTGGCCTCTCGCCTTTTAGTCACTGATTGTGACATATTAGACAGTTACAATACTCTACCTGTCACAGTTTTATTTCAGAGAAGGTTATATATGACTGGAGCTATAAAACTATGCAGGAGTAGTTAGGTTGGGAATTTCTGGAGTGTGTTGAGGTAAGGCTTTGGAAAAAAATGGCACTGCTATTGTTGCACAACTTTTACTTCAGAGCTGATATTTCTGACATGACATCTTTACCCCCAAGAGTAACTGAAGGGAAGGAAAACAGCAGTAACAATGATTTTATCTAGCAGTATGTTGCACCATTACATGCAAAAACAACACATCAACAGGTGAAACATAATCCCTAGGCCTTCGACTCATCCCTGGGAAATGGCTGAATAAATCAATTATGGTCCCAGCAGATGCCTCATGTCTTCACTGATCAGATTAAAGACATATCCAACGGCTTTTCTCTGATGTATTGGACAGAGATCAAAGGGGAAAGGTCAGCGAGTTTGGTAGAGGTCAGAGGTTATGGGTTGGTGTTGTAAGTTTGCGTTGAGTGTCCAGTGGAGGACAAGAATGGAGCCAGTCTCCTGCTAAGGGTCACAGAGAGTGGGCAGTAAATTCCCAAGCTCCCTTCCCACCACAAGTCTGCGTGACCTCTTTGACTAAATGTTTGGTTTCTTCAAATATACCCCAAGGAGTTTTAAAATGGTTATGAAAAAAGTCAATTTATAACAAAGCAGGCAAAGCTAGACAACTGACAAGGTTTATATTGGTATTGCTGACACATTTTGCTGCTTGGACAGGGTCCGATTCTGATTAAGACAAGTGGAATGTGCAGTTTGCCAATCAACTTTTACAGTATAAAGAATATTAAAAGACTTAATAGAAGCAGAATTGAATTTTTTAAATGGAGAGCAGTACTTAAAATATCTACAAAGAGATAGGACATACTGATTTCTTCATGACGGCAGCTGAAATTGACACATTAAGAAGACTCCTGAGACTTGAGCTGCATAAGCTCGTAGTAAACACAGATTTTAATTCTCTGAAATGAAGACAGTTGATTCAATTAAATATCAAGCCAAACAGCTTTTTACTTCTGTCAGGTTGTCATTTGAACAAATGGCTTTGTTGCAGCATCTATAAAAATCTTAAACTATTGTGACTTGGCGACTTGCATCCAACCAACAATCGCTAGGTTATGAGAAGGGGAATTCATTGATTGGTTGACTGATATGACTTTCCCTGTTATCCTCACTGAACACTGATGAACTCATGTTATAGACAGTGGTGTATATGTTATGAAAATCTCCATGCTGTTCTGCTTGAAGGTCGTGCAAAAAAGTGTCTACATGTACCAGCATGCAAATGCATACAAGCATCCACAGCCTCTGCCTCACTTCATGAACTTCTTTTGGACCAAGATGGAGTACTCCACACTAAAAACCAAATTAGCCTGAAAAGTGCTGACTGCAGATCCTTTAGTGTGTCCACTTGGGACTGGCTCCAACAGAGAATGGATCTCCTTGGACGCCCATTCCTACAGCAGATAAAAATATGTTTACAGCTTGGCACAAAAATGGCTTTGGTCTGAATTGCCCGTCTCTCCATTTGTACTCATACTAACATTTTACGGTTTATTGGCTGACTTGACTGACTCGCAGAGACATTGAAGCTGCTTGCCAGAAGGTTAAAGACCGAGCTGAACTCTTCCTCTTTGCCTCGTACAGGATGGACCAAAAACTATCAGTATTTCCAACACAGCAACTACCACTGATAGGCTTTTAAAACCAACAGGGGACTCTCTCGCTCTCTCTATGTCCATGTTTTGGACGTACTGTATATTCTGGCTGGAATCAACAAGGCTTCTCAAGCCAACCCAAACACTATAAAATGTGTGTCCTCTGTTAAACATTGTCTACACTCATAACTTTGGCTGCAGTTTTACTGTATGAATCATAATTTTACAAGTGAATTACAGACTTACAAGCTGCATTAGGGTGTTGAGCTATTCCCCACGGACACAGAGAATATCAACATCATTTTCATTCAATATACATGAGTATAGATTCACATATAAAGGCCTCAAAGTCATGGTGAGTGCAAACTAGGTAAAGATACCTCATTCAGTTTTATTTTCCCTTTCTGAGTCCTCAAATGGTTTCAAAATACAGAGCTCGTGAAAAATGATGTCCACTGAAGAGTCCAGTACTGATCAGTTTTCAGGAGCTACTGTGTCTCTCCAAACACTTGGAGTTAGAAACAGATCTAGTCGAAGTAGCAGTCCTGGTTTCCCTTTATAAAGCGCTTTATAAATATTCAACAGGTGCTACTGCTATCTGAAAATATTTTCTGTAATAGATTTACTGGTACATTTGAAGAATATTGCTGTAGTTCATATAATATTTATCTTCTGTGCAGCACATTGAGCCTAACAAAAGTACAATTCTGTCCCCTAACCCTTTTATTTTCACAACACAGAGAGCTATTCTTACTTAAAGAAGATTATGCGCTTTAGGAAATGCCTGAGGATAATATATTGATGTGTGTTTTTCACTAATGTTATTTTAGCCTCTGACTGTACACCATGAGAAAAATAGAGCAAAACAAAACACACAGAACATGTGACTTTTGTAGTCATCAAGTTTTGTTTTTCTTTTGCGAGCAGTTTCCGAAAACCTACATGGTTTCATTTCCGAGGTTTGGAGGCTGATGGCCAACATTTGAGCATGCAAAAGTAATATTCTGCCTTCGAACTACAATAACCAGAGCTGGGAATGAATAACAGTGAACTCCCTCAGTGCTGGAGTTTAAAGAATCACATCTTTCATTTAACCCTAATCAGAAACCACAAGAGCAACGTCAATCAGTTCTGCACAAGGGTTGCTTGAAGACAGGCCAGTTGGCTGGAAAGAGGTTTCATTAAAAGCGTATATATGGAAAGAGATGATCCCTTAGGAGAGTTGCAAGCCCATAGACACGGTTGTTAAAGGTCCTATTAAAGATTGCATGGCTCTTTATCTGTCCTGCTGTGGTCATAAATCTGTCAGAGGCACCAGCAGTGGCCCGGGTTCAAACAGTCAGGAACCCTGCAGGTGAGAGAGCAGTAAGTAATGAGAGAGGTGAGGCCTGTAGAGCCGCAGCGTCATAACAATGGAGGGAAGAGTGGTGGGGTTAGGGGGCTTGGAAAAGTCAGGGTCATGATGAGGCAACACAGAGGGGCTTCATTTTAAATCAAAAGGGGGGGAAAAGAACACAAAGCTTGAGCGATAGAATTAAGAGCAGCGCTGCTGTGCTCAGATAAGTAAACAGAGATTACCTCCACTTTGCAGATTGTGCAGAAATAAAAGGAAAAAGCAGGTTAGCAGGAAAAAAGAGTTTATAAGGTGAGTTGTTTTGGGTCCAGGAGAGGGTGGAGGTCCAGCAGCAATAATATTTGCCAAAAAACGCTCCGCATGAGAATCTGAGATGGGAATTCCTCTTTCCCCCCGGGAGGCTGCGAAGCGATTTTAGAGATGTAACGCTATACTGGAAATATTTACAGTGGGACCAGAGCAGCAGTCAAATAATGACACACTGAAATGACAGCAGAGGACGATGTTTTAGGGGTCGAAATCATGAAGTTTGATGGAGGAGAGTGTTGCTTTCGTGCCTTGATGGAAAGAGGTGGTGATTTGTTTTGAAACTGGTCGAGGAGTCAGAGAGTTAAGGTCAGGTGACAGTGAGATGTGCACGTGAGCGTTAAATCCACCGATGAATTTAAATATGTGTTATGTCAGTTGGGTTGGGTAGTTTAGAAAGGGTGTGGATTATCTGGAGACGAGTTTTTTTTAATTACTTAGGGTGTTTTCTTGCTTTTTTACAACAGGATTTGACATGTAACTTCCTTACAACATAATCGAAATATTCTGTTCTTGAAAAAAGTGTGCAGAAATATTAGAAATATCATCAGATATACTAATACTGCAGTTTCAGACAGATTCACAGAAAGCTTATTTGCAACTCCAATTTGAAAGCTTGACAACTATAGACAGCTGTGGCATTTGTAGATAGATTTTGTACCTAGATGTTTGGTTAGTTACGGTTAGACATTTTGATGAATTAGATGTTACAGCGTAAAGGTCCCACACAGTCAGCTGAACTCCAGCGGTCAATAGTTTGGGGTGAAACAGCAGTGCTCTCACATTCTTCCTTGGTGAATTGAACTGAACTTGAAACTCAACTTGGACAAGAAGTTTGGCAACTCGGTTACAACACTGTTCTCATCAGCTAGCTTAAATTTTTCAACAATTGAATAAGTAATTGCCACCAAGATTTAACGGCGAACATGTAAACATGAGAAATCCACGTTAATGATTTCATTGTTTCTTTTTAAGATGATTACTTTGGCTTTCATCTCAAAGCACAGCTGTGCTGAAGTTCAGCCTCAGAGCTGACAGCATGGCTGTGGGCTGATAGGATTTATACAGGTGACTTCCTATTCCTCTGACCTCCATCTGTACTCTGTTTCTCAACCACTCAGGTGGGGCTTTGAACAGATGCTCTTCTAACTCCCAAGGGCAAAGTTAAAGTTTAAGGTCATCAGGCCTTTTTCACGTCACTGCCCCTAAGTTCAGAAATAATTCACCTGACACTCTTTACATCTTGTTTAGAAATAATTATTGCATCTTTTAGTACTTAGTCAGATCACATCTGATATAACAAAGATGTGCAGATGTCTGCTATGTTCATGTTACCTCCATGATTGCAAATCTGTGGTTTGTTGGCTGATACAAGCTGTTCCTCAGTGTGAGTCATAAATAAAGTTGACTCAACCTGACTGACTTTTACTGTCTGGCTCTTACTTGGTTATCCTGTAAGGGCCAGGCACTCCCATCTGTCACCAGTGAGTGCTAAAACAAACATCAGAAAGTATTTATACAGTCTAAAACAGTCTCCACATTGGTAAGGATGAGGTGTGAAAATAACTCAGGGAAGTCCCCTTATCTTTATTTCTTCCTAAGAGTCAAGATTAGTGACGTCTCAGTCGAGCCAGACACCTTGAAATCAAGTTTCCTCTACACTACAGCACCTGGATTTTTCTCATGTTATTCTGTCAGTAGAGCTTGTTATATCTCTGTCCTGCAGAGCTGTGCCGTCTCTATGGATGTAACATAAAAGGGGAAAAAAAAGGATGAATTGCAGGTGTTTTATTAGAGTGTTTAAGTGCTGGTGTAGCTCACAAACTATAACTATATCTCTTGTCTTGTAACTCCACATTCATCCGTACAGATCAGCAGAAAAGGTGACCTGCAGCTGCCCTGACTGTCATTGTGACACAAGGGGACAGGATTTATCACAGCGCTCCACTTTGATTCTCACAAAGCCAAAACTCCTTTAGACTGTACGACACCGAGGATAAAATATCACTCACAGACCTAAATGACATTGACAGATCTGTGAAAACAGGCTAAGGGTGTAGAGGGAGAGGGGGAGGCCGAAACAGAGACCTGGAGAGTGTTTTTTTTCTTCCCCCTGTACATCTGGATTTGTGAACTTCTCAGACATCGTGTGTGACTCTGAAGGTCATCGGCTCCCCCCAGATGTGCACCTGACAAACAAATCGGCGAACATGGTCACTTTTCACTCCACTGATCAGCTCTGCGTGTAACGTGAGAGGGGTCTCACTCTTACTGTACTGTATACACAGACATACCCATGCTCTGAGTCTGCTCTCCATCAGCTGTCAGAAACCTGTGTGCCTGTTGGGGCTTTTTCTTACCCTCATATACACAAAATAAAGTCAGAATGCCTCTATTTGCAGACAATAACTGCATGTACATGAGTGGTGAGCACTTTGAAAAACTTCATTTTCTGTACAGAGTTTATTGCAGATTTCTGGAATAGGTTAACTTATTGACAATAAGTTACAAGCAGGTTCATTTTCAATCTAAGGGTCATAAAATGTTAGAAATAACCACCCCATGATGCAGATTTGTTAAAAATAAACAAATGTAATGCAGGTAACCATTTCTAATGCACTTTTCCTTGACTAAAAATGTAGGGAAATGCATACATACATTCAAACTTGGGTGAATTGTGCATTGGGATAGCTGCTGTCGAGTTATTTCTTTTAGCAATATCAATCTTAATCCAGTCACATCAGTGTTAAAATCCCCTTTATTAAAGTGTCATCACTTCTCTTCAGGGATCTCTCTCATTATCATTAAAAATATATATGTTTATATTGTTCAAACAGAGGAGAAATGCACAATTTTGTTTGTGGCTCAAGGCTCTGTGTGTTCTAGGAGTGGCAGATGAGTGCAGAGGGAGTGACTCGTGTTTACCCCCCCTCAGGGATTGTAAAGAGAAGAGCCTGCAGGTTTGACTGCGCAAAGAAGGCAGAGTTGAAACCACAGTGTAAATAGACTGAGCAGAAAGAGAGTGCAAATTCTGTCTGGAGATATTGTAAAACATGTCTTTGAGTCGTGCTCAGGATTTATTTCATGTCAGAAAATATTCTTTCCAGCCACATTTTCTTCTCTTTTTTTCTATAGCAAGTATTTAAGTGCTTAAAAAGCTCCCATCCTACCACATCAGTTCAGGTCATAACCACCACTTCCTTACCAGCGCTTGACCTCGCAGCAGGTTTTAAGGCTGGTATGAAAGGAGCTCTGTCAGTCAGACTCCTGCCCTTTTCCTTCTATTAACATATGTCAACACAGAGAGAGAGTGGTGACACAAACACACACACATGCAGACTCACACACAAACACTGTCAATGATTTGCAGGGAGCAGCGGCGGTACAGCGGTTTCTCACAGGCTGTCCCGCCTGTTAGCTCTGTGAACCTGCTAACTTGGCATGCATGCTGGCTCTGTTCGGCCTTTGTGTCCCTCCTCGCTCCTTCAGACACTTCTATTTGTCCTGAAACAGCTGTTGAGCAACATTTAAGTCCCGCATGTGTTGCTAAATGCTCCCCCCTGAATGTAAGAAATGCTTCACATGTGAGTCTAAAGAGCACAGATCATCATTTCCTGTGGTGCAGAGGGGCCAGGGAAACATTTAACAGTTGCTGTAGCTGCACTGGCAGTGAAAGGGAGAGATGGTCCTGCTCCAGCATGATGCAACAACCGCGCAAAGTATTATTATAGTGAAGTTATTATGTGTGGGATTCTGGATATCTGAGCAGGTCTGAGATTGACAACAGTCTCAGTTACGTAAGTTATTTCTTTAATGATCATAAGTTATCATTTTGAGTTAATTAATATGCCAATTAGAAATGTGTTTTAAGTTGGTAGGGGACTAAATTTAAAGAAACCATCCTCTGACATTATTCTGATTGGTGTATTTCAGATATACGGCATTAAACAGAGCATCCATGGGTTAATCCGATGAGTCAACAGGAGAGTAAATCTTTTGTATCAGATGAAAAATTTGTCAGAAAGAAGCGATCTCAACACCCAGCTCGAGGTGGAGTCACGGCAGTGTTTCAAAGAGAAATATCAGGGGGAAGATAAAGTGTTATTTTATGAGCTGTTTACTTAAAAAAGTGAAAGCATGTTATTTCTCAGAGAAGAAACTGTCCTTTTATTCCTCTAAAACATGAAATGTTGCAATGATAAGTCATAAAAAATGAATTGTTTGTCTGATATCACTGTGCAATAACTCACAGATGCTTCAGGGTCACATCTCAATATCATTTTACTTTGCCTCATCACTGTGACTTTAGCATTTATTATCATAATGAACTGAGAGTCTTATGCCTTTATATGGTGGTGCTGATTCATTCATATCAATAAGCCATTCATTTAGACAGAAGACAGTATCTGCAGCTGTAGTATTTGCATGTCATCCAATACAAGCATGATGGGAAAGGAGGCGTGACGGCCAATACAATATATAGCTATATGTAGAGTATAGTTATGAATTATGTATACATTGCATCAGTTCAGTATTGCAGTGCATGTATATTAATGTGCCGACATGTGTCCCTCTGCTGTCTCCATAGAAACCACTGCGCCTATGTGGTCCAGAAGAACATCACATGCATCATGCAGGATGGAGTGGCTACCTTTGTGAAGGCTGAGTACACCACTAAGTGCATCTGGGGTCAGAAGTGTCCTGTTGTCATGTAAGTTGTCAAAGAAATCAACATAGTGAATTAAATGAAAAAGAAAACAGTAAATTCAGTCTTAGTCATGTTGAGTTTGGTTATAAGTTTTAAAATGTGTCACCAAGTTTCAGTCAGCAAATGCAGAACACAGACTTTATACCAATGCCGCCCTCTAGTGCTCACAAAATGTGCCCTCTGTATTATTATATGTAGGCCCACAGCTGCATGCACAGCTGTGTTTGTAGTCAGAGGTATTCTGCAGACAGACATCACTGGGGGGGAATGGTGCTAATTCAGATCTAGTAAAAATATCACATATTTTTGGCTGCTACTATTACGAACACTCAAGATGCTACAGAGTTCCTCCTTGTTTATGATTCGTGGTCTATTGTGCTCCTGCCTCACACCTTTACACTCAACTTTATAAAAATATGCATCACACACGCACAAAAAGGTTACAAAATAACTTTTGTGTGATAGAAATTTAGATCCAAAATACTGCTTGACCTTTAGTAGCACTTAACCTTTTCTTTATTTACTGCAGCCAAAAGCAAGGGCAGAGTGGAAATTAAAGGGGCGGGATTAACCGGTCAATATAATGAATTTGGGTGTTTGTGAAGCAAAAAGAAAACAACAACAACAATATAAGAAAGATTTACAATCTAATGGAAATACAGCTTTAATGAGATAACACTGACTTTGGATGCTGACCGTGGTTCAGTCCTCACCATTTACGTTACATTTATCTTAATCTTCTAATCTCCCACTAATCCACATGTAATCCCATCAAAAACAACTTCATCCCTTTATCTCTCCACTGCATGTTCCATCTTCCCATCCCCTGCCCAGACTATGCGCTCCTCATTTGTAAAAACAAAAGCAGCATTTCTAATACAGACTCATGACAAGCTTTGTTCTCATGTTGGCCTCAGGTATCGAACCTTCTACAAGCCAAAGTACAAGGTGGGCTATAAGACAGTGACAGAGATGGAGTGGAGGTGTTGTCCCGGCTTCTCTGGAGAAAACTGCTATGATGGGCCCACGTCTCTGCCTGATGTCATGGTGCCACCTTTCAAGGGTCAGGGTTTGCCCCATCGCCCAGGGGTGAAAGGCTTCCCTCATGGCCCCAGACCACCTGTGGATCATAAACCTGGAGGAGGCCAGCTGGAGCCTGGAAGACCTATCCCAAGCACTCCCGACCAAAGACCAATACCCACTGGACAGCTGCCTACTGGGAGTGGAAAACCAAACTATGGTAAGAACAAACCAATTAAAGTAAAGCTCTGGGGATTTGAACCTGCCCTACTGCATGTTTTCGAGCACCTGGTTAAGCATGTGTCCTTTCTGTTTGATCCAGGGAACAAATTTGGGATTTCAGGAGTGACCGGAGAGCGTTTAGATCGCATGGAGGATGATCTACGCCGGCTCACTCAGGGTTTTGACACTCTCAATGGAGTGGTTGCTGGCCTGGAGGAGAGATTGCGCACATCACTGCGGGAAGACACGAACAAAATCCTGGTGTCTTTGATACCAAATGGTCCTCGTGTTCCTGACTCTACAGTGGGATTTGGAGTGATCCCAGATGGGACTCCTGATGGATTGGATGGAGGAGAAAGCTTTACGGGTTTAGGAGACTTGGCAGGAAGAGTTACAGAAGTGAGAGATGAGCTGCGAGCCAAGACTAACATCTTAGAGGAGATAAAGGTACAGATTTAGCTTGTTGATCAGGTCTTTGTCTTCCTTTTTCTTCTTTCGTTTTCACTATTTTTTTCCCTCATTTGTGCGTCTTTAGGTGATGGTGCTAGGTCATGATGGCCAGCTGAAAAAACTGTTGGATGGAGCGAGAGGTAAGCCCATCCCTGGTCCTGGCTCCACCGCATTAATAGACGAGATCCTGGATGCAAGGCTAGCTGATGTTCGCGCTCAGATCTTGGATGGCTTTGAGCGCCGTCTGACCGGTCTGGAGAACCACTGTGACTCCAGAATTGGGGAGGTGCAGAAGCAATGCCACAAGGAGCACATGGATGGCCAGGAGCAGATGCAGCAGTCTTTGGATGGAAGAGAGACAGGGATAAGGGAGGAGTTGGGATCTTTGCAGGCTCAGATCCAGGGCCTTACCCTTACTGAGAGCTGCTGTGGACAGGTATGACAAAGAGAGGATTGCCACATGGATCACACAAGTTATGAAGCAATATTTCACTTGATTCTTGTGACTCATGTGGCCAAACAGCCCTCTATGTATTTTCCCTGCACTTTTTCAAATGTCACTGTTCAAGAATCATGGGAAATATAAAACAGGCCGTTCCCACAGAAACCAGTAATTCACCTTATCAGACTCCAGCCCTGTGGCAGAAGTTTCAATCATTGCATAACAATATTATAATGATCAGTCTAGGCTAGTTACTAACCGTCTTGTTTGCTTTTTTGAGTTACAAAGAATTATCGTTTTAATGTCTTTGTTCTGTAAGCAGTCAGAAACTCCCCACAAGAGCTCTGGATTACCGAAGGAGTGCTGTGTAATGAAATCATGATTGTAGAAGGTGTAATAAGAGAAAGAAGTGACCTTTGAAGCAGTTTAACTTGCTTCCTTGCTGAATGACATGAAAAAATAACAAAGTACCACTCCTTTCAGATAAACAATCAGCTGTAGCTCTACAGTGACTGGGTTTTAGCCTGTTGGCAGTCATTTAGCTAAGCTAGCCAAGCAGCTAAGCTAGCCAAGCAACTTTAGCCAAGCTAGCCTATAGTTAGATTTAACTTTTTGACAAAGAGGTGACAGGACTTTAGCCTGTTTGCAGTCATTTAGCTAAGTTAGCCAAGCAGCTAAGCTAGCCAAGCAACTTTAGCCAAGCTAGCCTATAGTTAGATTTAACTTTTTGACAAAGAGGTGACAGGGCTTTAGCCTGTTTGCAGTCATTTAGCTAAGCTAGCCAAGAAACTTTAGCTAAGCTAGCCTATAGTTAGATTTAGCTTTTTGACAAAGACATGAGTAGTATTTTCTCATCTATCACTCTGTAAAGGATGTTTTTAAGAAGTTTTGTCCGCTAACTGATAAGCTTTTGTATCATTGATATTTGCAGGTTAACAGTCTGTCTCATCGTGTTCTCCTGCTGGAGGAGTCAGTGAAAGGTTTGACAGAGTCCCAGAGACTTCTCCAGGCGGCACTCACTGACCAGACCATACACGTGGAAACTCGCTTTGTGGACATAGAGAGCCGCTTCAATGTCACAGAGCTGGGAGTTGATGGAGTGGCGGGACTCCCAGGTGGTCTGGATGGCTTTAAGACCATACTGGAGGACAAGCTGAAGACCCTGGAGGAGAGAGTATTTGTTGCAGTGGAGGAGCTGAGTAACGCCACCGCTCCTGCTCTTCTGGAGGGTCAGGTGGTCCCGGCCCTGGAGACAGAGATTGAGTCTGTGAGGAGGAGACTGGAGGGAGATGTGGGTGGCATTCAAAAGAAGTTAATAGACCTGGAGCTCCTCTGCACCTCTTCCTGCTCGCCTTCCACTCCATCAGCAGGGGGTGTCAGTGTCCCAGGAGATGAAGAAGACTGTGAGGAAACTGAGAAGAAGATGAAGGACAGACTAGACTCCCACTCTAAACAGCTGGCTGGCCTGAACAACACCCTGAATAACCTGCTTTTCCGTATTGCTCAAGAGGAGGAAGAGGGATCTGTGGAGGGAGAGATCACCCTGCTCAAGATCAACATCAACTCTGTGAACCGCACCCTGAAAGGCCTGAAGGACTCTATCAGCTTCATTGCCAGTGAAGTGGGCCATGCTAACTCGACCTGGGAGCAGAGAGAACACCAGCTAGTCAACCAGGTGCAGGGAATCACCAAACTAGTGGGCCACCAAGCCTCCCTGCTGGGTGCTGGGGAGCGGCGGCTCGCCCAGCTGAAAGCAGAGTTAGTTTCCTTGAAGAGACGGCTGTCTGGAGAGCTGCAGGGCTGCAGAAGTACTGCCATAGAAGTCCAAAAGGAGGTGAAGGAGGTTGGGGGCAGGGTGAGCCACGTGGAGGGCCAGTGCAGCACGTTGGGAGAACTCGCAGAGCACCTTGAGAGGATCAGGGCAGAGCTGGAGAGACACTCAGACACCTACCTGGCACAGGTGAACGGCACACTGGCTGTCCATACAGAACAGCTAGCCGCACTGAAAGGGGAGGTGAAAGACTGTGCAGGCAAGGGAGCAACCAACCAAAAAGGAGACCAGTAGCATCCAAGCTACAGGGTTTTTTAAAAATAAACTTGTGAGTGCTTCTCATCAAGCTCGAGTGACTTCCTCTACTTCTCTCTCTTTCAAATCCCATCCACTCAGATGCAAATTAACTGAACCGGTAAAAGTCATTTCCCATAAGCTCCCTACCCCAGTGCCTCCAGATGCCCTGGGTATTTAGTTCAGTGAGGGGAAGAGAGAAAAACACAGATTACCATTGATGTATAGCTGGGCAATATTTTCCCTGGAGATTTTATTTTATAGGGCATTTTTTTTCCTCTGATCATGATTGTTATGTCTTGACATTTTACCCTGTTTTAACTTATATGAAGTGACTGCATTGCTATGATGTTAGACTGTTTTTAAAGAGCAATGATAACAAAACAAAGTGGATGACATGGGACTAATGCGCTGCTACGGGTTTCTACTGACAAGCACACTTGACATCCCTTTGTGTGGACTCTTGTCTGGTCTTTTTGAAAAAATACTGTATGTCATCTTGGTGCTATTGACATTTTTTTTTTAAACTTCAGTGTTAAACATGTTTAAAAATGATATTGTATGTCTGCTTTTGACAGCTGTGTTTTATTTCACGATGAACTGCTCCAGGTTGTGGAGTAGTTCCAGAAGTTACCATTAGAGGGCAGTGACCACACATTACAAGGAGTGTTGAAAAGAAATAAATAAAGAGTAAAACACTCCAGGATGACAATGTCTTTAGGTATACATTTAGAAAAGTAGGCCATCTTTTGAAAATATATGTGGGTGGTTAATTCTGAAAATAACAATTCAAAAAATTCAATACATCTTTATCTCTGCAAGAGGAATTGTACACAGCAGCTTGCCTGATTGGTAATTATTGGGTCTATTATAGTGTGACAAGTGTAATCCTTTATTGTTAGTTAGCAGTCTGCATTTTTATAAATGAACCATACATATTCTTTGGCCTCAGTTCATTTATTGTGTGTCGGCAGATACACACAATAAATATCCGTGGTGATGGCGGGGGTTGTCACATAATGTATTAAGTAAGACAGCCATGTGAAAGGGGCAATAAACATTCAATTATCACAGGACACACACAGGGGGAAATGATATGGAATAATATCCGTTTTATTAGGATTAAGGATCTGCCAGCACAAGAATTTTTTTATACCCAGTTAGATATTAGATATATAAAATATTCTACCTGTAAAGGAATTATACTGGATCACAAATTTTATCTGGAAAAAACAAACAAAACATCTTTGAGGTCTTTATTTTACTCACTTAATACACCTTAATTTTAACTATCATGTTAACCATTTACTCATATTTCAGTGCACCAAATATGTTATGTTACATTTTTTCCCCATAAAAAACTCATTGGGGTGAAAAACTTCCCTCTCTTAGGAGTGCCCTGGAAAGCCAGGCAGCGGCACGCTCAACAAACCCTAACCCTAACCAACAATCAACAGCCATTCTTCCAAACATAATCCTACAATAAAAAACATGAAATCACCATCACATTATAATCATCAAGTAAAACCGTCTTGTGAAGTTTCAGGGTTTTTTGTAATCCATCTTGAGTCAAGGAAAAAGGCATCCGAGATCAATCAGAGTGAAACTGCTTCACGTAGCAGTGCTCGAACATGCCTGTGCTGGCTACCCATTCCTCTGCACAGATCTTTATATGCCAGTGTGATTTCTAGATCAATATTCTGCCAAATCTGTGCCGAGCTTTGTGACGCCATCTGTCAGCTGTGCCTGTTTACATACGGGAAGCAGAGCATTAAAGTATTACAGTAGTAGACATGAACCAGACTCAGTGTATAACAAACATTTCTGTCCTCCAGCAACATAATGATTAACAATTTGTGTAACACACTTTTGCAAGATACAGTTACAGTTAATCATTCAGATGACCAAAACTGCATATTCCCAATTTTTAACCTCATTTGACTTTGGAGGCAGTGACATAAATGTATTTTTTTTTAAGAATGATATTATATTTTCTTAAAGCTGTTTTAAGGTTCTTGTGTTTTGGCCGAAATTAGAAATTAGGAAGCAATATGTTAACTTCAAAATAATGAATTTTTAATGAGATGAAAACACACAAACAAAAAAGCTGTTTAACATCCAGGACAGCTAACAGATATTGAATTATGGTTGAGCCAAACGGGCTGCACCGTTTGCAGGTTTTTGCAGCTATCAGCGCATAGTTTAAGACAGCAACATCTCTCTGTGATTAACTGGCTGTCAGCATGTAATGGGGACCAGAAGTGTATCATTAATATATGCTGCGCAGCATATTGGCTGCAGGAATATGAGGTGTGACTACAGAGAGTAAGCAGTTTCTGTGAGAGAAATTCATTTAGACAGAAAACTCCTGACTTGACCAAATTGATACAGACTGGAGACTGCTTATTCAATAAAAAAGAGGACCTGAAATAGCATTAGTGCATCTCCCTCATTCACAAGGCTGTGGTCACATGAGGTAGTCAGATGATAAGATGAGGTCATTAGGTTGAGAGTGTGGAGGATGTTTGTGGAGTCAGAGGTTAGGCCCAGACTCCGAGAGTGAATGAAGCAGAGTGAAATGAGCTGTAAAAATGAGTTGACTTTGCACGAGTGAAGCGCCGTCAGCAGGTCTTCTGTACAGCATCAGCACATAGTTTTTAAACACAACATCTCTCGGTAACCAGAGCAGGATGAAGCAATCACAACATAATGAAAACCAGAGGCTAGACATGAAATAAATACGCCGGAGCGGATGGAGTGGGTGGAGGTCGCTGAGGGAAATATGGAATCAGAGCTGTATGACCAAGAGCATGAAAGGAGAGGAATTAAATGCAACCATTTAAATTGAGATAGCATGATATAAAAGAAAGTATAGCTGTGACTGTCAGTGGGCTGAGATGATGAAGAGGAGCAACCAGGCTGATAGACAGTGATGTGACAGGGGCAGCGCAGCCAGGAGAAGAAAAGTTGGACACCATGGCAGAGAGCACAGTCATGTCAGGGAGGATGAAGAGAGCCAGAATCGAAAGCAGATGTGTTTACAACCTACAAAGTCCCTCTGCGGCTGCATCCCCTTTATCCTGACAGGAAAGCAGGCAGGAGTCACAACAGGAGAGAGAGGGAAAGAAAAAAAAACGTGTCTACTTGGATGCACAAGCATATACACAAACACAAACAGCAGAAGTGTTACATTAAACCCCAGGGCTTGACAGCAGCTGGATGCTTTGCCGTCCCTTGGGAGGGAGCAACTCACAAAGGACTGTCCTATCTGTGACCTGCACAAGACAGAGAAGATGGAGAAGAAGAAAAAAACGGAAGCAGAGAGGAAAACGAGCCAGTCACTGAAACACTACTTCACACTCAAACCTGAGACCTGGACAAATCGTTACATAACACCTGTCGACATTACAAATTCATGTGACATCCACACATGCATGGGCACAGAAGCTCCTCTCTTCCTCTGCTTCCTCCTTTTGCACATACATGCCACACTCACTCACACACACACACACACACACACACACACACACACACACACACACACACACACACACACACACACACACACACACACATAGTTCCCATAAGGCACTGCTGTGCTCTATTACTCAAAGATCTGATTTAAGCAGATATGAGAGGACGAGCCCTTTTATGCATGATGTCAGCACATATATCATATAGAAGCTACACAGAAAGCTAAAAAAATTGTAGAAAGCTAAAGGGCACGTCCCTGAGTTTGTGTGTGTGTGAAATGACACACATACACGCACAAAAGCAAAGATAGTTGCACGGAGGAAGCATTCATGAAGAGTGTGATGTGATTCTGCGCCACTGAAAGCCACAAATTTAGTTATTCAGCTATTTCTCTGTGCAGATTCCAGTTTAAGACACTGCAGGGGGAAATGCACTAACACACACACACACACACACACACACACACACACACACACACACACACACACACACATTCAAGCAACATAGCCTACAAAGGCATCAAAGCCTCTGAGAAGCACAACACTCAAGAGAAAACGTGTGGCTGAATTAATAACAGACGTGTATGTGTGCCGGCGCGTGTTGTACACACATGCCAGGACGGCTCTTGAGATCTGAAGAGCTGCCCTCTGTGTGTGTCTGACAGCGAAGTGACACTGGTGTTAGCATACCAAAGCCCTGTGTTTCCCGGACTCCATTAAGATGTGGCTACTCCAGCAGGGCTCTGAGGCTCTGCCAAGATTCCCACACACACTGTGAGTACTGTTACACATCAGGGGACAAGCGGAGGCATTTTTCAGAGAGGGTAAATGGAGGCTTTTTGCACTTTTATTCCTTTGCTAACTGACATTTCGCTGGGTAAAACCGAGTAGAAAGTGGTGCTCAAATGCATTTAAATTCCAGTGTAGATATCCCCATCCCTGCCACTTAGCATTTCCTTCCCAGACAGCATAATTCAATTATCAGCTGTCACTTCTGTTAACCAGAGGAGATGCGCAGTTAATGTGCTAATCGCCAAAGGGGCTGGAGCTGCTCAGATTCAATGAATCTTAAGTGACCTCTCCTTTCAGCTTTCTCAGCCTGATCTCTGTTTCTCCGTTATGGGTGACAGGCCGGACAACAGCAACAAGAAACATCTTTGTCTGGAGGTCTGGATGGGGAACATTCAGAGAGGGATTCACACACAACAGAGTGATAAACTGTACTAAAATTGAGGAGCAGAGGAATCTGAGGGTTTAAATGTAGATCACGGGAGCTAAAAACGGACAAGAGTCTTCTGTTTGGGTGTGATTGTGTGAGTCATGGTGTGATGCTGTCTCTATCTGCCTCTCGGTGATCACGCAGGCAATTACACTCAAAGAAATCTTTGAGTGGGAAATCTTACAGCATGTGTTTTCCAATTTAATTAAAGAAGGGAAATGCTCCTCTTGGACACCATCGATAAACATCTCCTGGGGTTACTTCCATTTGCGCGTACGTGCCATGCAGGCTACAAAAAGTGACAGCCATTGTTTAAAACTTAAATCTAAACTTCCACTCGAGACCTCTCACTGGCAGCTCATGCTTTAACTGTTGCCAAATCTGGGCTCTGTGTATTGTATGAGTAATCAAGTGTAAACCAAATGTCTCTTTACAGAAAGCATGCCTGCGTGCGCCTGTTTACACTCTTCCCAGCAGTCATAGTACGCGGCACAACCACATTATTATTCTGCACATCTAAAATAGAGCCGCTGTGACTCCACACAGAGGAAATGCTTTGGCAGAGGGACGGATACTCCAGTTACACGCACAGAAAAAAAGAATAAGACAAAACAAGAGGGTCAGTATCTTTACAAGTTTCATTTTATTGGTGTATTTTGACAATAACAATGATGGTATAAAAGAAAAATCTCCATCATACAAATTTCAATAATCAAAAGATAATATGCCGATACACAAACAGATTCACATAAGGCTGACATCAAGTTTCGACATGTGGCTTCAAATGGCTTCAATTCAAGGAGAGCTTTTCTCCTTACAATCAGAGAAGATTATTTTAAATTTAGTAATCTCTTTTCTTTTTATCTATTTTTTTATTAATAGTTAGCTTTCATACAAAAAAATGAATCAGTGTAGATTTTTAGAGTGGATTGTGTGGCTGGTTTTGGGTGCCTGTGTTTGGTTGCTGTAAGCATATGGTGTTTTTTGGCTGACACTCGCCATCCCGCGGTGCTTCCCTCTGACCTGCGCCTTACCCCACGCTGCTGCTTCTATCAAAGAGACATCACAGGCGGAAACAAGGACGCCGATCACACATGTGAAGGCTGATGCCCGTGTATGCGGTAATATGTCTCTTGAGCTGCTACAACGTGTAAGGTATGAGGAGGAGGCCTCTGGAGAGTTAGAACACCTCAGGGGTAGTAAGAGTTTAAAAATTCATGGGATATCTTTATTTATAAATAAAAAAAAAGGCTGTGCGGGGAAGCGGTGATGTAAAACCGTTGATGTCTTTGTGTAAGCTTCACTAGCACTTAAATGGCACCCGATAAAACCTCCAGCCAAATCCCTCCAAATAGCCTTGCTCTTTATGCTAGCATCTGTAGTGATTTAAGACCTTATAGAACTTCTAAAACACTACACACAACAATATTTACAATGATCATTTTCTTGATATGCACTTTTTTCAATTTAAATATTTTTTTCGCTTATAAAAAAAAATAAAAACTTAAGTGGAAAAAAAGAAACAAAACAAAAACACTGCAATAAATTAAGAAGCTTTAAGGCTGCCAGTTTTGTCAGACGGCCAAAGAATGGTCCCTTCATTCAAACTGGCACAGAATGGATCAGAGTAAGAGAGATTATGGGAGGATGAAGCCTCTTGGGTGAGCAGCAGGCCTGGTTTTGGTCTGGATTGAGACTTTTTACAGTTAATGTAACAGGAACTTACTGTCGGCATGCTCTTTGCAGAAAACAAACATTTCCTGTTCTGGATAAAAAGCAGAAGAGCACAGACTGATTTGCCCCCATTTTAAGTCATTTAGCGAACAAAGCTGATGTCGGTAAACCCATCTTGTTCTTTATGGTGTTGGCTGATTTAACTACTCAATCTACAGTGTGGGGTATATACCCTCAAAAGGGCTTCTTTCTATTGAGACGTTGCTCAAATTCTGATTCGGCTTTTCCTGTGTGTCCATCCAGCTTTTAATTCAAAGCAATGCAAAAAAAGAAATGATATACAGCCGAGCATGTATGTGTCAAGTCCAAGAAATGGACCTGTGAGTTGTTCACAACCAGGTCATAGGTATAAATCTTATCAGTGCTGTAAAACAAAAAAGAAAAACAAAGAAAAAAAAAAAAGTCTACATGGAGGACTGACAAACCTCTGAAAGGTTTTGGCCATTTCACTCAAACTCACATGGAAAAGAAAACTTAACATGTTCGCCGCTACTGTCCGTGACCCTCACTGAGCGCCTCCTGAGTGCCTGGCTAAGAGGTAAACACGTGCTCCTGTTTGTGAGAATGAAGCGGGAACAGAAATACACAAATCAGCTTCACCTGGCCGGATGAAAAGAAGCCAGGATAAACTTGGTATGGGAGTAAAACAATCGCTGATATGCAGGCTGGAATGACATGAAAGAGCCGTAAAAGTTTGAGGAATGTTTGGCCTGCCGATACTGGCCTTTATGGTGTATGCATGGCTGCAGTGAGCACGTAGAGAGAGGAAGAATCCCTTAAAGGGAGTCCTAAGGGATCAGCACCATTGATTATCAATTAGTATAAATGGAGGTACTCAGTGAAAGACAGGGACAGCTGGCGTTTTCTGATTGGGCGTCTTGCTCTTCCTGTGGTCGTCACACAAAATGGCCGCCTCCGATGTGTCTTTTCAGCAGATCTACACACACCAGGTTACGGGACCTGATCCATTTCATCCTCAACACCGTTTCTGTGTCGAAATGAAACGGACCAGCGACCCCTTTTACACAGACCTGAACCCCACAGTCCCACATAAATACACACAACTACAAGTTTCAGTGCATCTAACACGGTCTGTCATATGTCACCCACTAAATCATCACATCAACCGCAAGAAAAATAAAAAAACTGAACAATTACAGAAAATAATCCATAAAAGATCAAATAAATAAAACGAGGTCCAGCCTCTTTACTTCTTATTTCAACGTGGGAACACAAAAGTTAGTCAACCACCCATGTAATCCCCCAAACACACATCTATCTTAAGAAATGCATACAAGGCGATCTGTGTGAAATGAAGTAGCTGCATGACCAGAGGACAGACAGACGGACAGACAGTGAGGAGAAAGTGTCTGTTTTTTTTTTCTCTCTCTCTACAGAGGAACTACATTTACAGTATTGGGATATTTTTACTCGGATTCAACACTGTCAAGCACACAAACCAGAGACGGGGTGGTTCAAGCAACTTTTATGTTCTGCTTGAGTGCTGTCAGAGCACCATGTTTGCCTGCACCCCACCCAGCCAAACATCTGCTCAGACCCAAACACTCCAGAGTTTGATTCGCAAAAACAATTCTTCCAGCCGCAAGCTAAAGCTAATCGATAGATTCTCATGAGTTGCTTGATGTGCGTTCAGCTCTGCTTTCCTCTGTCCATGCCTAGATAAAGAGGAGTTATTTAAAAAAATAAAGGCAGCCTTTGATTGGTTGTTGTAGATACAGTTTTCCCAGCACCCACAGTGGAACAGTGCTGGATATTGCAAACACTAGACAATCTGAAAAATAACAAAGCAAAAGCTTCTGTAAACACCAGTGACAGTGACGGCTATCAAGTATTCTCTTCTTCTGCTTCCTCTCCTGTATATGTGAAGGTGAGTAAATATTGACAATGAAGGGGTCTAAAAATAAAACAGCGATGTTTCCTCTCTCCCTGGCCTGGACTCACACACTGGACACAAAGTGAGGTTCTAAAGTCAGTCTGTCACAGTTTCAGGGGTAAAAGTCTCCAGGAAGTCATCCTGAAGACCTTTGCACTGACAACAGGATACATACAGGCCATTTGCATAGCTCTCCCTCACTTGTATACACACAGGCGCGCATGCAGAAACACACACACAACCACACACACTCAGGTTTTGAAATGGGTGGCATGTTTGCTTAGGCAAAGGTGTGTTGAGTGTGAAGTTTGCATACGCAGTCACTCCGCCTCTGTAGTCCAATGAGGGTATGCTAGCACCCGTGCTATTGCATCTGAGTGAGGAAGTCAGGTCTAAGTTCTGCTGTCGGGTATTACAGCTTATTGCTAACAGGTTGAGCATTGCTCTCCAACATACAGCCACTTGCAGGCAGCCAGAACGTCAAATGCAACTATGCAAACACAAACGTCACAGTCTTTAAATGGTAGGTTCACAGGACAAAACAAAGTTGGTCAGAGATGATTACGGTAATAATGTTCTCTTAACTTAGGATTTCACAAACAGTATACAGAACTGAAAACACGCACTCTTTTTTACCGCATTTTTCTCGCTATCTTCACCTGTAGATTTGGCATACCTTCTGCAGAACCAGCTGCAAGAGTCCACTCAGTTTACTTCGTGATCTTATGTGTGCATGCAAAAAACGTTTTCACAGGTTTACTGCATTTTTTTTTTTTGAAGAAGAAGAAGTGCAAGGCCAACGGAAAAATATCGAAGCCTCACAGACCGTGTCAGGACTTGTAAGTCGAGTTAGTGTGTGCGTGCGCGCGCGCGTGCGTGTTAATGTGCGTGTCAATCATGGCTTATTTTAATAAACAAGCACACTAGTGTAGGGCTGGGTAAGAAAATGCGTAAATGAATGGATGAATGCTGAAGGCCAAAATGGTGCAAAAGGCATGTGGAGACTGCAGACTAGAGAAGCCCAGATGAGAGGAGTGATGGACTGTGGCACAAGCAAGTGCAGCATTAATCGTTACTTCTTTTAAGTTTTATCCAACATACTTAGTTTTGAGTCTCCTTTCTATGCATACGAACAAAAGAAAGAAAAAACACAACAAAAAAACAACCAACTTAAAAGTCCTAAGCAGTGCTGCAACTGGTGAGATATGGCTGATGTCCCAGAGGACTTTGATTCCCAGGTGTTTTTGCAGTCCAGCTGTGCCTACATCAGTAGTCAGCTACTGGTGCAAGCTTTCTGCTCAAGCTGACTGTGATGTTGGTGTAAAGAGGCCTCCTGGACACTAGGGGGGAGTAGTTTAAGTTGTTTAGACCATCCACTTTCTGTCTCTCCTTTGAGTGGCGTAGCAGACTATACCTGTAAGAACAAACAGCTTATTAGTCAAGAGAAGGGGTGGGACGGCTTACAAATAACAGTTCTTCACTCTATTGTATGCAGGAGGCATGTTAAATGTTCAGGTCTGACAGGTTACATGGAGTGGCAGACGAGCTTTATTGAACAAAGACACAAGTGGAGGAACAGGTTTCGTCATCCCGAAGGGTGACACAAGACAGAGAAGTCGGCTGACATTGAGAGTGTCTAAGAGAAAGTAACACTCGCATATGTATTTCCATGGAAATGACTCATCGGCAGACTGCTGCAGTGTTGTCAGTCTGGTCTTAATGGAAGTATTACAAAAACAAATTTTTGAGGGGTGAATGTGTGCTTTTTATCTACCTGGAATCACTTACTTGAGTTTGTTTCAGCATGAATCAAATAAATGTTTGTTTTTTTTTTCCTCTCTGGCTGTTCTGAGTAACCAAGAGAGGGAATGATTGGAATTCAGCCCTGAAGCGTACAAGCGTATCACATGCAAAGTCTTTAAAAGAGCTGAAATTCTCTCAAAGTCACTGTTCTGGCTTTTCATGTGACTGGCTTACACCACATGAGCCTAAGCTTTGTTCCAATTATCAGCCCCCATTTTGACTCGAGCGTGTGTATCTGTATGTGAATGAGTGACGCGTGCAAGGAGACAAACCTTCCGAGGAACTGGACCTCCCCGCGGTGGTGATGTGGGATTGACATGTAGCGTCCTTGCTCTCCGTGCGGTCTGCTTACTGAGTAGTTAGCAAACTGCACCCTATACAAACATTAAATGGACGTTAATTTATGATGCACTCAGACGAGGCAGAGCGAGCATTGTGTTTGGTGACAGTTTTAAAAGAAAGCATAATAGTCATCACTCATATCTGTGTAATCATATTGACTCTGTGCGCTACATGATACAGACATACAAGAGGGGAAGGTTTGGCAGTGATTGCAGACAAAAGAGATCATTACAGAAGGAAACAAAAACACACCACCAGTCAGTCACGCAGTCAGAATAGGCAGTGTGTATTGTGAGCTAACAGTGTGTACAGCTGCTTGAGAGCTGTGTAGACAGGAGGAGGGACGAAGCTGTGTGACAAGGGCACATGAAAAAAAAAAAAAGGAAGAAAACTATTACAAAGCCTGCTGTGCGCAAAACTGGCCTAACCCATCTTTTGAACACACCTCATGTCAACAAAACTGTCTCATGCTCCTTCTCTGCCAGACAGGAGAATAGATTTGTGCGTGTGTGTGCATGTGTGTGTTTGTGTGTTCACCTAACCTGTTCCAGAGGTCATCGTCCTCTCCTCCCCAGCCCCAGAACGCATTAGGAAATCCATTAATCTTTTTGAACTGTTTCACCGTCAGGCCACTGACACCACCGAAGAATTCATTATACGGAAGGCTTGAGGGGGAGACAATTACACAAATTTAATTTATGAATATGAGGAAGGATCACGTTTACTGTACGCTACAGGTGGAAACAGACTCAGGGCTTACATGTAGGAGTATTTATCCAGTTTGACTGCAAAGTGTCGAGGCATGTCTGTGCAGCCATAGTAGTTTCTGTCGTTCTCCATGAGGTGGTCGACGTCATGGAAGATAAGACAGTCCCAGTCCAGGTCCTTCATAGCCTCCTTGTAGCCCACGTTGAACAACATGGCTCTGTTGAATGGCTCCGTACCTCCCTGAGGATCAAGATTTATTTATTTTGTTTTGTTAGATTTTGTGAAGTTTTCCAACTTTTAACAAACTCCCTTTGAATACTCGTGATCATACCTGCTCTATAACATAAAAGGCAAACTGGAGTCTCTGTTTCTGAAGCACTGGGACCAGATGTCGTAGAAGGATGGGTAAATGCTCATGGCGGTTCCTGAATGGGACTAGGATCGCCACCTAAGGGACACAAAAGAAGTAGAGTCAAATAAACTTACATATGACACTTGAGACCCCATCCCCACTGACACACATAGTGTTTGTATTCTCCAGTCAAGCTGCAATATCTGTTTTCTCTGTACAATAAACATGTTTACTCTGTAACATACATGTTTACTCAAATAACAGTTTGCTGCTGTCCTACATTGTGGTAACTGTGGGAACAGGAATGTAGTGAACTCAAGGTTAAGCATTTCTTAATTGAATTATACATTGCGTAATTACAACACAGGTTTCTATTGTTTTCTAAGTATTAAAGGACCTACATGTTAATGTATGGACAAACACACACACACACATACACACAGTTACAGAGTGTCCTAATATGTGCAGCAAAGCAAACTGAACTGTTTGTGCGTGTGAATGTTCTGGTAGATGTAATCTCTCAGCAGTAGGTAAATGGGAAAGAGTGGATGAAGACAGCAAATAGAGATAACACTAATCACCACTGCAAACAAGTGTCAGGTCCTTGAAAATCTCATTTCCACAATGAGATTTGGCGTGCATCAATCATAGAGGCGCTAAGGCTTTAAACGTCAGTGAAAGGTGTTCATTTTCCCCTCCATAGACCGCCGGTTGCTATGACAGTCCCTGCTTTCTTCAGGTGATTTTGAAACAGGGTAAAAAGCAAACTGTGGCAGGAAGGAATAAAAAGAAAGCGGAATGTGAAACAATGAGCGGTTAACAGAGTGAGTGATTGAAAGAGGGAAAGAGAGAGCGAGGCTACCACAGTATGTAAAAAAAAAACGATCTCTGGTTAATGAGAGAGATTGAAAGATGACTGTCAGAACATACACAGTCCCTCGGGGCATGAATGTGAGAGGCTTACAGACAGACAGATGGCGGGCAAGATTGCTCAGTTAGCCAAAAAAACAGAAAGTGACGGAAAAAAACAAAACAGGGAGCATACAGTAGAGAGAGGGGGGTCGACTAAGACCTGACAGTGCTCGACTAAACACACAGAAACTAGTAGTTCTGATAAATGACTGTATGTGTACACTGTTTGCATTTGAATGTTGTTGAGGAGAAAGGACATCATCCTGATTTGCATGGTGAGGGACAGAATACGCAGGAAGTGGTGGAAAAGGAGCATTCACATGATCGTAATGGAAGGAAATTTGACAATGATGTTCTTCATGATTTTGTCATGATATGTTCTGTTTGAGTTAGTTTTTCCCTGGAGTGTATTTTCTTTGTGTTTCTGTTCCCTGTTGTTCCTGTTCCCCTGTAATCCAGTCTTGTGAGTTTTAAGTTTTTGTCTGACCCCGGTTCCCTCCTCTTCTCAGTGTTTTATTGCTTATACCAGTGGTTCTCAAGTCCAGTCCTCGAGGCCCACTGTCCTGCATGTTTTGGATGTTTCCCTGCTCCATCACACCTGATTCAAATGATCAGCTCGTTATCAAGCTCTGTAATGGCTTGATAACGAGCTGACCATTTGAAACAGGTGTGTTGGAGCAGGGAAACATCCAAAACATGCAGGACGGGGGGGCTCAAGGACTAGTTTTCAGTGTTTCCTGTTTTATTTTGTAGTTTATTCCCCATGTTTCTAGTCTTGTTTTACTTCCTCAGTTTTCCCTCCTTTGTAATTGTCTGCACCTGTCTCTCAGCGTCTCACCTGCCTCTCGTTGCTCGTTTTCCTGTGTTTATATGTAGTCCTTGTCTTCCCCTGTTTCTTTGTCTGTTTATTGTTGTATGTCCACGCCTCTGTGTGTGTGCTTTTTCCACCCCCTGTGCATTTTCTTGGATTTTTGATTTTTGAGTTGGACATTTTCTTGTTAGCTTTTGTTGCTTTTTATTTTGTTGCTTTTAAATAAATCATTTTTTTTATCTGCATTTTGGGTCCTTTCCCTTTTTGTTTCACCCTGGAACGTGACAGATTTTTACTTCAAAATGAGCATCTCACTTTATTTGGCTTGAACTTTCAGGTTGTTAAACAGTTTATTATGACTTTAAGACATGATGATAGAGTTGTCAGTAGGATGAGATTTTGTGTCGAGGACATTCTTTAACCAAAGACCTCTTTGTCTAAAGGGGGTCGCCACAACTGAAGTCGAAAACATACAGGATCTGTACTGAGCGTGTTCCGTATTTGCTCCATAGAGCAGCATTGGGTATCGCATACAGGATTCGTATTTGGAGCATAGCAGAAGCATAATGCAGACCTGGTTAGCTAGGAAACAACATGCTCACAACAGGTTGTTTTGCCTTTCTACGGTCTATTTGCTGCTAATTTGGATATAATCCAGTGACTGTTGAGCCTCTACTATATGTGAAAAAGCAACATGATTTTACAGTTTCGGTTTTTGCAGGTTTACTGGTGTTTAATAAAGTAAACTATGTTCCTTCATGCTGTGCTGTTACCTCCAGACAGAGTTAGCAGTTCAAAGTCCTGTTGGGGTCCACATGGATCGGGGATTGACCATCAGATTGTTCTGTGTTACTGACAAATTCATAATCAGGAAGTATTTCTCATCTACATGGACTGATACACAGTTGGGAGTTCGCATATGGTGTTTTATTATGAAATACTGGATGACATGCACAGTTTTCGTGCTTGACTTCCTGTCTGGAACGATCTTCTCTGTTTGGATTGATGCGCATTGGAGGTGTAGAGCAGCAAAAATAGACTCGCCGCGTATCTTAAGCACTTCTGCTCTGGATACGATGCTGCGACGGAGCTGATACGCGTCCTGTATGCTTTGCTGCATTGATTAGAATGTCAACCAATTTGATACGCAACGCTGCCGCCATGCTCCAAATACACATCCTGTTTGTTTTAGCCTTGACACAAACTTGAAGTCCTTTTGAAACGAGCTTCAGTTATTTTTCCAGTATGTTCCTGGTCATAACTCCATGTTTTATAACTTATGTAACATCTCCAAACTTCTCTGATCACTTTCATTCTAAATCCACCCTAAAGATCTCTGTACAAAAACAGAAGTATATTTTGAACAGTGCTTTTTAGAGAACAGTAGACCCAACTGTGTTACATCCACATTTACCTTCCAACGAGGTAAACAGTCTTCGGGCTTCCAGTAGCCTCCTGGGGCTATGCTGGGCTCCCCCTCCAGCAAGGATCTCTCCACCTCCTCCAGAGATACTTCGCTCATATTCACCTTCAGCCTGCCCTCTGTGTGAGACGAGAACAGGGAGGAAAGAAGAGACTGGTTTAGCCGGAAAATGACATAAGTGTGGGAAAGAAAGAGGCAAAAAGTGCAATGGTTTGCATATAAATGACATTTACTATAAGTAGAAAGAGGAAGTGGGGTGTGACTTATAGGAATATCATGTCAAGGATAGGAATGAAAGCGGTATAGAGAAGAGAAAAGGAAGAGGAAGTAGAGCACAGCATGTCAAAATGAGAAATATTTAGCCATCTGGGGCATATATTGCTGTATATATCCGTACTGTTACAACACATTAGCATGCATCATCAGTAATGCTGTCATCTTTCGTCATTTTAAAAACCTATTTGTACAAATAAGAGAAACTTCCACGTCTCAAAAGTTCAAATGAGGAGACGTTTGGTGTCTCTAATGTCTCACTGCATCACCAGCTGTCCCGTGTCGCAGACAAACTTGAAAACAAATCCGTGTACTCACTCATGGAGGGCAGTCTCTCAGGGCAAGCCTGAGAAGGGAGGTAGGTGAAGTCCTCAGGGAGGTATGTGGTGGGAGGGGCATCACTCTCACTCATGTTGAAGTCATAGGAATAATCTGCAGCCACACACACATAAGTGTATCAACATCAGCAGCAGCAGCTTAATCCGCTCTTTATCAGCATGAGTCCACCTTTGTTCTCGATTGTTTCGATGCTTTAATCTTCTCACCTTTTTTCCTACTGCCAAGCTTAGCTCTCTGTGTGCATATGTGAAAACACACTGAGCTCTTTTTTTTTCTTGACTTTCTTTATTGAACCAAGATCAAAACTGCATTCTTGTGCAAACTGTTCCTAAGAAAAACACGTCTTTTTTTTTCTTTTTCTTTTTCTTACCTGTACCATTGATGCTGTAAGCCCCTCTCACCACCTGCTCCAGAACCTGAGCCCCAATGTTCTTCACGTTCTCTCTGATCTGGATCCCTCTGGCTTGGACCATGAACACATACTCATTCACTGTGAACAAAAGAGGAGGGGGGAAAAAAAGGACAAAGTGTTAAGCCATTTAATTCTTGGACAAATGCTGAAAGTCACAAGTGTTTTTCAACCAGCAGGTTGCAAGATACATAAGTAGGAATGGACAAAAAGCGGCTTAATACCCCATGATGAAACATAAAAGCAAACAAATGCTGATCAAATAAAGGCGAAGGTTATCTTTGCAAGTTTTGAACTCATGACCAACATCTTTCCCCCCTCCAGAACAATGCACATGCCCTCCAACGATAAGCACGTTAATTCCTGCTCGAGTGTGAGCACACTCTTCCACCTGATCTGGCCCAAACTGATTATCTGCCTTGGTGACTTAATGAAGGGGATTTTCCAACCACACATCAAGGGGCTTTCATTCCATAGGAGCCAACTGTTTGAATGTTAATCCATTACAACAGGAGTGAAGGCAGGGGGCGAATTTACAACTCAGACTTACTCCAGAACAGTCAATGAATGTTAAACGATTGGTTTTATTTGTTTCCACACACGATGATACCAACATTTTCCTATCTATGCCGCAGTCACTTAGAAAGTGCAGCGGTCACACAGAGAGGAAGCTCTAAGAGATGTCTTTCTGCTTTACACGCGTCCACAACAACCACAGAAGCCACCGCTCACATACAGACAATCACAGAACCTGCCTACATCCTCATACAGTGTCAAAAAATCACTTTTCACAACAGCTAGGTGGATCTGCATGACAGTTGCTACTGGGAACCTTTGTAATTGTGCAACTTAAGTTCAAGTTCCACAGAATGGGGTCTGACCTGAATAATGTCACAACTAAGGTCTACCTGCCATGAGAATGTTGTTCAGTGGGAGTGTAGAGCGGAGATGTGGTTTTGTACTGAATTTCCACAACGCTTTTGCACGCTATAGCATCGGTCAAGAGCGTGCACTTGCATGAGTTTGGTTCAGAGCAGGAAATGGCTGTATGCTGTCCATTTACTGCATATAACAGACAAGGTTGATTTTTCTCAGAGTCAGGAATCAATTTTCGGTTACTCCAGGATCCTGAAGCAGAATGTCCTGCACTGCTGCTTAACTGATGTTCCCCTTCAGTGAATATGAATCCGACCGCACCTTCCATTAATCCAATCAGCATTTTCATCTTAAAGCAATCCCAATACAATTTAAACCCGTCTGTTAAAGCACGGAGATGTGTGTCTGCGTACATGCCAGTGTTTGAGTGCGTAATACTGCTGAGCTTGAAAACTACGGGATGTGATTTGTCATTAGTAATTGTATTACAGTTTCCATCACATTCATCTTGTTTTATACAAACTGCCTGGCTTGCAGAGACTAGTGGCCGGGCGGTAACTGAAATCAATGTTCTCATTTCACCTCTGCAACACGCAGATATTACGGTGCAGCTCGAGCAAACCTGCAATGCTTAATAATCGTAATGATGAAAAGGAAGAACACAGACTCGATCCTGTGCACTGTCACTGCCACACATGCAAAAGTAGCACAGCAAACACACACACACACACACACACACATTCACTCACAGCCCTCTGAGGCACCATATGATGGAAAAATGCTAAAGGCTTCTGGGGTGTGATCCAGTCCTGCAGGCACTGACATATTTTGACATGATGGCGGCTCCTCCATCTGCCGAACGTATGGAGATATATTGTCCATGCAAGTCCATACCAGTGTGCATGTCAAGCCTGCATGATGAATTACAACTTCATCATAATCATAAAATGAACATCTGCACTGAACACACCAAAAAAGTCTGAAGTGATAATAAGCAGAAACAATGTTTTCCATTAATATGCAATTGTTCCCAAATCTGCACGGCATGCATTCATTTTACATAATGTGTATGTAGCTCACAGTGTAATGACTATGCATTCACACTATTCTAATGCAACAGCAGAGCTGCTGATCTGCTACACTCACATCAATCTTGGGGCTAATTTAGAAGTGGAGAAAGATGCTTTTTGCATTTACAAACAGCAGACTGAAACAAACCAAAAGTTGTAGCTTCTACACTCATAAGAGCTATATATACATTTAATTTATTCATTTGATAAAGACAATGCACATTAACTGACATGCCAGCAAAAGCATCAATGTAAATATGCCAGAGTTAACATAAATACTCATTTAATTCGTTGTCTTAAGGCAGATGTTTAAAAACACAGAGACAATACGTTATATATATATATACACAATACACTATTACAAATTGATAAAACATGCAAGATCTTACATACAGAGTTAGTTCCTACATTAACATAACATTGTATAATTTTGGTTTAACGACACTTCTTAATCATTATATGTCACTAATAATATTAAAGTCATGTCCTGATGTTCTTGAGTGCTTGTCCCCGTCTTTTCAGATTTTCTATAAACTCATCCAGGCTAAATCAAACCAGCCTGCTTGTAACAAACCAATCCCAGACTAAACAATTAGTATCAACCAGCTATATATGACTTTATTCTGCATAGACTGCAAAAAAAAGTAAAAAGAGGGGCGGCCTTAAAAGAAAAGCTATAAAGCTTTAAAAAGAACCCTGAATAAAAAGAGAGATCAGATGAGAGTCAGCATCAGGCATGCTTTTTTTAAAACAAGGGACACAAGAACGATGTAGATGCTGCATAACTCTCCAGGAGAGATCCAGATAATGGTAGCTGTAAAGGTTAACAGCTGACAGCAGTTCTAGGCCGACAAGACTGATCACCAATCAAGATGCCTTAAATAACATCGAGTTCAACATAACAATCTGTGTAAAACATGCTGTTTGCAGCAACAGTGGTTGTCAACCTTGACTTTCCAGCTCGGCAAAATGCATGTGCATGTTTGGTGTGATATTTAGTGGGAGGGGCTTAAGTAGCAAAGGGAGAGGCTAGAGCTGTTTTCTATTCAAATGCGCATACTGCTCTTACCTGCTTTGATATTTGTTTGTTTTATTCATTCCATTATCGCGATACCAAATAATGTAATCGCGCAGTGAATGAATTTCATACGTCCATCAAGTGAAGTGTCTGTGAAGTAAACAGACAGTTTATTCCTGGAAGTCTCTTTCTGTTCCCTCTGAAAAGGTCAACGTGAGGTTCTTTCAAGGGTCATCAAACACGCTGCGGCAAAAAAGATGGAGAATGTGAACGTCATGTATACACAGCAGAAGAGGGCCGGGAGTACAGTTTCTCTCTCTTCAAACGTGCACTCTAGAGAGCGGAGTAATGGTTAGAGCCAAGGTATTCAAGGCTACAAACTGTGAAAAATTCAATTAGACAGGAGAGATGTGGAGTTCAGAGGAAGCTGCAACACAAGGCCATTAGCGCTGGACATGTAAACATGGGGCCTGAAGCACACACGCACACGCAGGTTTCTGTTGTGTCACAGGCATGGGACTTCTCATGCATACAAAACTTCCCTTTGACCCCTGCCTAGTCCCACCCCCGCTGTTTCTTATCCTATCAGAAACCCCCACTGTAACCCATCAAGCATGACAGCAGACCTTGAACAACCTTGTCCTCTATAGCGCTCACAGAACACGCTGTCCGCATGCCAAGTCCAGCCCACCTCTCTCTTTCTCTCTCCCTCTTTCCCTCTGTCTCGCATCCCTCCTTCCACATTATCTGTCCTTCCCCTCCATATCGTCCCTCTTCATCTCTGAGAGCTGCTGTCTCTGTATAATGTGGTTTGTATCAGTTTCTGTCAAGTATGTTTGTTCCTATCGTTTAGGGAAATAATCTGAGAGATGATGGATTGCAGCCTTGCAGGCCCCAGTGCTATTTCAAGCACAGGTTCTGCACACTATTGTAATGTTACTGCAGCTAATCAAAATAATAAGAATAATAATAAAAGCAATAAAAAAAAAAAAAAGGAAATGCGCAGTAAACTCCCCCAACCCCCAGCCCACCAACATGCTTTGCCTCTAAAAGGCAATTAACTCCACATTGATAGCTCAGCAGTGGGAGGTGATTGGTCCTATTCTGCAAGCTTCCTGATAAGAGCTGAAAGCCTGCTTTTTTCTCCTCCCAGTGGAGACGGTTTGTGCATGCACATGCACAGATACACCATACATACATGCACTCGTAGCTTTCAGCATTTAAAGCTGTCACTCGTTGAAAGGGTCATTTTTACTGCCACTGCATATCAGTGACACCCACAGACCGGTACATGCATAAAGACATCCAGGAAGTGGGCTGCTTTGGGCGCATATAAATCACTTTCCGCTGAATGCTGAATTTGTATTATGTCAGTGCAAAAAGCTGAATTAATGGCACTATCAGCAATGTAACACTCTGAATTGACTTTACATGATTTAGCGGCCCATTCTGTTACCTTATTGGAAAGTAAACAGCCAATTACTCCAAGCATTAGCCCTAAATCCTTCACAATTAGCTTCAACAAACACTGCAATTTCAGCGTATTGATCGATTAGGACGAACATGGGATGGTGATGGAGATTATAGATTTCCAGTAGAGTTTTTTAAACACACTTGTGTTCTTCCTGAACCATTATTGGATCTCATCTAAAGGGACGAGCGTGTTTTTACCTCCTCTGACCCTCTGTAAGTGATGCTGAGACGCTCTGAGCCTGTTGCCAATCAATACCTCCACAGTGGTGTCTCCATCAATATGCAAAGCACAGGAACACACACACACACATAAAAGACATGTGAGTGTTTAAAAAAAAGTTTTCTTGCTTAAAAAGTGAATGAAAAAGCAAAATCACTTAATTTACAGCACTTGATAAGCAACCTTTTTCTGAAGTGGAGGATCAAGGATTTCACAAGCTAATGGCAGAGCCTAGAGTTTCCAGATTTGTTGCTGCTCTGGAGATTTGTCCTTCTCTATCAAGCATCATTCACAGACTATCAAAATAAGAGAGGCTTCATTTCACATTAAAATGTCACTAAATTTCATTAAACATAAAATGGACAGCATGCACAGGAATGCTCCCAATATGTCCACTGGTAACTTCAGCTTTCCTTATCCTCAGCTGTGCAAAACTACAAATTTGAAGACACAAACTATCAACTATTGGATAATAGTTCTGCACAAAATCAATCAATCAATCAATCAACTTTATTTATATAGCACATTTAAAATAACCACAAGGGTAGCCAAAGTGCTGTACAGTGACATAAAAACAAATAAAACAATCAAAAAACAAGATAACGCAAGCAGAAATACAATAACGCAAAAGAATAAATAAGTGTATAAATAAGGAGGCTCACAGCAAGTGCTAAAATGATAAAAAACAAATTAACACTACAATGTACTAAAAGCCAATGAGTAAAAGTGCGTTTTTAAAAGGGATTTAAAAACAGGAAATGAGGAGGCCTGTCTAATTTTCAAGGGCAACTCATTCCAGAGCTTAGGGGCAGCAGCAGCAAACGCTCTGTCCCCTCTGAGCTTCAGCCTAGTACTGGGGACCGTCAGTAAAAGCTGATCAGCTGATCTTAGGGGTCGGGGTGGGCAATGAGGCTGGAGCATCTCCGAAATATAGGGTGGAGCAAGGTTGTTCAGGCCCTTAAAAACAAATACTAAAAGCTTAAAATGAATTCTGTACTGAACAGGGAGCCAGTGTAAGGACGCCAGGATGGGGGTGATGTGCTCACGCCTGCGGGTCTGTGTCAGGAGACGTGCAGCAGAGTTCTGCACAAGCTGCAGGCGGGCAAGGGAAGCCTGGCTAATCCCTACGTACAAGGAGTTGCAGTAATCAAGACGGGTAGTTATAAAAGCATGGATTAATTTTTCCAGGTCAGGTCTTGATAAAATGGGCTTCACCTTCGCTATTTGACGTAGCTGATAAAAACTTTTTTGTACCACTCCGCTGATCTGCTTCTCAAATTTAAAATCAGGGTCAAATTTAACTCCCAGATTAGTGATGACCTCTTTTAGGTAGGGTGAGAGGGAGCCTAGGTCGATGTTGGGGGGGTGGCCGCCACTTGGTCCAAACAACATTACCTCAGTCTTGTTCTCATTTAGACTGAGGAAGTTAAAAGAAAGCCAGGCTTTAATGTCCTTAAGGCAGTCAGTGAGTTGTTGGACTGAGTTGGAGTTGTTCTGTGCCAGTGGAAGATAGATCTGACAATCATCAGCATAAAAATGAAAGGAGATGCCGTGTTTCCTAAAAACAGAACCAAGCGGGAGTAAATAAAAGGCAAATAAAAGAGGGCCGAGGATTAAGCCTTGGGGGACCCCATGTGGAAGAGGAGCTGTTGAGGATGCAGAGTTTTCAATTTGAACACAGAAACTTCTGTCCCTTAAATAAGACCGGAACCAGTCCAGGGCGACACTCTTAATGCCCACACAGTGCTCCAGGCGAGAGATTAAAATGCTGTGGTCAACAGTGTCAAATGCAGCGGACAGATCTAGGAGCACAAGGACAACAAACTTTCCAGAGTCTCAATCATTCATATTATCCGACTGAAAATCCAAACACTTCTAAAAATCCCACTTTTGTGTGTTTTTGAGGTCTTGTAATTTGTCGTTCAAGTTCAGAGTTCATTCTGATTTTTGTGCTTCATGTTCGGGAAAGAAGGTCAGCCAGTAAGTGTGACATGTACACCCACACAGAGATAACAACAGCCGCATCCTGTTTGCCTCCATCAATCACCCAAAAAAACACAATTACCCTTTTGTTCACACAAACACACAGAGTAGTATTTTCAAAACCCACTATTTTCTCTTGCTATTGTAGCACAAATAACACTATTTTTTAAAATCTACACCAGAAGTCAGCTCTTGTAATAAAAGATATTTGAGTTGCAGATTAGATGGTTTTCACACGACAGTTTAGGCCACAGCGATTGAAATGTCCTCCCTCCAATATTTTAAGTTGACAGAGAGAAAGAGGGGACCCACACCAACTAAAGTCCTCAGTTTATCTGTCATGGAAAAAGAAATAGCTGCTCTCTAAGGTGGAATTTTTAACCTCCTATCTCCGTCATCCATGTATAGTTTTACTCGCTGTCACTTATCTTTGTCTTTCTTTATCTTTCCTTTTCCCCCTTCGTCATATCTTGTGACCCGACCAAACCCTTTCCTTCCATCGGTTTCTGTTGTCATGTGTAATTTAAGGTTATGTAAGCTTCAAAGTGTAAAGCTTTCCACGGGGACTATTCTGCGCACACCTCCAGAGATGCATCTACATGGAGGAAGAAAGTTGTTGTTGTTCTTGGTTTGGGAGGAAAGAAACAGGGTTGTGGCTGTTCAAACACGCTGGTCGCTGTGAAGTGACACTTGCTGTGTGACTTCTAACACTTACACATGTTCACATTGGACATACTGTATAACTGGTCCTGAATCAGTTATAGAAATGCCAACGCAGACTCATTCAAATTCATTTGAAACTATTTCAGAGACTCTTATTTTGAAAGGATTTAATTGAAAAGAGAAAAGGTAAGTTTTCCTTTTGTTAAAGTGGACAAAATATTACAGTACCTTGTATGATCAATTCATGGATCAATTGATTTCTAATTGAATATATGTAGTGATCTGGTCAATAACCTTAAGTTTTTTCTTCTGGGTCTGTGCTCTTGTCTCTGTAGTACATTTTTAGTTTTGCATAGTAGACCAATAAGGTATCAGCTGGTTTTGGTTGTAAGCAGACCTGGGGGCTCCTGCCAGTGGTAATCGGATGGTGATTTATCTCTTTAAAAGACAATGAAGTGTTTCAGATCACAAACTCTTAATGAAGTGATAAATCTACCCTAACCATTCAGTATTTGGGTTTCATCACCTGCAACAGACAAAGCACAGTGAGGGCTGTTTTTTATTCCTCTCAAGGACGGACTTGACAAGTTTAGGTGTTTCATATTTTACAAATTTGCATCATGACGTTGCTACTTCTGCAAATTTGAGGCCCTGTTTAACAAAAGTAAACCACAACAAAAAAAGGGGCTTTTATTTGGGCCTCACAGCCAAACCAAGCAAGACTAAAGCTTCTGTTTCACTACCTGCCTCTTGTATGTTACACCACACGAAACAGGACGTCCTGGCTGGAAGTTGCTTAACCCAGATCACCGGCTATACAGGAATTATTGAGCAGATAGCATCTGCTTTTCACAGAGAGAAGTGTTTTGTGAGGAGTATAGTAAGACCATTACAGAAAAGTTTAGTTAAGAATAACTTTTTTGCGCTTCAAACTGATTGGATTTGGATTTATTTTATTTCTGTATAATATGACTGAAAGGGTGTAAGCAAAAGCAATGCTTATGAAGACCTACCTTTTATACCACACATCAAGTACATTATACAGATACACTCTTTATACAAATACCAACACTTCAATATATATTCACTCCTCAAAACAGATAGAGTAATGTACATGCTTTACACTTTACGTCAGTGGTTCTCAAGTCCAGTCCTCAAGGCCCACTGTCCTGTATGTTTTGGATGTTTCCCTGCTCCAACACACCTGATTCAAATGATCAGCTCGCTATTAAGCCATTACAGAGCTTGATAACGAGCTGATCATTTGAATCAGGACAGAAACATCCAAAACATGCAGGACAGTGGGCTTGAGAACCACTGCTTTACATGAATAATTTACTATAAATCAACAGACATAAATTTCTCTACAATATTGAGAAATAACATTATTCTTGTAAAGTCTCTTAAAGCTTACAAAAGTACTACATTCTCTAATTTCTACCGGACAGTCGTTGCATATTTTCACCTCTTTTACACACACAGAAAAAATTTTGACATTTGTTCGTGCTTTCGGTTTCTCAAATAATACACAGCGTCTTAGGTTGTAATTCAGGTCCCTCAGTTTACACAGGTTTTGGACATGTTGCGGTAAGGCTAGGTTTTTGGCTTTGTACATGATTTATTACATGATGTAATCTACTAGGTCTTTGAATTTTTAAAAAAGATTGTTAATTTTACTTTATGGATAACTGAATTAGGTGCGAAAGTTGTCATGGAACATATTTCGCCCATCTATGATCTAAAATCAACATTGAAATGTCATTCAAGAGAATCGCGTGAGAGATTTTTTCTGCATTGTTACTGTAACCGAAACCTTGACTGAAACAACAACACTGTAATGTACATGTATATGTATGTATACATGTATATATATATATACATCCCTGTTACACCTGTTTTGCTTTGCACCAATAGCAGACAATTTCGACACCCTATAGAAAGTCTCTTGTTCTCTGTTTGTCATGCGATACACACCCAATTACTTTAAGGGAGGGTTACACATGCTATCCACAGGTTGACTTATTGGTAGAGTAAGGAGTGGAAGGGCTCGGCTGTCAGGGCCTCGCTTTATCACAGTAAGGAGGAAGGGGAGGTGAGAACCAAACCAAATACTGAAGCCTTGACAAAAGTTCAGATTCATTGGACAAAAATGTAACTGTGCTCTGACCGTCTGTTTCCGTGGTTGACAGCGAACAGAAACATGAGCACCAGCAGTTGCAGCTGATAGTGAGGACAATAAATGTCCAGAGCAAGATCTGGTCACATGGCTCTCAGTCATAAGTGGATCATGAGGCTTCCTACAAACCACACAGCTGCACCAAGCACAGCCCCCTTCACACCCCGCCCAAGCTTGGTGTGTGTATATGTGTGTGTGTGTGTGTGTGTGTGAGTAGAATTACAATGACAGAAAAACTGACTGCCGGGACTGCATTACGCATCGTGCTCATCATGTGCACACCAGGAAAACTTCAAAAAACTTGGATATTTGATCTGACCAGGGGACATAGATATAAAACAGATTGGCTGGCTTACAGTCAAAAGTAAAAAAAAAAACAAAACAAGAATCCACGGCTGGCAGATTAAAAAAAAGGGAAAAGAAAAGGATGAAAAACAAGATTCCCAGAGCAGATGTCTCTTTGACGGAGTACTCTTCATTTACCGCAACAAGAAATGACGTCAGCGCTTATCACAGTCACTGGCTTTGTGCCCACTTCCTGAAAGCATCTGACCAACTCACACCACCACTCCTTTCCTCTTCACTTCCCACTTCCACTGGCCCAGTGCGTTTCATTATTCATCATTCATTCATTCATTCATTCATTCATATGTCAAAACATCTCCTAAATATCACTCTTCGAGGCTTCTCCTTTTATCATGCACTGGGATTAAACATCTGCCTCTGAGTGGAAACAAAGACTGGTTCTTAGGAAAAATGTCTGAGGAAAACATCTGGGATTCTTGGGATTTTTTCTTTGTTTTTTGTTTTTTTTTCTTTTTTCTTTTTTTTTGTTCAGACGAGAAAACCTTTACTGTAACGTCAGTGAAACTACCACTCATACAAGACTGAAACTTCTTCATTTCCTGTGTGTCTGGCAAAAGTGAGATCTTATTTTATGCAATCAAGCATGAGAAAAAGAAAAAAACACACAGTGCAGACTATCTTCAACAACTTCTAGGGACTTTCTCCCTCCATGACTCAAAGTAGCATCTCATTTAGCTCTATAACTTGCTGCGAGCTGCTCTTCATCACTGCATGACTTTCTAATGCCTCCACCCACAAACCATACACACCCTCTTAACACACACAGATACTACATTTCCATTAGGCTCATATCAGCATCCAAGGGTGTGATTTTCAGATCCTAGAGATTACATAATCTACAGTCACATTCTTCAACCCCTCCTCTGTCAGAGGTCAGAATGAGCCTACAGAAGCAACACTGACGCAAGTCTGTGTGTGCTTTGAAAAACACTCTCAGATGACAGTTCGGTTGCATTGTGTCACTGCGAAGTGACAGCAACCAAAATAAAACTCTTGAGTAAGTGGAGGTTAAAGAAGGTTTTTTTTTTCTTTTTCTTTTTGAACACCAGCGAAAGAGGAAGCAATTCAGGACAGTTAAAAAAGACTCCTGTGAGTCCTGTGATGGCACAACAAAGGGCTGAAAAAAAGGGACTGAAGTCTTGCTTAAGCTTCCTCAACAAACCCTGTTCGACAAAATTGAAATGAAAACAGTGAAAAGCTTTGCAACTCAACTTGTGGTAAACATTTCCTTGGACTGACAAAAGCCTTTGACTTCAGAGGAACTCAAGCAAGTAACTGGCAGCTTGCGGTAACTAAACTGAATCGAGGGATGCTCTGCACTTTGAAAAGACTCAACCGTCTGTTCAAATATCCTGTCACACGGTTTGCACTGAAGATGCACCAATGTCAGTTGAATATTAGTATCGTCATCAGACTATTAGTGGCTAATTTAATATGTTGCATTATTCTTGGTGTGGTTACAGTTCATTAAAGGACAAGCATAAGTGTCTAAGTCTATTTAAAGGCTTTTTAAAAGGGAGTTGGACGCTGCGTTAATGAGTCAGCTTTCCTGTAAACCTCAGCAGATCAAAAGAAGAACAGTGAAAGTAAACCATCTTTTATTAGACCTGAAAGTGGCGTTAACGTAGGGTAACAGTTTCAAAATGTGGACCTTCCTCCTTGGCCTGTGATGTAATCGTTAACCAACGATCACTTCTCTCTGTATGCTTTATTTCTTTATTTTTAGCTGCAGGAGTTTGTCTCAAAAAAAGGAAGCGGGCGTGCTGCTTCCACTGCTCTTTGTAGTGTACTGTATACTGCTAGTGTCAGTCCCTACCTCCCTACAGTGATATTCTTGCGCCCAGGTTGATCAATCACACCAATCGATTGATTAACTCCGAGTCGGGTGGGGGAAACGGCGTTGCTATCTTCGCTGAAAAACACAGCGCTGTGCTTATCTCTGTAAGGAGTGGCAAACTTTTCCAGCTGAGTACTCTTAAAGAAGAAAGCGAGTGGAGCTGATAACATATTGTCATGTGTAGAGTAATCAGAAACTCCAAGTGTAATGGAAAATGTAGAAGCTGGAGAAGATAACACCCTCTCTTAGAATAACATATCACAGTCAGACACACATGCCAGGAGGAACAACATGGGGTCAGGATCGGGTTCATTTTTGGTCTTGCACTAGCCACTCTGCCCCTCCATCTGTTCCTCTATCCCAAGTGTGTTTGTGTGTGTGTGTGTGTGCATGAATTTGCGCTCATATGTGTGCATGTGTGACCCTCCCCTGAGTCAGTGTGTCTGCAGAGCCAATACACAGCAGAAATAAAAAAAAGGGACCAGACGTGGTGAAGAGAATTACATAAACGCTTCTGTGATGCCAGGACCCCATGTTTTCACTCTGCTGCAGGCAAATACTGGAAAACAGATCTGAGGGAGGGAAAGTGAGAGATGGAGAGTGGGAGACTGACAGATTGTGTGTATGTGCATGTGTGTTAGTGTGAGGAAGACACTTCTTTTTCTTAGTAAACACTTTCTTTTTATACATTTTTTTTTGTTGTTCTGCTGCAGCGTGTGTAGATAAGATGGTATCTGGGGTTAGGCAGTTAGACCAACTTTTGGTCTGAAAGGAAATGGTAAATAGACGGGAGCCAAGAACAAAGGGTACAAAACACCAAGAAAGTTGTGTGAGTAAAGACAGAGACGTCAACCCTGGTAAGAAGTCCCACATCTTCTAAAAACAGTACAGACAACAAATATTTTCAAAATGTAAGAAACAAAAAAAGGACAATTTACAATCTTGGTGCCATTTGCAGGATTTCCGGGGCTCATGTGCCCTCGTGTTAGGAAAGAAAATATGTAGATTCAGAATTTCATGACTTCACTTCCCTCAAGTCTGCGGATACAGTTTCACTTCCACATGCTGGGAGGACTCTGTCTGCTCAATTTTATCATGAATGAGTGAGTAATGTGTTCCTACGTGCTACAAACTCTAGTGATGAACAAGACAGATTTTATGTGTAGTATTTCTTATAATCTTTCGAACTCTGGTTAAAAATATGTTAGTACATATTTCAATTTTAAGGGCCCTTAGAGAGCTGAATGTCAGTGAGGACCGGAGACTATTAGTGAGTGTCCTCCCATGTGATGATGACTTTCCCCTCTCTCCTCCTTTGTCTCCTTGTCCACTGCTGTTCACTATGCCTATTTGATTGCATTCTTTTATGAGAACAGAGAAAGGACTGAAACTGCAGGTTTCATCACCCTTTAACTCAGCTCCTGCCAAATGCAACCACACTGCGGGCCAATAAATCAACTCAAGATCCACTTCGCTGTCTTTCCCTCCATATGTCCTCTGCATCTTTTCACTGTCGCTCACTTACCTAAAAAACTCCTAACCACACCCTGTTGCATCTTTTTTCACAACTTCTGGCTGCAACAACTGTAATTTTGATATTACCTAATGACTTGTGCACGCAAACTCTGGTTGTAACCGACTAACGCCCCTGAAACACACAATCTTCCATCCAGCTATGTCTCAATGTCAGCGGTCACAGTAAGTGAGAGCGTCCTGGCGTTGATACGACCAGGCTGGCGTGCAGTAATTCATTCCTGCAGTACTACCCCCTCCGCTCCCCTCTGCCAGCCCATTTCCTCCTGCCTTTATGTTTGGCAGCTGTCCAGGGCATTCTTGTGTTATTGCAGTGGGACATTGTACTCGGAGTACAGAAGTCATACGCAGACAGGTACTCGTATGCGCACAAACACACATGGGCGTGTAATGCCCTTCTTCTCACACACATTCACATGCACCATCCCACCTATTTTTTCCTGCTTGCTCTATTTTCCCACAACCCCCCACCACACCTCTCCCTCCCTGTAGAAAGATGAGGTCTCTTCACAGCTGGAGGTTACTCCTATTGACTGAACAAATGGGCCAGGGCACGCAGCTAGAACACCACGCTGTCACAGTAGCTACGTACGCTTGGGCAAGATGCAGAAAAACCACACATGCCCTTCCCTATGGATTTCTACATCTAATTCTCTGCAAAGACCATAATGCTCCTGTAACACCACTCTGTAACAGAAGTTGCGCACTACAGCGTAATTTCAGGTACACCTATAAAGCATTGCAAGACAGTAGATAATCTCGCTTGCCATGCCAGGGATAAATTAAAATCCTGTTCTGCTTCACTACAGCAATATTAGCCATACGACACACCTTGAGAAAACACGAGGACAATTTTAATGCATCATGTTGAACTACATGTCGTAAACATCTTCATTGGAAAACATTAAGAAATTGCACAGGGACGGTAGCTGCAGTTGCTTAATATTTCATGATAAGCACTGAATTTGTTGCTTAATGCACTGAGGGTGAGGTAAACAACTTAGAGTAGTGTTGAATTGATATAAGAATTTTAGATTGACGCTGCAAACCAATTTATTTATGTCAATGTGAATCCTGACCACATGGCTGCTTCTCTCGGAACTCAACATAAACAAAAACTGCACAGAGAAACCAACTCATTGTGGGTGCGAAAGTTTCCAACCTCAAAACTAAATTTTTGCAGCACTGACTCTACCTAACAATCTACTATATGATCTCTACACTGAGTATTTCACCATCTTTCATCAAATGTCATACGCTGAACTCGAGTACGTCATAATTGTTGCTTCATTAGAATCATTCGGTGACTTTGCACACTTATACATGGGATGTAAATAAGCTCCTCTGCTGCGCTTTGTCATATAGACTACGCTGCCCCCCCCTGAGGTTTTATTAGTAGATGTTTTTAATGAAGCTCCTACGTAATTTCCGTGCTGACTGTTTGTATTTGCTGCCATGGCCAACATAAGTTGTTGATCTAGAAACCCGAGGGGATGGCAGGTTATAGGGTGCACTATTATACAGCAACAACCTACTGGCAGGTTGAATAGATGTAAGCTTTTGTTTTTATCTCAGACAAACACAACAGGTAATAAGATCCAAGTGATAAAACAATCCTTCCTCAAAGAAGCATTTTACTTTCTTCCTGGACTTATTTCTTTGTGTGTTTTCATTGCACGAGCACCTGTAGCAACACATCCACCCCTAACATTTGTTTCTTTTCACTCAGTAAAAACATGACGGATGGATTATTTTCCATTCCAGCCTGGCTGCATTTCTCTCTTCAAACCAATTGTTCGCAGGCTTGCTTGTGTTTCCACATTACTGGCGGTATAACTCCATTGTAACAACATCAATTCGGATACTGTCTGGGATGTTTGAAAGCTATACAATTCAAGTCGCTGCAGCCAGGTGTTAATTAACAAGGATTAGCAGGATAATCTATTATATTCCCTTTGGAGATATAATACCTGCTGTGGACGTGAAGGCCAATCATGAAGAGTTTCTGCTTTTTTTTTTTTTTCTTTCTTTCTCATGGGTTTGCATAGATTCTGTCTATTTCTACTGCTGCAAATACTTTCAGATATGATCATTCAAAAGGGCTTCAGAGGAATAATCATTAATGCAAATGCATGCAAAAAGTGTTGAATGTCAGAGAGGAAAACAAAAAGGCTGTCCGTGGGCGTCCGTAGTAAAGTTTAGACAGATTATACAGGCTTTTCTTGAATGCAGCCCAGTCATCACAATCTTTATCCCTACCATCAGCAGTATACGCCACCCATCATCCACACTGTTCCCAACATTTGTGTTTGGATTACACCTCACTGAAATCACCCCTGCTGTACCACAAGTAACAGTTCAGACTGGCTCTCAAACACATGACCAGTGAAACTATGGCAACAGTCTCTATAACAAAGGGAGGCCCAGACCAGGTCAACAAAGATGGGGATTCTCCTCAGGATGATTAGGTTACATAAATGATTAGCGCCTCAACACAAGACCTTCAGTCTGCCTCTGAAATGACTCACGGCTCTTCATCCATCCTCTGGTACACCTCCAGCCCCCCTCACGCCACTGCACTCTGCTCCACCATCTGTCTGTGGTCAAATATCCACACTAAAGGGGCTTGGCATGGGTCATCTTACAAACAGGAGTATAAGACATAAGACTACAGTTACAATGGGAGTAGTGATCATCCCTGGCTGTAATGTCCTCCTACAGGCAGGGCAAATGGACTGTAGCGGGGTTAAATAACCAGAATAAAAACTTACAATCAGGAAGGGTGTGGCTTTACGTATACAGTTACACGTCGAGGCTGATGATTTCACACACAGTGAAGATACGATACTCTGCTTTTAAACATATGCAGGAAGTAAAAACTACTTCTCCACATGCAGAGTATAGCTGTTGGCCTACATTATCAGCAGATTGCCAAACTAAGATATACAAGTTGCCCTACAGTCCACACAGAACTTAGTCACAGAACATATAATGCATTCCTTAGAGTAATCAAATTGGTAGGGTTAAGAATAGCAAGAGGAATATGTAAATATGTGTAAATGTGATCTTGGCTGACTATCTAAACAGTCAAAAAAGCAGTGACATAAGAACTTTGAAGTCCTTCAACAACTTCATGCTCTTCGATCACCCTCTAAGGTGTGGAGAGTTTTCTACAAAGAGATGCTTATGTAACTAAAAGAAAAGGCTGAATCAATAAATCAGAAGTATATTCTATAAACAAAGCTGGGTACGCCTCACTGAAAGACTGTGTAGTCAAGGGACCCAAAGAGCAAAGTCTTTTAGTTAGTTCAATAAATGTATTTGAAGCTGCATGGGCTGGCTGTTTTAAAAAGGCACAAAGTACTATCTCTGTTGACTGTGGAGCTCAAATAAAGTTATTTTGTTCATACTCATATGACTCCAATAAAGTTTAACTAATCAAAGAACATCGTCAGCAACAGCTTTGAGTTATCTGCTAAAAACAGATCCTTGATGGACAAGATGTTCTTGAGTCAGACTGATCTTTTGTGGCTGTGTGTTCGAATGAATTGAAACTGAGTTATCTCAAAACAATCTGGTGGTTTCTTTTGTAAAAATAGGTGCTGAACCTCACAGTTTAGTTTCTTTTGTCATTTCCAACCAGAGAGAAAAGACTGTTTTTACTTTTTTGAGTCTCATTCAAGCAGTTGCATAAACGTTTCTCTTCTCAGGAAGTCTGCATATTCCAGTAAACCATGCTTGGAGCACAGGGTAGATATGTGTTTCAGATTGGGAATAGCGGGAAGGGTGTCACACGGTCAATTGGAGGCTATAAGAGGATTGTTCATGCCTCTGACTTACTCACAAGGTGCAATGAACTCCCTCTCTATTGATGTTTAACTAAATTCCTTTGTTAATGGAGTATTTAGCGTCACATGTCCTTGGACTGTGTGGGGAGGTAACAGACCACCACAGCAGGCAGATTTACACGAGTTTGAAATGTCTAGACGGAAGCAGAACTAACAGTTTTGAAATGTTTATTAGAGTAATGGCGCCGGCGTCACCCTGGGGTGAAGTGCAAGAATAACCTGACCATATCTTGAGGTATTTATATAACCTGCGATGACTTTAACTTAAGGGTCCCTCTTTACAGTGTACAGATGTTCCAGACAAAGACACAGTCCATGGCTCTGTCCCAAATGACTGTATCTTTGGGGATTTGTTGTCACACTGGTCATCATGGGAACAAGGATGGCATGTTTCTGTGGTTGCCGTGACAATGAAAAAGGAGTCAGTCCCTGATGGGAACAAGCCCTCTTGGGAACCATGGCAACTGGAGTGAAAATGTCAAACGCAAAACCTTTAGTGCTTCAGGAATTCCAGTGATAGAGCTGCCGTGTGTCCGGCTCTCTGTTCTTCCACCATTTTGATTTCATAGAGTTTTATTAATTATTACTAAACTGTGGATGTTTGAGTTTCAAATAGCTGTAAGAACTATGGACTTTGAGCAGAAGCTGCATAATTTATCAGTATGTAGCTTGCTTGGTTATTCACAATGGAGTCCATGGAAGGCAGCTTGGCACCAAGTTAATATTTTACTCCTGCTATCCAGTCCCTGGAAATTAGCCTTAAGAGGCTGGCTGGATCGAGCTAAATGGATGGATCAATTAGGCAGTAGAGGGGAAGGTGGGGTGGGGGTAGCTGTACAATGTGCCCTGAGACCCAGGGTTGGATTGCTGTAAATGCCAGTAAAGCTACCAAGTGCTTATAAAAAAAGCCACCAGCCTGCAAGCAAAGTTGACCGCTAAGCATAACCTAAGCTAACCTTTTGTGGTAGAACCGAAACTGTGCCATCGGAAAAAACATCTCATCTCATTTCTTCCAAACAGATTCAGATAAAAGTCAGACGCCCGCAAGTGAGGCGTGTCTGGTTATCACGGTTTCAAGCTCTATAGTTACCAAAAACTCTGCAATAAATCTAAGTGCCCCTTAACTTGTGAAGTAATTAACTTTACAAGACTTGGAAGTAGGTATGATTTGGTTTGGTGTTCACTAGTGGTGTAAAAGAGAGCAATGACAATCACTCTTCAGACTTTGTGCATTGAAGTGGCCCATCCCGCAAGATAGGCACAAACTCAAGAAGTTAAACTCCATCCTCCACCTAGATAAAGTTAATGATTCATCCTAAATACGCAGACCGGTGGAGCAGGTAAGCATCCAAACATTGGTATCACAAACAGAGATGAAAGCCAAGAGCAAGCCACTTTTTCTTTGCCTTCTGATGCAACACACCAAACAGCCCCAAGATGACCCCTTGATCTTTACAAATGCCAGTTTATACTCAAATTAGGATTCAAATGTCCCCCGGTGGAAGGCAGCCACTCGGTGTTACACTGTGAAGTCAGCTTTGTGGGGAATGGCTGCATAAACAGACAGACAAAGAAGTAGGTGGGCAGTCCTCTACAGTATGTGTACATGTGCACACAGCTTGGTGGGAGTGAACAGAGGAAATCTAAAATCTGCCCTGGGAAAAAAAAGCTCTCTGCAAACACTGTTGTGAGACTGAGGAAGTGAGTATAAAAGGTACAGTGCCATTATGGCTGAGAGAAGTGGTCAATGATATGTCTGCCTTTAAGGCAATGAAAGGGAATGTAGCAACTGTCAATACAACATGGTTCATGAGCTAACCTGTTAGGCAGTAGGGAGAGAACACTATTACGGAGCTATACAACACCAGTTTGAAATAGAGAACATGGACTGGACTATGTTTTTTAGAGAATTGCACATATAGTGAGGCTTCAACATTCATATTTCTCTCAAAAAGCTTCAGTGCTTTACGAACTTGCAGAGAGATGCAATAAAAAAGGGTGTAACAAAATAAACAGTCAAACACAATGCTACATGACATGACATTAGCAGGTGTCAGGGGAGAAAATGAAGAATAGGATTTAATTTTCTTTTAAATGTTACAGAGCCTTTGTCAACCTTGATAATATATGTCACCAGAGACTGTCTCAAGATACCCAAATTGGGATGTAAATCATGCTCCAGCTTTTCTGTTTATTTTTCAGTGGGAAAGAGGACGTCAGATCTAGCCTGTTGTAAAACACAGATTGTTTAGTGGGATAGCTTATTAGTCGAAGTTCACATGTATTTCTAGAGTAGGTTGCAAATCAGCCAACTTAGGAAAGCTTTATTTAAATTTTAAATTAAGATACATATTTCAGGTGTCTTTACAATTTTAAGTATTAGTTTTAAAAAAAAAAATATTCCAGCCACTTCGTGCCACCAAGTCTTGTTGGCCTAGTTCACACCAGCAAGCATTCACACCTTTGCCTGCGTCAACCACAGTGTGCAGCAGTGATGGGTTTATGACAGGCTACTTATTAACATAATGATGCGTGCTGATAAAGCAGACCAACACAAAGACACGACAGCCACAGATCTGCAATTATTCCCTGGGTGTAGAAGCAAAAGGTGTGTTTACAGCTCAAGGCTTTGGCTATCATTTGGCACTGAGATGGTTATTTACGGGCAGGTTGCGCCTTCACCACCAGTGTTCTTGGAAAAGGCTAACTCTTTAGATGAGACACGTGCAGGACTCCATAAATTAAAAAGAAGCTATAAAGGTGAGGACAAATCAAAGGCAAACATGTCATTACCTAGTTCACAAAAAACTAAGTTGTTCCTGCTGTGTGGGAATGTTTGACTATGTCAGGTCAAAGCCGCAACTCTGCAAAGCCTTACTTCAAATAACAGGTAGAGCGGTTAATTGGTCAAAAGATAATAATTATAACACAGCCGCCAGCCTAGCGTCTATGTGTGCATCCCATACAAATAGGTTAAGCCTTGAATGGTCGCCATAGGTTTGCTTCCAGTCTGTGGCTCCTTTCCTGCATCTCCCTATTCCTTCTCTAGCTGCTTTCCTATTCTCTCCAAATATAGACAAAATGCACTAAAATAAATCTTTTAAAAAAACATGTCTGCAGACAGTGCAGGGAGCCTCATCTGTGGCCTCTGTCCAGCAATGTTGGGAAGGTGGTGAAAACAATAGTTTTTAACCCTGTGCTTTTATTATAACGTTAATCTTATACTAAATATGTGTCTGAATTTTCTCAGTCACAAATGACAACACCAGAGTATTTATTTTTTTCTATTTAAATTATTACAGATGGCTTGACAGAAATCCAGAAGTCCCTTTTGGTGATATTTTACTTAGCCAACACCAGGGAAGACCACAATGTTTGTTCAAGTTCTGCAATTTGCATCCTATCAGTTTTTTACCATCAACTTTTGTATTAAATCAAATGCAATAAGGAAAAGCAATAACAGGGAGATATCAGAATTATATATGGTGCTTATTGGCTGACCTAGGAACAAATTATCGGCTTTGAAAAAGAAACATTACTGATTAACTACTACTTCCAGTAATATGCCTCTTCAAAGCTGAGTGGATGGATAACAACAGTACTGTATACCTGGGAGTCACTGTCAACACTATCAACAGGGCACACCTCCATATAAATCTGGTTCCTGCTCAAATGTGTTATCCTACAAAGACAAATAAATGTAAGCTTTACACGTGCCTACACAGACACACCCACACACATACACATCCACACACACATACAGCCACTCAGATGGGAGATTGAGCTTGGCCTCCAAAGGCAAAGGGAAGCACCTGTCTTCTTTGCTCTCCCCGGATGTGGAGGTGTGTGTATGAGTGTGTGCATCTGTGCTCAAACCTATAAATAGAGCCTGTGTCTTCCCTAGCTCTTGCTCCAGTGGGATCTTCTCATGTTTTAATTAAATAAACTGCTGCAATCAGGCTCAGCTGTGCCTTACATTCCCAGCCTGCATCAGTCCACAGCCATGCTCGGGGGCAACATAAAAGTTGGGGTGTCGGGGCATATGAGTACATGAGGACAGAGAATCAGAGGTAGAGAGAGGCACAGATAAAAAAAGAATCAGACCAAACGAAATGGACCAGGTTGTGAAAATGGGGCATTCTGCACTAAGGCCACCTGGGTATCATAGGAAGCCCTGCTCAGGTGTGCTGAATGGGTTCCCCAATGTGCAAACCAGCAGAAGGAAAGAAGCTCAGCTCATCGCTTTCATTCATCCTCTTTTATTTCCCTCTGCCTTTCCCCCTCTCGCCCTCTTACACCTTCTCCCTCCTCTTTTTAATCTAAACTATTCTGCTAACTCTTAACACATTACATAAGTTACCATCATAATACACGTGGTTTCAAAGATCCCTATCTGACGACATTTTTCATAACATTTGATGCAAGTGATGAGCTCAAACTGAAGATTTTGTTGTTGATTTAATAATCTTACACATGTTTAAAATTGTTAAGCAATTAAAGAGCATGATGCTAAATTCATACACATTCCTGTTGTGATTATTTAGGGAGTAGGAAAATGATGGGCAGGATTTACTGGCATATCTGAAGCTCCTTCTGACATGACTTGTGTTTGCACCTGCTCTTAAAGGGAGAGTGCACATTTTCAGACATACAGTCTGGTTGTTACAGCAGCTCAGTGAAGATAAAAACTGATGCATACACATTAGCGCAGCCTAAAACCGTGTAGAGGTTCTCCCAATACGACTGCAGTTTTCCAGATGAAAGGAAACAGCAGCTGAAATGGAACTAAACAGCCCTTCGGAGCGCAGCAAACAGCATCTTGTAATGCGTAATTTTCCTCTAAAAATCAAAGAATAAGGGAACCGTGTGGATCTATTTTCTTTGCTGAATATGTTTAGTACAGTGAGAAGTGTGAGAGGAGATTCAACCCTTAAGGGCTGCTTTTGTCGGAGGTGGTTAATTCAAATGCTAATGCTGTGTTGTGGTTTGACTTTGTAAACTGACCACATTTGCTGCTGTTTATCTCTAATGAGGGCTTCTAAGCTGTGGTGCACTGATGCATATCTGACCACAGGATTAAAAAAAAAAAAAACAATACTTGGCTAATATCAACCCATCAGTCTCCCAGTAATTAAATCATACAGCCAGATCAAAAAAAGGTACACTTTTCCCTTTAAGCGCCATCCTTCAATCCCCATCTGGCTTTCTTTCCACCATCAGGCACCCCTAGTGTAAAAGACTAAACTGTAGCTTTTAGTAACAGAGGCAGCCAGGCTTCTGGTCAGATCTATAATTAATGGACTGGTGCTGCTGGTCCTTGTTCTGTTGCTCAACTAACCCCCAGTAAAACCATGTGGCCATTACAGCCCCACCAAAGTCTACACTCAGGAAGATGTATAAGGCCTGGGAGTGCTGCTTTCAGTCAGTTACCAGGGGAATGCCATCAATACTAGAGCTAGAAAAACAGTGACCAAGTGAGAGACGGATTATTTTTGCCCTTCTTGTGCAACGATCTATATTTATTTGTTTCCCATTTGGAGGAATCATTGCTTTCTGTTATTGTGACTTACGCAGGCTATTTCTGTCAGTAATGTGCCTCCATATAAGAATTGATTCAGTTATTGATTAACTTGTCTACTGCAGGTAAAAAGCGTGAATGGATCAATATCCATTTTGATGAGTAAGAAGGACCAGCATAGTCTTTGATGTTTTAAGACGGGTTCACAAGTACGACATGAACACTATGTTACTGACAGTCCATCACCAGGTGAACCCACCCGGACGGCTCTTTTTATTTCTGGCAGTTGAGGGCCCATACCAGTGTTCTCTAAAAATCTAGGAAATTTAACTTTTTCTGTCGTAAACAATCTCCAAATAGTGTTTGGGCTGGGACTAATTCATGATCCATGTCTCTTGGTGTACACTGTTTTAATTACAGCCAAGTTAAGACAGCCAAACATTGCCAAGGACGCCTGTTCAGCACGCACAGCAGAATATCCAATCAACCCTGGCTTCAGCTGTAACCAGGAAAAAGCCCAAGTTGCCAACTGCACCTTAAATATTTCCTTGTGGACTTTCCCCTACCTTTGCCCCAGACCAAATAATAAAAGAAACCATTGTAATGCTGCCCATATGCACATTCATCAAGTTCCTAAATCTGCCCCAAGCTAGGTTATAGCACATCTGGTTGGCACAGAGTCAAGGACAGACTCAGGTGAAAGTCCGAATCTGACAATAAGTGCTGTGCTTGCAGATCAGCTCTGGCCGATTAGCTACAATAAAGTAAATGATGTTTGGACATCACATGGGTGATAATGACTAAAATAGCAGGCCCTAATTATAGGGCTGGTAGGACAAGTGGATCATGGCTTAAGCTCAAGGCCCTCCAAGACAAGGTAGGTAAAACCAAAGACACCCAAGAATATTTATGTGATACCTGAGTCCACTCACATATTCCATGAGAGAGACAAAGGGTGACAGAAGAAAAGCAAGGGAGGGGAGGATGTGACATGTTGATTAATAAATGATAGGAAGGATTCAAGTCATGGAATATTACACAATTACATGTGACTTACAGGCAGCTAATGGTGTTAGGAAGGATTTGTTTGCTAGATATCTTTGGAAAAGCCTATGCTCAGATTGCCTTCACAAATATCAATTAGACCTATAAGTTTAGACGTTGAGTCAGTTCTTAGCATGATCTTTTGCCCCACCAACATTCAAACAATTAATAAATCCAAGCAGGGTGTGAATTGAATAGTTAGCACATGGGTTCAACTCTGATTTCTCCAGAGATAACAAAAACTGATCCAAAAATAAAGCCATTTTTGGCCTGTGGAACCAGTTGTTACTAACGTAATCATAGCTGTTAGGCCTACCTACATCAGCATGATTACAGTGGTCATAATGCTCATCAGTAGCACTATAATTATCACGGCCAGGTACATGGATATTATGGGATTTAGCTTCAGCATCCAGCCGTGTCTCATCATCGATTTGGAGAGATCAAGGCTCAAAGAGGCGCATGGCTCCTCCGCCTGCACTCCCTATGGCAAGCCGAGCTGTCACACATGACCTAACAGCCCATGATACAAACAAGCATTCTCCATCCTAACGTCTGAGCATTAAAAATAACACCATCGGTTCTATCTTACTTACCGATTCCGGGGGCGGAGTAGATGAAGTACAATGCGGAGGTGGACAATGAAAAAAGGAATAAAAGCCCAAGGAATGACCTTCTCCGGAACCGCAAATGTGTCGGCATTATACAGGCAGCAAAAGCACACACAGGCACGTTTTGCGTTTGTACAACGACGATCGACCAGTTCCGATGTGTCCAGATGCCAGAGCCAGTGGTCCACGGACAGCCTGGGTTAAATGAGCCGAGTAGGGTGGCCGGGTCTGCGGCTGCGGTGAGAATCCAGGGGCGAGTAGGAAGTCTATATCCGCGGCAGGTCTAGCACGGGAGCGGACCTCCAGCTTATTCAGTCAAGGCATTCAAATCCCATTCCTGAGAGGACAGTTTCGGTTTAGGTAGAGAGTGTGTCCGGTATCGAAACGGTTGACAATGATAGCGCAGTTTTTACCGGCCTGCTGTTTTCAGTGAGAGACCATCATTTGGCTCACACACACTCGTCGCTGATGGTGTTTGACCGCTCCTGCGTTTTGCTCGCCTGCCTACTGGCCCTATGAATGGGGCAGCCCCTCCGCAAAATGAGCAATACCTAAAGTGGGCGTTAACAGTACCCAACTAACAAGTACGTCCTCGCTGAACGTTCAGCAACGTAACCTGGCGACCAACACACTTAATGATCGCCTTGACAACATCGTCCCTCAAAGCGTTTTTGCTGATCAGAAAATACAAAAGCATTTATATGACCAGGATTTCCTGCTCATAGCGGGTTTGCCGGCTTGCTCCACTCCCCTTTCACTCCTAGATGAAATCAATCAAGATATATCGCTTAGGATGTTATCTTGGGCTACATTAGTTTGTTGGTGTACACACACGAACTAATGGTTAAAAGGTTTTGCATGGATCTACTACTTTGTATTTATCAATGTAGGTTGCATGCTTGAACTCAGCCACCATAGTCATCATAAATATGTGTAACAAATATGTGTATATTAATTTGAACACAAAACCTTTCTTGACTTTTGTGCCTTATTTTGTGTTGTGGTACATATTAGCTTTTAAATTTTATTATATAATATTTTATTTTATTTTTCTATGTTTGGACTGCTTTAGCCAATAGGCTCCAGGTTAAAAAAAATACAAAAAAGCACATAGATTTGTGAACAATCTTGGTAAAATAGGCCCACACAGGAATGCAAACAGAGGCTATGATTTCACATCCCCTCGCATTATAATTACCTTTTTTTAAAAACTCATCTCGATATAATGTGTTCTATCTTTGTCCTCTTCCATTCAAATCCACCCTAATGATTCATTTAATCGTGACAGATGTATTTCTGGTTTCCTTCACATGCAGGTAAGTTGCATCTCGCACAAAACTACAATAACCATAAAGCATCGGGCAGACGACTGCAATGGACCATGGGAAATCGCGTTTATAAGGAATACTGGAAAAGCAACAAGACTCTATTTTAGCGCGTTACAGCGCAATGTTGTAGATAACATATAACATGTATGAATAAAGTTTTGTCTTTTCTTAATAATTGATTAAAACTACACTTTTATCTGAGCTGTCTATGCTGACATTATTCAACGAAAGACTACAACTCCCACTCCAGCCCTCTACCAGGAAGTAGAACAGTGATGTCAACAGATACACGAAGCTGTCGACATGGAACTTCGAGTTATTTTAATTGTCAAATGCTGTATTCGGCTTTAAATTTACCGGCTCGAGAATGAGAGGCGTTAGTCGCAATATTTTGTCGCTGTTGTTTGTGTTGTTTTTGGTAAATGTCAGCCTTGCTCACCGAGAAAGGAGAGAAGACTCTTTGGACCTGCGGGAGAGAGGTGACGACGACGGTGGGGATGTAAACCACGACGAAAAGACTTCAGTTAAAAGCCAGGAAGCATCTAGTAAACACGATAATAAGGATGGAGTTGATTCGCAGGACCAACAGAAGGATGGGCAGCCCGTCAGGTTCGTGTTTATTTAGTTATTATAAAGACAAGTGTTTGTAACTAGCTAGCATTAGCTGTCATTGAATAGGCTTCTGGTGTCACGCTTTTGGCTGCGCAGCATACCTGTTAGGTTACACTCCACACTGATAAGGCATAGTATTAGAAACACCTGAGCACGTTAATGCAAACCAATACGACAGCTCTACCATAAACTCAACATTGATGAAGCCTCAGAATCCAGTTTTTGTTCATACAATTAAACCAGTCATAATTGTTCCATAATTTTTTGATGGTTGGAATTGTAGTGGGAGTTAGTTGTTGCATTGCGTTGAAATATAGTGAATAAGAAGAACTTTATTAGTCTCCAAAGGGAAATTCAATTGTCTGTTGTCTCACTTGACATGTCTCTAAAGGTTATCTACTATTTACACAAGAGTTATAAAGTCTGATGGCTGTGAGTACAAAAGATCTTCTGAATCTTTCTGTCCTGCAGCGAAAAGAGAGGAGCCGTCCATCACCATTGACCCTTTGGTCCATCAAGGTGTTGTGAAGTGGGTGATCCATGTTCTTTAGAATAGTCTCCACCTTCCTCAGTGTAGATCTCTCCACCACATCCCCCACTGAGTCCAGCTTGAGTCCAACCACAGAGCCGGCCTTTTTCACCAGTTTTTTAAGACGTCTTGCATCTTTGTGTTTGACACTTCCTCCCCAGCAGACTGCAGCGTAGAACAGAACACTTGCCACCGCAGACTGATAAAACATCTGCAGCATCTTACTACAAATGTCCATTGATTGGGGTCGTCTCAGTCTATATTCTTAGACCAGTCCAACTTATTATCCAGATGTACACCTAGGTATTTATATGATTTCACCAGTGTTGTTTTCGTTGACAATGACGTTGATGGAAATATTTCGTCAACGTCATCGTCAACGAAAACAACACTGCAGAATATATGTTTAGCGTTTGACTGAGGAAATGCTCATGAATTTTGCAACTCTGTTCGTCGTCCACCACTTACGTTTTCGTCTTGTCTTGTCAACGTCACGTCTTCGTCGTGGAAAAAAGGGACGTTGACGAAAACAATAGACGTTGATGAAACATGTTGGTCAACGTCATCATCAATGAAAACAACACTTCACAGGCTGAAGAGGGGGTTTGGATCTATGGAAGTCTATGTCCATCTCCTTTGTAGACTGTCCAGATAGTGGAAGGTGTTCCTGATATTTTCCCCCTACATTTATGTCAATTTGGAGTACAAAATATGAGGAACACCTTTCAGTGTACAAGCACTGTACTGAGTAAGCTGTAATTTGGTTAAGTTAAATCTAGCAGGAAAAGCCGTTTTGTAAGGATTTTCAAGTAACGTATCAGACATCAAAAGCTGCTTAACCAACTAAGGTGAAGTTACAGAAGGTTTGTTTGAGGAGAAAACAGCTATGGTGGTTGTATGTACCCCAAAGTATTACAGTCAGTTGCTGAACCGTCACCTCCTTTATTTAGCTTTCTTACTCAAATACACAGGTGTGTGCTGAAGATAAGAGCAGGCTGGTTTGCGATCCAGACTGAAGTCACTCATTATGATGTTGCGTCCTGAGGACAACCATGCAAACATTTGCTGTGTGATACAGGGACATTGTAAACACTGAATTCCTGCAGTGTTTCCTGCATTACAAGTGCCAGACTTGTGGCAACTCCGTCCAAGGTGTAGAGGCTTTTCTGTGTTGCAATTCTGCATTACAAATCAGGCCCTGAATATTTGCATTAGTATTTGACTCTCATTTCGGAATGAAAATTAGTATGGTACTCAAAGATGTTTATTTTAGGAGGAAAAGATTGGTTTCTCTGAATGTACCGAGGGTTAAAATGAATGGGGTTTCATGTTCAGCTGAGGTTTCCGTAAAGAGACCGTTATCACAAACTATGTCTATTGATCAACAGAATTTCTACAATGGTTAACTCAATGATGTCATGTCTTGTGATCTTTTCTATGCCAAATCCAGATCTCTGTTTATCCGCCTGATTTATAAGTTTATGGATTTTCTTTCGTCTGCCTCTCTACAGCAAGCTCAATGACACAGATAACAACAGCAATGAGACCCTCCACTCTACCACACCTGCCGGGAAGCCAACCACTCTGGCACCGCCAACCCCTAAGCCCATTTTGCCTGTGCAGACGGGCGTCAAGGCTCAAGAAGAAGAGCAGTCCAGCGGGTTGACCATATTCTTTAGTCTGCTGGTTATTGGTGAGAAGCTCTTTATGTGCTGCATTGCAGAAAACCTGTCTGACTCAGTCTTTTCAGTCTGATTTTCCTTTGCAGTCTATTACTGTCAGCAGAAAATGCTCAAGCACATTGTTTTTTTTAGAGTTTTGTAGTCTAGGGTTTCTCTAGGCTACAGGATAAGACATGAAAATGACACACCACAATGCAGGAAGTAGATAAAGGAAAGGATGTGGTGTAATGTTTTCGTCAGATACATGATTCGCCCAAAATGCACTTTGTGTCACATCAGGTTAAATCAGGTCTTTACCATTTAAGACCAATGCAGTTGTTTAAATCATGCATTATGTTGACACTTTGATGAATTAAAAGAGGGGTAGGCTGGATCTGAGGAAGTGCCAGTTTTAGGGTATAATCTTGAATGTAAACACTACCCCTCTCTACCAGTTTTCCCCTCAGCTCCTCCTCTCTCCTTCGTCTCTGCTCCAGCAAGCCCCGCCCACAAACAGACGCTCGTCCTTGCTCATATCGTTCCAATTAAATTCAGGTATAACGTAGATAAATACTTCAAATAATTACAAATGGGGCTCAGTCAACATGAAAGTAAAAAGCATTGGTGCTACTGTAGATGCTGACAGACTACCAGCAAACACAATGTTTGCAGGACTTCTACAACTAGAATAAAGTGACATACTCCAGGACCCGAGGGAAACAGTTTAGCAACGCTACAACATGCAGCAGGTCCCGTTTGACAAGAAACACTTCTGTTACATCTGGCTTAGTTTATTAAAGAGGTTTACCTGTCCAGCAGAAAAGTTACAGGGTCCGTAAGATCCCGAAGCGTCCCCCAACATTGTTGACCCGGCTTTTTTAGCTCTTGTCCGGGTGGTCTATCTCCTTTTTAAGCGCCCGTAATTCCGCCAGAGTCTCTGGTATTTACTTCATTTTCTTGCTTGTATTTGTGGTCGTGGCTAAAGGAGGATTCAGATGATTTTCTGTACTTTCTGTTTGGTTTCTACTGTCTGATATTGTAGCACGCTAACTTTGTTTGGGCTCCTGAACGACACAGAGGAGCAGCATCTGTCTCACAACCAATCAGGTTGGGGGAGGCAGAGAATTGCTATATTTCCAGTCAGAAAGAGTGGACCGCTCTAAAACTTTAAAATGTTGACTACACAGACATAACAAAACACAGCGATATTGTGATATTACCAAATGTCATCAATGACTAATAGCTATTGACTGATATTAAAAACTTTTTTGTATGTACACCACAAAAAAGATGCTTCTTGAACGGATTCCTGCCTACCCCATCTTTAACTTTGTAGACACAAACAGAACTTATCGCTATCAGCCTAATACTTGAAAACAACAGGAATGTGGCTTATTGAAAGCATAACATGCACGTTTAAATCATGGGCTGTATAAAACATGGACATAGTTCCTGTTGCTTCACTTTGTGATGTCTGAGAAACATCTTAAACCCAACAATGATGATTAGCAGGTTGGAAATGCTGATTAAATCTGACTTTTAATCGGCCTAGAAAGTAGCACAGAAGTGGAGTTGAAGCAGGCAGTCAGCCTCCTGGCAAACAGCTGAGAGGTGCCCCTACCTGTCTGTCAACTTAGCTAGGTCTCTAATTGTGCCAATTTACATGTGACTCTTGGGCTTTTTAACCATATTGGCTCAATTTCTCAACCCTGGAGGGTCCTGCTCGGGTCTAACTATTAAATCAGAAGCTTGTCTTACATTGTAAAGGTCAATAAATGAGGGCTCATCTCAAAGTACACACTGGAAAGCCAACATTTGTCCATTTGCTCTCAGTTTTAATTAAGCCTTAATTTAATCTCCCTGATGAGAAAACAGTGCAAAAAAAGAACCGGCATACACTGTGTGTTGTGTTTTACTTATCCCCAGCCCTCTGTTTTTATTGTATGTATAAATTGCTATTTACTTCATTGGGGCCTTGGGGTTCCTTGTGTAATTAGCTAATGTGCATATGTACTGATTTAACACACTGACATGCACTATTAGAGCCCTGTGGTACTGTAACAAGCTGACTTTACGTTTTAATTAGGGGCAATTATCTTTTATGCACAGTCACAACTTTTAATTCAAATGTCAAGCAACTGCTATGTAGTCATAATTATGTCAGGCAAGTGAATTTGAACTAATATGCATAAAAATATGTAAGAAGTAAGACCAGAATGAGGTGATTTTAGACTGTCAAGGAGAGGAAAATGAGTTTGAGATAGATTTTATGATTTCTATAGACATCCCTGGTTGTAGGTTTTGCAGTAGATAGCAGCCTGGAAAAGATGTTAACACTTTATGATGGGGAGGGGGGGTGTTTTGGGGCTGATCTGAGTGGGTGCGACATGGATGGATTTGTCCTGAATATTCATTCACCGGTCTTCCCTCTCTACCCCAGGTATCTGCATCATATTGGTGCACCTGCTCATCAAGTTCAAGCTCCATTTTCTTCCGGAGAGTGTGGCTGTCGTGTCCCTTGGTGAGAACTTCTTATGTAATTTGTTGCTCTGCACAGGTTGGGTAAAAAAAAGTAACAGTGTTTCTATATTTAGATCCTCTCTTGGAAGAATATTTCTTTTTTTAGAGCATGTATAAATAATGAATTTGAAGGCTTTTCTCTGGATTTGCGTCTTTTACTCAGACTTCGCTTCCTTGTTTTCTTTTCTTAAAAGTATGTGTGATTGTTGATTCCGTCCATTATCGCTCCAGCACAAGATTAAAGTGGAGGTTTATTCTCAACGATTTATTTATCTCTGGGGATGTCACTTTCCTCCTGTTTAAGTTTACTTTAAGTTCAGTTGATTTCCCTAGAGGCCGCCCATTGTCTCCATCTTTGCTTATTTGTGCAGTTACACTCTCCATTCTCAGTGACACATACCTGTCTTGACCCTGAAAACCTTTTCCTCCCACGTGCCTTGCATATTTCCAGTGAGACAGAGCTCATCTCGGGGTTGTTAGGAGCTGGGGACTCTGCTGAAGAGAGATAACACTCTGCTTACAAATCAGGAAGGACTGCTTTTCCTTCCTCTTCACTTCCTCTCACTCTCAGCGACTCTTTGTGTCTTTCTCTCCTTCCCATCTGCCTTTAGACGTGGGTCTTCCACAAAGCTTTGATGCTTGTACTTAATTTGTTTTCACATTATATCTGCCTCTCTTCTGCCTCTGCCCTTTACTCGTCTTTGTGTTTTCTTTGCCCTTTTTAATTAATGTTCTGCAGGGCTGAGAAAAAACAGAGAGCCGAAGGCCCAAGGGGACTTTAACAAAGACAAAACTAAGACAATAGCCCTTGTACTCTCCTCATGTCTAATTTATCCCTAGTGGACATTAGCCAGACTCCTGTTTGTTTTAACCACTAAAATAGCTCTCTCTGCCTGAGGTCTGCACTCCATCTGTATTGTGGTTGCACTGCAGTTTTCACATGAAGTTGTTAAAATATTAATACAACGGTTATGTTTTCTGTCTCCATTCTCTTTCCAGGAATTCTTATGGGAGGTTTCATTAAAATCATTGAATTCCAGGAACTGGCCAACTGGAAGGTAGAGTTGCGCTTTATTGTTATACTTAATTCCACCCATTCTTGTGTGCATATTAAGCTTGATACTTTCCTCGCTCACTATCCAAGCATGTGCATGGATAAAATACACGAAAACATTTGCAGTTTTTGAACTTTTATGCACGTTTTTTTTTTTTTTTTTCCTGCATAGTTATTGTCTCCTTTTGAATTATAAAGTATTTCTTTTTCAACTTGGTAACACAAAGCCAACAAACCAAAAACCCTGGGGACTGTTTAAAACATTAATAAAAATAGAATCAGATGATTTGCAAATAATTTGATCCTATATTTGCATATAATCCAAGATTGAAAATAGTTTAAGAAAAATACCAAATTTTCAAACAGAAAATGGTCGTTATTTTATGAAAAGTACATACTCATTTTCAATTCCCTGCTCGCAGTATATTTTTAAAAGTAAGGACAGAGGTGTGTTTGCCGTTGCGTTGAAGCAACTGTTTGTTAATGACACCTTTATCAAATGTTTAGGAGCCAAGAAAACCAGTTTCTGGAGTTCTGGAAGGGAATTGTTGTCCTATTCTTGCGTAATATAAGATTTCAGCTGCACAAAAGTTCAGACTCTCCTTTGTTGCTGTTTTGTCTCATGATGTGCCAAGTACTTTGAATGGGTGACAAGTCTGGACATCAGACAGGCCGATTTAGCACCTGGACACTGTTACTACAGTACAATTCGAGCTGGGTGATATGGCTTGGGACTGATAATACAAAATGTTTATGATATATCACAATACACAGCATACATATATACATCTCAATTTTTTGAAACCTCCTCTAAATCACTGTTAAAACGTATCTAATGCATAAAATGATACCCTTATGATGATCCAAATAGACTGTGGGATTTTTTTTTATTCCATGCAAAAAGAGAGGAATTACAGTTCAGAGCAAACTTTTTATTTAGAGCCAAGCCATCAGATTCATAAGCTTTTAATAAAATTAGAATAATGACATGCTGTGACTTTTCTGTGACCTGGTTGTCAAAGATCATTTACAAAAATGGGTCTCGAAGCAACAAAGAAGTGCATCCAACAACCACAGAACCATAACACCACGGACATCAGACTCTAGATAATTAAAGAAAAGTTTTATTTGAGCAGCACAACTTCAGTTCACAATCCCCTGCTCTGTTGTGCAGCGTGTGTGTGTGTGTGTGGGAGAGAGAGCAGCCTTCACCATGTCGTCATAAAAGTTTGTAATCATCATTAAATGTTTTTCAAAGTCGGATGAAGGTGAATGTGGCTGTGTGTTAATTTGAAGAGGGGAAGTGAGATCCAATCATGAGTGATCACTGGAGGACTGCAAAGGTTGATTACACGAGTAGAGGGGTCTCTCTGAGCACAGTATGCTTGCCTTGGCTCCTCTTTTGGTGCTCACCACACCCTCCTTTCCTGATCCAAAAACAAGCATGCTTTTTAGATGTGAGAGGGAGTGTGCTGTCCGCAGGGAGAGGGTGAAAAAAGCTGCAAAGAGAAGGCTCAAAATGTTTACAATATAATTTCTGCTTAATAGACCCAATATACTAGCTTGGCCAACCTCTGAGATATACAGAATTACTATATTTTGAATATACTCAACACATTGCACACGGAAGTACAATGCTGTAGTGATATATGTAGAATGTGGTTTGGTAATATGTGAGGTATCTCTCGTTAAAGGCATAAACCAGGTGGTCCTCTTCCTCTTTGCATGGTTCACTTTTTTGTTTCAGTGAAGAATTGTGTTCATAGAAAATGAATGCGAGTGATTTTAGACCCATGCAGTGATTTCGACTGAGAGTCCTGTGTTTTTCAAGCCGAGTTATCTGAGGGTCTGGAGATCACACCCATTCAGTATTGTCTGGTCTCTTTTGACCCAGGTTTCTCCACATTCTCTGGTTTATTTTAATGAATAAGAATTACTTTATCAATCCCCAAAGGGAAATTCAATATTTACAGTAGATTATGGAATTCTTTGCATCTTTGGACTGAGGAATATGACTTTGAAATTGTTGAACTATTCACTCATGCCATCTTGCACAGAGGAATCTTATTTTAATTTCTGGGAGACTCCACCACCACCTCTCTGGCAAACTCAAATTTTTAATCAAAAGACTTTTTTACTGTTGTGTTCTACCTGTCCCAACTTTTTTGAAAGGTGTAAAATAAACCATGTTCATGAAACAGTACAATTTTTCATTTTCAATATGCGATACGTTGTCTTTGCACTATTTTCTCTCGAATATGAGGTTTAATTAATCTGTCAACGGTCAAACTTTGCTGATGAAGTGTGGTTGTTCTTGTCATAATATAGTTTCACATCAAAAATTCTGAAGGAGCACACCCCATATTCCCAATAAGCATCCATTAACCCTTAGCTGTAGTTTTTTATACCTGTCTTTCCACGCCTGGCCTATCGCTCGGTCATTCATTTCCTGCCCACCTTTTTTTTTTTTTTTCTTGTCACAAATCTTATCGTTTTATCTCCACTGTGTTACCTACCCCCGGTGACACGACCCATTCTTTGCCTGTTATCTGTTCCCTCTCTGTCCCTACGAGCCCTCCTTCTTTCTCCTGCCTCTCAAAGCCTTTAATTAACATTCCTTGTTCTCTGCCAGTGAGTGAGAGAACCAGTGAACAGGAGCAACGGTAGAGAGACACAGAGAGATGCAGAGTGAGGGGGGTAGGGAGGCAAAAAGAGGACAGGTTGAGTCAATGTTTCTTGCACACTGGGGCCCTTTGTTTTTTGGCCTGGGGGCCCCTGGGTGTTGCTGAATCATCAGCACTGGTAACCAGAGCCCCATTTCCCCCACTTTACCCCTGTCCTGTGAATCTCCAGCCTGCTATCTTTATTTATGTGTTTGTGCTCTCAGACAATAGACTTACTCACCTGTGCTTATACTAAATAGTAGATGGGGGCTTCATGGCCTACTAACACTGTAAAGATTGAGTACAGTTTACTATAGTAAAGTTGTTACAGCTTTTTATGCAGGAGATAGAAATGTTGAATTGTTTATAGGCTTCTGGAGACTTGTAAAGACCCAGGCCTTGGTTAAAATCTTTTATGTCTGACTTTTTTGGTTTAAAAAGAGCCCCCATGAGCAGGCACGCAACATACAACCAGTTCAGCGAGTAATCTGGCCACTTTTTTAAAAACTGGAAGCCTTTAGAAACTGTGTAAACATTAAATATTCTACTTTCAAAATGTTTAGTTCTCTTTTTATTCAATCTGTTGTTGATTTTTGCAGGTTTAAACTGGTTACCTCCTCATGCTTTTACCTACCCTAAGGGCACAGACAGGCATGCATGTAAAGCTCACCCTCAAGCTAATCTATCCAGTTCCCAGGAAAACCTCACAATCCTTAAAAAGGGTGCAGCCCCCTCCCCCACTTTTCCAGGCAATAGCATCCTGTCACCACTAGCTTCGGCCTCATCTTTCACCAGCCTCCTCCTTACCTTTCTTTTTTTATTTTCCAACATGACTTCTTCGTACTCTCCAGCATAAAGAGAGGCTTTTCCCTCGCACTTTCTGGTACTGTTCACAGCTTCCTTGTCTCTCATCTGCCTATCCCTCCCCTGTGCTCTGACACAGATTGAAGAAGAAATAGCATACTGGTAAAGAGTAACACGCCAGCAGCAGTTTGTCTCACAGGCCACGCACAGAGAGAGATACATAGGTGAATGTATTTTCATCTTCAGAGTACTCCAGGTAGTAACTAACTTTTCCGTCTGTTTTAGTAGTCAAGCCTGCGCCTGTTTCTGGGCTCATCATTTCCCTCAGTGGCTGTAGTTGTGTGTTTTAAGCCCCAAAGGGCAGCACATACTTTTAATAGATCTATCTCATGCCGCTGAAAGAGAGAGAGTGACAAGGAGAGCAGCTTTAATTGTGGTTTGGGGGGCCTTTTTCTTCTGTGGTGATGTCACCATGTGTCAAACTTAACCCCCTGGGGAGCCTGTACTCTGAGTGAAGGTCTCTCTATCGTTCCTGCTCATATATTTTTTTCTTCTGCTATCTGTTCTTGACGCTCTTTTAACTTGGCCCCTTCATCTCCGAAATTCATCTTTTCTCATTTAGTTCATCTTCTGTCTCAACACTTCCCCGGAGTACGCTCATCTTCGGCTCTCCGGTTTTATCCGTTTCATCACTCAGTCCCTTATAACGTGTTTCTCTGCTGTCTGTCAATATCAGTGATTCTAAAATCCAATTACCCTTTCCCAGGACAACTCTATCTAATGTTTTCAGGTCACCTCGGGCATTTTGACTTAAGCTCATGTGCTTAAACCATTAGTCAATCAACGTGTATTGAATCACTAACAATTAGGTCTATTGATTAATGATTTGTGTCTTTTTATTTAGCGAAAACTGCCAAACATTTTCTTATTCCAAGATTACAAAGTAAAGAATTTCATTTTTTTTCCATGTTCTACATCATTGCTGTTTCAATGCACGTTTGTCCGGCATTAGGTCTATTTTTAGCCTGTCTTGACCTTTTGCAACCAAAGAAGATCAGCTGTTCAAAAAAATCTGTGAGCCATCGTTCTTTAAGTGCAATCCTCCACTGCAGTTTAAGCTCTTAAAGTATATCTACTTAAATTAATGTTAGACCTTATACCTTTGTATATTTGACATACACTTCTGTGTTATAAATGCATTAATATGGAGGAATGAGAATGCATGCATAATGCACAAATGCATTTGCAGATTCTGAATAAAATGACATATATAATCACAAGTTCCCTGTACATGTAGATGCTCTCTTTCAGAAACATGAATATGTTTTAATGACAAATAATGCAAAATACCAGCTTGCTGACATCTTCTCATATGAAGCTACACAGTGATGTGAATGCAAAATGAGTGTGTGCGCGTGTTCAGTTCAGGAGAGATTCATATATGTGGCAATGAAACGTGTGCGTACATGAATGCTCACAGACGTACAGCTGTAGATGTCAGACTCCAGAGCACTTACGGCATACCTTCTCCTGGCTCAGGTGTTAATATTCATTCCTGACCTTTCACCTGCCTGGAAGGAAGGAGTGCTGTTAGGATAAATGTCAAGGAAAAGGTGGAAACCTGGAAGCATTTCTTGTTGACCTACTTTTTCAGAAATTTGAGTGCATAACAGACTTTTTTTCCCCAACATAAAGTAAGAACCTGTATAGACTATCCAGGTTCTTATCCTTGTCTGACTAGATTTTACAGGCTGCTTCTGAGAGGAGCATTGGGCTGATGTGGAGCCACTGGGGGTGGGAATCACCAGTGGCTCCACGATGCAATATTATCACGATACTTGCCCCACGATACAATATTATCACGATACGATATCATCACGATACTTGCCCCACGATACGATATTATCATGATACTTGCCCTACGATACAAGATTATCATGATACTTGCCCCACGATACGATATAAGTGTATTTTTTAACATTGTGCAATACAGTGAAAATTGCGATATAATATATTGCGATTTAAACCATCTTTTTAACTGTTTAGCTAATTTAGCATTCGTCTTTCCTATATGTTTGTCTTATTTACACAGTATTTTATTTTCACGTAGCACATCTTGCTTACCTTCTGTGTCAGGTCCATCTCATCTGTGCCCTGCTTGCATTCCTAATGTCTTTCCCCAGGTGCTGCTGTATTGGTTGCACTGACTTTCTCCTGCTCTATCATGTCACCTTTGCCAACCTCACTGGACAAACAGTTGATTTTATATTTCCATTATCATAGATTTGACTTCATAATAACAGTTAATTTGAAAAAAGAAAGCGATACGTGGTCAATGAGACGATACGATATCTCACCAGACAAAATATCGCGACACTATGCTGTATCGATTTTTTTCTCCCACACCTAATATTCACATTTGGGTAAAACTGCATATAGTGTCTGGATTGTGCAAGGAGGATATAAATCAACTCTCATTTCTGTTTTTAATAGAAAATAGCTCATTTAAAAGTTGTCGACTCAAAAGCAGAAGGCATTGACTTCATGTCCATCTGCTTGTGTTAACAGCGTTGAGAGTTGGACTCCAACAGCTGTTCGAAATGCTCTCCAAAGCACAAAGAGAGATTGTTGGTTTGAAGGAGGTAAATGGGCCTGCCCTCCTCCATCTTTCTAACAGCACCCCCAACCACAGACAAGAAATAGATTTTCCCTGATGTGTCCTGGTATTTCCTTCTTTTCCTTTTTTCCTTTTTTTTTTTACAAACACAGATTATGTACAGAACGCCCCCACACACATACACACACACTTCTCAACACATGGTGCATCATGCACAGACACATTGGCAGCCAGAGCGTAATGCACGGGCACATGATGCCTACGCCTGATCTGGAAGGCTGGCCCATTTAGCCGAGAAGCAACAATGATTTCATTATATCGCTGAAATAATCAGAGAGCTCAGGTTTCTGAGATATTGTGCTTGTGTATGGGTGCATGTGTGTTTGTGTGATTGACTTTGAGAAAGAGAAAAAAAAAAAAAACTCAAGGTATTCACGTGTCTGTTTTCCAGTGTGTGAAAGAAAAACCTTGTCAGTCATGATGAGCCGGAATTGCCTGGCAGGCAGGCATTCCCCCCCTGACGAGCACCTGATATGTGTGTATCCGTCTGTGTGTGTCTGTGTGTGTTTGGCATTGAGAAGTCAACATCCCAATTTATTTTGTCAGAGGAGCGCTTGTTAACAGCTCAGACACGGCCTCCCTTGTCACCTTTCCCCTCCTCTATGACTCAGTATGAAGTCAGCTGATGATCACCGAGGTGACTGTCAGATGAATAGCGGTGAATATTTGTTGAAGATTGCGTAATAACACAAGCACATGTTCTGTTAGTCAGTGACACACACATCATCTCGCACCTCTGTTCATGACCCCGCTCATATCAAAGTCTTTGATCGTTGCTTATCAGTATAGTTTGTTCATCTGAAAAGACTTATGAATGTATATAGCACCTTCTCCTATTTCTGCTTTAATTCATTACTATTACCAAGCATTACTTATTTGTCTATAACCTGATCTTAGCTTCTTTTTCTTCCTGTTGATTGAGTGAAACTTTTTCTCTCTGTCCATATCTTAAAGGAGGAGGAAATGTTCCGACCCAACATGTTTTTCCTGTTGCTGCTGCCGCCCATCATCTTTGAGTCTGGATACTCTTTACATAAGGTACGACACTGTGTATGTGGAGCTGAATTTACACAGCTGAAAGATAAGGCTCAGCACATAACAGACTTAACAGTGCTAAAGCATCTGCATTAGTTAGTCAAATAAAGAAAAAAATAATGTTTCCAAAGGTTTTCAAGCAACGCAAAAGTAATTCAATCATAGTTAATTCAGAGGACAAACTAGGATCTTTGCAGGCGACATACAAGGCTCAGCATAAATGAGTAAACCTCTTCAGAGTTGTCAGAAAACCTTTAGTTTCCTTTCAAAATCAACATTTGTTTATGTTAGACTATACACTAATACTCCCTCAAATGTAGGCCATTGATTGCAAACGAGATTTTTTAAGTTGCATACAAAAAAGTAATTTGCAATTTAAAATCAGGATGCAAAAATGAACACACCCTCATCAAACTTCTGGGAGCAAAGCTAAATTTTAGCTACCATATCACCCTTATTTCCATCTTCTGGTAAATAAAATGTAAATGTGCTTTGTCAAAAACTTTTGAAATTGTACTTTTGCTCATCTAGATATTGAGTAATACTTTTAATATGGGGGTGTACTGACTTATGCTGGGAACTGTATTTGCCTCAGGCTGACTATGACACGAAGATATTGCAGCATCAGCAGCTCTGCACTCAGTCATCTGTTCCAGTGAACATTCCTTATTGTAAAGTCTTCTTTCAGTTGTATCCTTTAATTCCTGTTGTGTAGTGCCTAACTGGGTTTTAAATGCGATCCATTATTTTCACTATCTCAACAGCTTCATGTGTCTTCTGATATAGTCTTCATGCACACTCTGCTTCATTACTCCAAACTATTTTCTCCTGACCTGCGCTCTCTATGTTGAGTAATGCTGTGTAACTTTAAATGTCATGCTATTTAACCTATGAGCCTCACGTTTGTGTGTGTGTGCACAGGGGAACTTCTTCCAGAACATCGGCTCCATTACTCTCTTTGCTGTGATTGGCACCGCTATCTCTGCCTTCATCGTCGGAGGAGGGATCTATTTCCTGGGGCAGGTGAGGATTTCGGTGGAATCTGTTGACATGTCCGGTATTCTCGCACCCTGTTTACGGGAAAAGTGTGAATTTTATTACATGTCTGAACGGAATGCTTGTATAAGCCCCTTTGATTTCTGGAGAAGAGCTTGTTAGTACAGAGGACAGTTGTGTATTTAAAAATGCGCTTCTAATGCTATGTCTCTTTTCTGATGTTTTTTTAAGGCTGATGTGATCTACAAGATGTCCATGACTGATAGGTGAGTCATAAAATTGAACAGCATCAGCCCTGCCGGGATTATTTCTCCTCCTCTTATCAAAGTTTCAGGGGATTTCTCTTAACCCCTCCAGACTGCTGAGCCTGCAGGCTTCTCACCTAAAAGATAAACTCTCTTAGCCCAAAATGACTGCAAGAAATCGGATACAAGCATTTAATATGAACATCTCACACTGACACCTCAGGTTTGCCTTAAAGGTCAAGTCATTCAAACAATGGGAAACTTCAGCGTTTAACTATTAGAAAGCTCAAGACTGGAAGTTAATCCAGCTGCCAGGGCTGGCTGGAGGATAAGCTGAACAGCACTCCACACTCAGGTGTTGTTTTAGAGAGGCTTCAGGCTGTTATTGTGCTCAAGTATTCTTATCCATACTCCAACTATGTTTACATTCCAGCTGCTATACAGCTTCAAAACCATGACCTGGTTTTGTTTATTTTCCCTTTACAAAGTTTGCAAAGACCACCTTTCAGTGGAGATGTACAGATTTATTGGTCAGGCGATATATTAGGAATGAGGTATTTGCAAATTGGTTGGTCACTACCTTCTGACATTGCTGCGATTGTTACCATGTTTTGTAACCGCCTTTGATGCTCGGAAACCAGGATATTATATTTATGTGCTTTGTCAAGTGTGCATGAAAACAGAACCATCGTCAGTATGAGCACACGCATGAGCGCCAGGGCTGGAGATTTTCATTAGAATTCTTTTTTTAGCAATAATGATTTGTTTTCTTGTCTTTCTTGTCTTTGGTCCTGGTATTTTTGTGTTTTTAGCTGAATATCTGGGGAAAAATGTCAGCGCTTTTAAGTAAAATTTCGGGGGAAATCGAATCACAACACGAGCCCAGAGGGAAGGACATAACTAGAATTTGATTAGGAAAGCCCCAGAATGTTTCTATTTTTTCTTTTCCAAAGTTCTGTGGTCAACAACAAACACTATTCCAGTCAGCTCTTGTTAGAGTTTGAATGACTAACAGCATGAAAATATCACTGGGGAAGTTTCTTTTTCTTTTTTATATGTGGTTGCACGTACTGTAAGTTGATATATTTTGAGAATTAAGAAGACACAGATGATGTTTTAAAGATATATACAACGTGACACTGTTGTTGTGGCTTATTTGACACAGGCTGTAATTATGGACTTTCAGATGACTCAACAAAGCTGAACAACCTTCACAACAGCAATTTATAGGATTGTGTTGCATTAGTGATTGCATCTGCTTTCTTGTTTTTGACGCATTTCCTGTCTGGGTCCTCCCCAGACTTACAATTTTTGTCTGTTTGTTATTGTGTTTGTTTCTTAATTCCTTTAGAAGTATCTCATAATTACTGTGTTACTGTGTCCCTCTGCTCATCTTCACTCCTTTGCTGCAGCTTTGCCTTCGGTTCCCTGATCTCAGCTGTGGACCCTGTAGCGACCATCGCCATCTTCAACGCCCTCAACGTAGACCCTGTTCTCAACATGCTGGTGTTTGGAGAGAGCATCCTCAACGACGCTGTCTCGATCGTCCTGACGAAGTAAGAGGCCCGACGCAGTCCCTCGTGGTTTGTTCAGTGTCCAGGGAAAATCAGATCAAGTATGAGGATGATGATAAAAGGCTGGGAAAATATTTAACTACTAATGTCCAAATTATGTCCACAATGAGATGTAGGTGCATACACACTCAGAATGTAAGGTCCCTGAGGCATCTGTTAGACACCTTTATACCTCCCTGTTATTTACTCTTACATTATATTTACAGCTAATTCGACCACTTGAAAATTAAAAAAACATACATTCCCATCACTCTGAAAAACTTGTTTCCAAAAAAAAAAATAGAGATGGCACACAAAAGACATAAGGTCAAGGGTTTCAGGGTTTAAAATGTTTTCTAACATTAAATTATGACCTGCTTTTGACTAGCGATACTCAAATGCTTTTGTTTCAATACTGTTGCAGGAAATCAGAGGAGGATTAAACGTGACATCTGAGAAATGTGACGTCTTAAAGCCACAGAGGCTTAAAATAGTGATCAGATAAATTCAGTTGACATTCATGACATTCTCAGACAAGGCTTGTAGATAAAAATGATTTTCCTCTGACTTTTTGTTTATCATGTGAATCAAGATTTCCAGAAATGACTAAAATGAGGTTTCATCATATTTCGGTTGCAAAAAAAAGTTGTCATTGTCACCAGGAGCGGCCTCTTCAGAGCGTCACTCTATTAGGTTTGTTTACAAAGTCTGCACTATGCGCACTGACTGGTGGCCACACATGCCAGCAGGCCGACAAAATCTTGACAGACAAGTTTGACGGAAACAGAGAGTTGGCAGGATTTACTTGTTTGTACAAACTGCTGTCATCCTGTTGGCTGTCTCTATACTCACTGTATCTGTGCCTTATCTCCCCCTGCTCAGGACCAGCTAAATGTGCAAAGTGATCTCAAGTGTCTGCATGGCCCTGAAGAGTAAATGAGTGCATGAATAATAGATATGCTGAACAGCCCTGGCAGTTAGCTTGTAGTTAGCACCTTAGAGGCCGGGCTTTCTTCATCAGATACTTTCCAGGATGGCAGATAGGCTTTAACAGCCAGGTCATTAATGTTTATGATTGTATTTAAGTTTTGAATCAGTTTGGTTCACTTTAAGATTTATGAAATTTTAAATATCAAACTGGATTTATTATTTTAGTTTGAGCCCACATCTTTAAAGTCGCTCTTTCAACATACTAAAAAACCTTTCTGATCGTGCAGATCCAAGTCCAAAATACTTGTTTTAAAATGACAAACTTTTAAAAAAATCTTTTGAAATGGTGATTAAGCATTACAAAATAAAACAAAAACATTACAAAACATTACAAAAAACTAGCAGAACATCACAACAAATGCTCTCATAACAATAATTGTAAGTGAGTTAATCGATTTAACAAAATTCTCAGTAATACATTCAGAATTTTGATGTCAGTACTACACCCACTCTTATCTGGTACATAATCATGCGTCTATGTTCATAGGATTCAGTGGTGGAGCGTTCCTGCCCTCTAGGGTCAGATCAGGGTATTGCAACAATGACATATGTCTGTGAATTAACCCATACTTTTCCTTTTTTTTCCTTCCAGCACAGCCGAGGGGTTCTTTTCCCGCTCAGATAGCTCCGTGGTGACAGGCTGGGAGACTTTTCTGCAAGCGTTGGGTTATTTCCTTAAAATGTTTTTCGGTTCTGCCGCCCTGGGGACTCTAACAGGACTCATCTCGGCTCTCGTATCCTGACTCATTATGTGCGTGAGAGAAATGTGAAACTTGTGTGTGTATGTTGAACTTCTTTAAGTTCCCTAACTCGCTGATTAGTTTCTGAAACACTTTGATCTGAGGAAGACTCCTTCACTGGAGTTTGGTATGATGATCATCTTTGCATACCTTCCTTACGGCCTGGCAGAGGGCATTAAGCTGTCTGGTAAGTGCATAGACACACACACATCCCCACACACTAAATAATGTGATAATGAGATTATAGTTGACTTTGTAGGTATTTTTTTTAATGCTGTGTTTTGTCTCCACCTGCAGGAATAATGTCCATCCTGTTTGCTGGGATTGTGATGTCGCACTACACCCATCACAACTTATCTCCTGTAACTCAGATTCTTATGCAGCAGACCCTGCGCACAGTGGCCTTCATGTGTGGTCAGTGAAGTCCCTGTTTTCCTCTGAATTTCAGCTTTATTTTCATTTAACGAGAAGTCCTTCATGCTATTTTCAAACTGTCCTCTCCAGAGACGTGCGTGTTCGCCTTCCTGGGTCTCTCTATTTTCAGCTTCCCTCACAACTTTGAAATCTCCTTCGTCATCTGGTGCATAGTAAGTATTCATGCAGTGGAAAAGATCATCTTAACTAGGGATGCACTGATCCGATATTTGGATAGGATATCGGCTCCGATATTGACAAATTAACTGGATCGGATATCTGATGAATGACGCCGATCCAGCGTTCCAACCAGTCATTTTTTAAATTAATGTCATACACAGCAACATAGCGATTCTGTTCACTCTATTTTATGTCTGTCAATCCTTTTTGCACTAAATGTTTACATGGAAGTCTTACTTCTTTTTGCTGTGTGCTAATGTGCAATTTGTTATTTGTTAATAAATAAATTTACATCAGTTTTAACTTAACTTTTTTTTTTTTTTTTTTAACAAGGCTAATGTCAAGCCTGATGCCTTCACTTACAGGGCAAGGTATACAGTTCATTCATTCAACAGTAGTATAAGATCGGTATCAGATATCGGCCGATACGCTCAGCCCAGGTTTCGGAATCGGATTGGATCGGGAAAAAATGGATCGGTGCATCTCTAATCTGAACACGTCTTTTCTTTCTCTTGACAGTAAGATGATTGTTCTTCTCTCTGTAGGTTCTTGTTCTTCTTGGCCGAGCGGTGAACATCTTCCCTCTGTCATTCCTGCTGAACTTTTTCAGAGACCACAAGATAACTCCCAAAATGATGTTCATCATGTGGTTTAGCGGTAAGGAGACACAAAGTGCATGTAAAAACTGCAGGATTTACATATCTCTCCTAATGCGTGATCCCAAACATCCCTTTCACCTCCATGTTCCCTCTTCTGTTGCTCCATCTTGTAGGTTTGCGAGGTGCTATCCCCTATGCCTTGAGCCTCCATCTGGGCTTGGAGCCCATCGAGAAGCGGCAGCTAATCGGCACCACCACCATCATCATCGTACTCTTCACCATCCTCCTCCTCGGGGGCGGAACCATGCCGCTCATCCGCCTCATGGACATCGAGGAAAGCCAGTCACGGCGAAAGAACAAGAAAGATATCAACCTCAGCAAGACAGAAAAGATGGTAATAGCTGAATCGTGTATATTTCGCTTCAATCTGCACAAATACACACAGATTTACACAGTCGGCTCAACACATTGATAATTTCTGTGTCATCCTCTCATCCGCAATCAAGCTCTCCACTGTCCTCTTCAAAGGAAAAAAAACTCAGAGGGTCGTTTGTAGCATTTGTGAAGGACACTAAATGAGCAGGAGTAAAACACACATCACACAGATTTACACTCAGCTGATTTTAACATCTCCAAATAGTAAAAACCAGACCAGAGCTGAATAATTCGCACAGCCTTTGGCTAAAGTATCTAAAGAACGCTCTATCATAGATTTCACCATGTGACGCTGTGTTTGCATGACTTGTGAATACAGTATTTGTGTGTTTGATCTTCTTCAATGCTAAGTAATAAAGTACCAGCAACCACATCTCTATCTCCCTAAAGGTTTCTCGCTCTCTTTGATGCTAGTGCCTCGCTCCGTCTGCTGTTCCTTTCTCATCTCTGCTCCTTTTTTATGAGTGATCTCCACTCTATCACTCTCACCTCACAGTTCACTCCATGATCTCTTCCAACTCTGCTTCATTTGTTGGCCCCTATACAGGCATTTTATGGAATTTATCCATTTCCCCTTCCTTTTTTTTCCCCTCTCGTTTTCTCCCTAGGGCAACACCATCGAGTCCGAGCACCTGTCAGAATTGACAGAAGAAGAGTATGAGGCTCACATCTACCAGAGACAAGATCTGAAAGGGTTTATGTGGCTCGATGCTAAATACCTTAACCCCTTTTTCACACGCAGACTCACCCAGGAGGTAAGAAAGAAATAAATCCTCTGAGAGGCTCACAATGCTTTGATATATTTCATTATATTCACAGTTTTTCTGTGTTTTAATGTTCAATACAGCACTTACCAGAGGTGTGGACAGGGGTCACATGGATTTGATGACTTTGGTCTTTACTTGACAAAATTTAAATGGACCTCTGACTCAACTTCAATGCCAGTTGTAAATATGTTACCAACCAAAAACTGCAAGATGACCCAGAAAAAATGACTTTTAGAGATGGTCAAACCTCTGCTGAGGGGAAATACAGATAAATGCCATTTAGCAGTTCGTGTTCATGTGTTTTCATAATGTCTAATAGTTGTTTCTCCCTCAGTTGAGTGTGATTGTGGAATGAACAGTGAAGTTTCAAACTTAGCCAAGGAGACATCCAAACCAAAGCCGGATATAAGATTATATAAAACCAGCTTCTTGCTTCAAGGATGGATCTTCTTGGATGACTCTTTTACTTCATATTTGTTGTCCTAATGCTAATATTTCAGAACGTCTATTCTATGTTGAGGTGGTTACATGTAACGTGTGTCTTACAGGACTTGTTACACGGCCGCATCCAGATGAAGACCCTCACCAACAAGTGGTACGAAGAAGTTCGACAGGGTCCCTCTGGCTCTGAGGATGACGAGGATGAAGCAGAACTCCTGTGAGCTAAAAGAACACTTTCAGATCAGATAGAAACTGTGAAGGGACATTGTGAAGCCTTGGTTGAGGGAGTGACTGAGCTTTTTTTTTCTTTTTTAAATTTAATTTTACACTCTTTGTTTACCTGCCTCCAATTTCATACGACAACAGAGTGTATGTCTGCATACTACATGACTGGAATGTGTCGAATCCTTGTTGCAGTAAAACTGGATAGAAAATTGCAACTCAGGATGAAGAAAAGAGAGTGTGATAATGCTGCTCCTTGCTTGAATGCCATATTGTTTCTTTCCCGTATGTTTCTTATCTGAAGATTGAAGTCTGAAGGGAGGATCACACAGAGGTCGAAATGGGGAATTTTCTTGTGAAGCAATAGTGAAGCACCTTTTCACGTTTTCTCTTTCCTTTTGTGCGGCTGTGTCGTCGTAGCACCGGGTTATCAAGGTCTGATAGAAGTTTTCCTTTGTGTCACGGGGGGAAAGATAAAATATATTGTTGCTGGAGGCTACATTTTGTAAGTGGAATTTGTAATAAGTCACAGGTGCCTGCTTAGAATAGCTTTCCATGAACTAGATTTAATTCTCTCTGGGTCTCTCTCCACATTTGTATGCATAAATGATTCTGAGTCAACACATATATTCATACTATGTAATGAAAAGAAAATACCACGAGTGATGCATGAGCCACCGAGCACCCTCCAGCAGCAGAGATAAATGCAGAAGAGAGTTAAAACCAGTGAAATGTGTTGGGCACAACCAATAGAACATTAAACGTATAGCTTCAAGGAGTAAACTCCTGCACCAGATAATTGAAAAATGCTTTCATTTCAGAGAGTGGTGCCAGTGTGGATTCCCTCAGTGACCTTTTTTTTCTGTTTACTGTCACTTACTCTTGTGGGTATCACCACTTTTTTTGTGTTAAAACGGGACTTGAACTGTTGATTTTGTGGTTTTCTAATGAAGTTAAGCACCAATGAATGTGAGGGTAAGTGGAATTAATGTCATGTGAATGTTTATGTATATTTTTATTTATTTATGAGATGTGTCTGTGCTGTATGTGGGATAAAAGCTTTTATACAAGCTCCAAGAGCACTGCAGACAAATGGTATATATTAAAACATATTTACATCACTTTCAGTTGTTTGTAATACACTTGAATGGGACAAGGTTTGTTTTGTTTATTTTTCTGAAATACCTAATGGAAAAAAAACTGTTCCTACCCTTGAAACATCTGTTGTGAGACAGAAGTCAAATATATATATGCTCCCTTTCAAAAGGCTGTAAAAGAACAATTTCATCATTAAAGAGGTTTTTTAGAAAACTAACCTTTATGGAGAGAAAACAGTTGACTACACGAAAAAATGTTTATTTCTGTGGTTTGGGAAAAAATACACTCTTAATTTTATGACAACTGTAGCTGGAGGCCTTGTGTTTTCCAGTTTGCATGCATGTTGATCTTTCTCAATATTTTTGGACCCACTATCTCTGGGAATGTCTCCAGATTTGGCACGAACATCTGCTCGGACCAAAAGATGATGTGACCATAATGCAGTGGCGAAAGGTCGATTTTGGTTTGGCTGTCACTCCAGAATCTAAACGTGAACTATAACTGTTTTTTGTCTTTTTATAATAGGGTGCAATGATAAAGCGGTGACATTTTATACCCCAAAGGTCAAAAACCACTTTACTGTTGGATCTTCATACCCTGGGAAACCTATTTTTGGTCATTGTTCGTATCCTATTGTTTTTAAATTAAATTTATCCAAGCAACCATTGAATGAAATATCATAACATTATTAAGCAACTTGGACCAGAGGAGAAACGTCTGGTTTCTGGTAGTCAAAGGTCAAGCTCATTCCTGTCTAGTTCTGTTGATGTTACAGTCAACAGACAACCCAACGAAGTTCTCTTATAAAGCAACGTTTCGTAACACAAGTTATGCGAGGACACTTCAAATCAAGAGCAGATCTTGTCTCCACTCTTTGTGATATTGTTAAGCAAGAACTTGGCAACAGCAGCAAGGAAAACCTCTCTTTGACAGGCAGATAACTCGGCAGAACCAGACCAGACCAGACCAGAACCAGCCAGTTATCCTCATTCATCTCAATATCTGTGACTCTGATGACCTTCGAAGACCTTTTATACAAGTCAGTCAAATGTGAGTCACAGCAGTTATGTCATCGTGTTGCAGGACTTCATTTTTTTCTCATTCCACAAGCAACATGCACGAATTCACATCAAGGGGAAAATGTGAGGTTAATACTAGTGAGAGTAAAACAGGAAGCCGAACTGTCCGTAAAGTAATTAGCACCTGTGAAAAGGTTAGTGTGTCGTCATGCTGGGGACAATATCCAGAGCTCGGGTCCAGCCTTAAGGGTCCCCAGTCTGATGTACCCTTTCAGCATCCTGTGGGATCTCATTAGGAATATTGATGAGGAGGGAGCAGTGATGAACTGGAGGAAGAAATCTTCTCCTCCATCAGTGTCCATGTGGGTAGGTGGTGTGTCTGTTGGTTGCCGCCTTACAGTGGTTTTCAATGAGAACAATGTGATTTATTCATAAACTTTTTACACTTGCAGGTCATTCCTGAAACTGATTGTTTTGTTTTTTTGCAAAGGTCTTTAATTCATAATATGTATTTTTAATTATTCAAATAGATAAGATTTAAGATTAAGCAAGTATTTTTGTAATACAGTGGTATAACCAGTAGGGGGATGTAAACACATAGCACTGATTTATGACAAATAAGCCCACACTAAAGTGAATGGAATAGAGCTGTTTTAATGATAAGGATTTATTATTATTAGGGCCAAAGCCGATGCTGAAAGCAGCAGGCAAGAGCCCTATTGAGACTGCAAGAATTGTATATTATTATAAATGAAATAATTAAATAACTTTACTAACTTTACTTACATACTCACTATAACTTACTCTTGCTTAAGATTAACTTAAAAAAAAAAATCAACTTAAAAACCCTCTAGACAGAATCAAAAACTCATGAAATTTTGGACATTACATTTTTAACAAACTATACTTGAAATTTTAATTCTAAACTATAAGATTTTTATTATACATCACTATGATATTTTAAATAATACAGAATTCTCCGGTGTGTCCACATAGCTCAGAGAATTAGAAGACTGACTGGGACTCCTGAGGTTGCGGGCTCGAGCCTTACATTAGCCGGCTGGGTAAATTCACTACTTAGGGTGAATTTTAAAGTCTGGTGTCTAGAAAGTACAATAAAATAAAATAAAAATAAAAAACAGAATTCTCTTGTGTGTCCACATAGCTCAGAGGATAAGAAGACTGCCTGGGACTCCTGAGGTTGTGAGTTCATGCCTTACCCTACCCTGCTCAATTTGAATTTTAAAGTCTAGTGTCTACAAAGTACAATGAAATAGGAAAAAAACGTGATTCTCCTGCAGGTCCACATAGCTCAGAGGATATGGAGACTACCTTACCCAAGTCTGTGAGAATTTTAAAGTCTAGTGTGTAAAATAGGTCAGTTAAATAGGAGAAAACCAGAAACTTCTACAGGTCCACATAGCTCAGAGGATAAGAAGACTGTCTGGGACTCCTGAGGTCGTGGGTTCAAGCCTTACCTTACTCAAGTCTAGTAGAATTTTAAAGTCTAGTGTCTAAAAAGGGACGGCTAAATAGAAGAAAACCAGAAAACACCTGTGTGTTCACATGGCTCACAGGGTAAGGAGACTGCCTGGGACTCCTGAGGTTGTGGGTTCGAACCTCACCTAACTCTCGAAGAATTTTAAAGTCTAGTGTCTAAAAAGGGACAGTTAAATAGAAGAAAACCAGAAATCTCCTGTGTGTCCACATGGCTCAGTGGATAAGGAGACTGACTGGGACTCCTGAGGTTGCGGGTTCAAACCTTATCCCAGACCAATTTTAAAGTCTAGCAGCCAAAGAACCAAGATAAAAGGGCGCGACGTTCATCCCCAAGTGTGGACGGTATCCGGTGGCGCAGGGGGTATGCAACTGACACCCAAATACCAAATGCTGGTCAGGCGGGCAGCCCTAGTTCGATACCCACACGACACGCAGGAGATCCTGAAGCAAATCCTGGGGAACCAGGCCCGGGGGGAGGTTTCCCCCCGGTGTTTCCAGAGAGATAAATCAGGGGGGTTATCAAGCAGGAAGTGAGGGGTGGCTGGAATTTTGAAGAAACTAACCAAGAAAGACAATTGAATGAAAAGACAAAGATTACGAAAGTCATCTCTATTAGAATAAAGTGACTTTATTATAGTCATCTATAATACTATTATTTAAAGATGACTAAAGTCAACTATAATAGTGATGACTATATTATAGTCATCACTATTATAGTCTGATATAGTCATCTTTATTCTAATAGAGATGACTATAATATAGTCATCACTATTATAGATGACTTTAGTCATCTTTAAATAATAGTATTATAGATGACTAAAGTCAACTATAATATAGTCATTATAGATGACTATAAAGTCATCTTTAACATAGAGATGACTATAATAGTATAGTCATGACTATGATAGTCTAATATAGATGACTATATTATAGTCGTCTCTATTAGAATAAAGATGACTATATTATAGTCATCACTATTATAGATGACTTTAGTCATCTTTAAATAATAGTATTATAGATGACTATAATCTAGTGATCTAGACTAGTCATCTATAATAGTGATGACTATAATATAGTCATCTTTATTCTAATAGAGATGACTATACTATAGTCGTCTCTATTAGAATAAAGATGACTATATTATAGTCACTATATATAGATGACTATAATAGTATAGTCTAATCTTTATTCTAATATAGATGACTATAATATACTATTATAGTCATCTCTATGTTAAAGATGACTTTATAGTCATCTATAATGACTATATTATAGTTGACTTTAGTCATCTTTAAATAATAGTATTATAGATGACTATAATATTGTGACTTTATTATTCTAATAGAGATGACTTTCGTAATCTTTGTCTTTTCTTGTCATCTTTTCATTCAATTGTTTGTCTGTCTTTCTTTCTTGGTTAGTTTCTTCAAAATTCCAGCCACCCCTCACTTCTTGCTCGATAACCCCCCTGTTTTACCTCTCTGGAAACACCGGGGGGAACCCCCACCCCCCGGGCCTGGTTCCCCAGGATTTGCTTCAGGATCTCCTGCGTGTCGAGTGGGTATCGAACTAGGGCTGCCCGCCTGACCAGCATTTGGTATTTGGGTGTCAGTTGCATACCCCCAGCGCCACCGGATACCGTCGGCACTTGGGGATGAGCGTTGCGCCCTTTTATCTTGGAACTTTGGCTGCTAGACTTTAAAATTGGTCTGCGATAAGGTTTGAACCCGCAACCTCAGGAGTCCCAGTCAGTCTCCTTATCCACTGAGCCATGTGGACACACAGGAGATTTCTGGTTTTCTTCTATTTAACCGTCCCTTTTTAGACACTAGACTTTAAAATTCTTCGAGAGTTAGGTGAGGTGAGGTTCGAACCCACAACCTCAGGAGTCCCAGTCAGTCTCCTTACCCTGTGAGCCATGTGAACACACAGGTGTTTTCTGGTTTTCTTCTATTTAACCGTCCCTTTTTAGACACTAGACTTTAAAATTCTCCTAGACTTGGGTAAGGTAAGGCTTGAACCCACGACCTCAGGAGTCCCAGTCAGTCTTCTTATCCTCTGAGCTATGTGGAAACACAAGACAGTTCTGTTTTTTTCCTATTTCATTGTACTTGTAGACACTAGACCTTAAAATTCACCTTGAGCTGGATAGGGTAAGGCTCGAAACTACAACCTTTGGAGTCCAAGTCAGTCTTCTTATCCTCTGAGCCACATGGACACACAGGAGAATTTTGTTTGTTTCCTCTTTGACTCTCTTTTGTAGAAGCTGGACTTCAAAGTTCACCTTAACTTGGATCTGATTAAAATTTAGAGACACAGAGTAACAGTGTGTTTGTGTGTGTTTTTTATTAATAAACTTGGGGGGTCCCTAACTGCTTTAAGAGTAACATGTCACAATTTTATACTACAAGTATGTTTCTGTCAGATACAAAGCTGTGCTAATCTATTGAATTATCCATATTGATAAAGACTTATAAAATGTTGCTGTTATATGACTTTGTTTTATTATAAATTAAGTGGAGTAATACGGTCATTATTTATTGCAGGGCAGTTTTGTACAGAAACAGCACCCTCTGGTGGACAGTTATATTGATGGAGGTTTTTTTTTTTTTTTTTTAAAGAAAACACTGGAGTTTGCGGCTGGAATAAAAAACGAAAATTTCTTCCTATTGTTATTATTGTAATGTATTCTATGTTCTGAGTCCTCTATTTTTAATAACCTTAACTGGAAAAAGCAGTTTTCATGATATAAATCCTTTCTGCCCTTTCGTTCATTGACAGTGTTATAGTAGAGATCAGATAAATACAAAGAGAAGTAGAGTGTGAGAAAGTCCAGCTAGATCTCTGATAAGAAGCATGTGAAGTATGTTGGCTGGATGAATAAGAAAGTAATTATTACAATCATGGTTTGCACAGGTGATTATTGAGTATTTCACACTGGCACACTGACACATTTTAATTATGTTCATATTATGAATGCAAATATGTGGGGTGGATTTTATCAATCAGGCCTTTGAACCACAGCGAGGGACTCACTGATTAACATGTATTGAATTAAACAAAAGAGGCTCCTCTGTGAAATCAGGAGCTATTGATCAGCTCTTTACTCTCTCTCCTCTTTTATCCCCGAAGATGAGAGTTTGTTCTGCTA